TTAATAAATTTAATTTAATCATTTATTTTTTTTAGTTTAGTTTATTTAATTAATTTTTTACATATATACTATACGACAAAATAATAAATTATTGAATTTAATTTTTGTTAAAAATTTTATGTTTAGTTTTTTTTGTCGTCAAAAAATAGTATTATTTAATAAATAAAATACAAATAGTTAATCATATTATATATATATATATATTATTTTTAAAAATTAAATAAACTATTATTAGCTATGTTATTTTTATTTATTTATTGATAAATGTTGGTCACTAAATACAATTAGATACAATAAAATAATTTTTATATATTTATTTAGTGTATAATATTAGCAAATAATAACTAAATAAAACATATAATAAAAAAGTTATACTATAGTAATACAGTATAATAAATAAATAAAACAAATATTTATAAATACAGTTTATTATATATATATATAAAGTTCAAATGTATTTTACAATATAATAAAATATTTATTTAATTTAGTTTTTTATTTATTTATATTTAATTTTTAATATCATAATTATAAATGTCAATAAAAATAATAATATTAATAAAATTTACTATCAATTGAATAATTATAAATATAAATATTTATTCATATATTATATATATATACAAATAAATTAATACAAATAAAAAATAATACTTTTTGTTTACTAATATTTATTTATTAGCTAATATTTTTTTAAATATTTTATGTATTATACAATTTATTTATTTATTTTTTAGTATTTACTAATACTGTATCAATTGTTAGATAATTATTATTTAATTAATAGTTAATATTTGAATGAATACATTGATATATATTTTTTAAAAAAGATTATATAAATTTACTGTATTTACTAGAATTTGAATTATTTTTATTGTATAATAGTTTAGTAATAATATTATATTTTTACTGTATATGCATTACGTGTTTGTATAATAAATTTTGTATATATATTATATATTTATATATTTTTTTTGGTTAACTTTAAAATATTATTCAATACCTTTATGTTATTATATCATATTTTTTTTGTATATATGTTATAATGTATGCTTACTTTTGAAATATATTGTCACTATTAATATTTACAACACAATAAAATAAGTTTTATTGTCATAAATATTTTATGATTGATATATAAAAATACAGTATATATATATATATATGTATATATTTACAGTAATATCTATAATATAAATTGTATATGTGGTATATATTTTTCATATTAAAAAATATATATATTAAGTAGTAAAGTGTCTCAACAACAATAAAAAAAACTTATGCTTTATAATAATAATAATAATAATAATAATAATAATAATAATAAAAGTTAACTAATAAAAAAAATGTCAAATAAAATGATTGTTATAAACTTTCATAAATTTTTTAGGTAAATATAAGTAGTTTATTAATAAATTATTTGAATGAATGACTATAACAGTAAAAAAAATTGAAAATAAAAATCATTGTTATACAAAAAAAAACAAAATAAATAACAAATATATATATATATAATAAAATTGTATCTATTGAATAATAAATTGAGTTATTATAAATATATATATACTGTATATGTACTAAAATTTATATTTAAAAAAAAGAAAATAATTTTTTGTATACACTATATATCTATTAACTGTTTTTTGCAATTTAATATTAGATATAAAATAAAAAAAGAGAAATAAAAGTTTTTAAAAAATTTATTTTTATTATTATTAAATATGTGAATGTATTCACACACCAAACAAACAAAAAACTATATATATATATATATATATATATATATATATATAAAACGTTTGAAATAATAATAATAAAAAAATATTTTTACAAAATTGAAAATAAAGTAATATATTATATACAGTATATACTGTATATATATATATATATATATTGTATAAAAATCTCTATCAATAAATAAATGAATGAATGAATGAATCCCAATATAATTCAAATACAACTTAATTCAAAATGTGTTTCAAATTTATTTATTTTATTTTTTTTGTATTCAACCAAATTGATAGCAAAAAACGATTTTTTTGTTATAGTTTTTTTAGTATATATAAACTGAAAGTGTTAAGTGATTTCACAATAACAAACAATTCATTGATAGACTAAATAAAGAGAGAGAGAGAGAGAAAGAGAGTAAAAAAAAGGGGGTAAAAAATTTTCAATATCATTGAAAACAAGCATTTAATAAAATACTACTTACTTTATATACACTTTTGATTTTATTTTCTCATTTATTATATTTTTTCAGATCCTAAATAACACATAAAGTATAAAACATTTAGCTTTAAATAAACTGGTGAACTATTGATATTAATATTACTACTACTACTACTACTAAAATGTTATATAAATATATTTATTTGTTAAGAGAAAGAGAGAGAGAGAGAGAGAGAGATAAAGTGAAACGAAAACTAACAGTAAATTTCACAGAAAAAAAAGTCAATTGAATTTTTTTTGTACTGTATTTTTGTAGAAAAATTTAAGCGAAATATATATATATATATATTATAAATAAATATATATTTTATTGAAAGAAGAAATCTATGAAATGAATGAATGACTGAACGATTGAATGACTGACTGAATGAATAGTTGTTTTGTTCGCCACTTTATACAGACATACCTATGCTTTACGTGTTTTTATTTTATTATTATTATTCTTTCTCTCTCTCTCTCTCTCTCTCTCTCTCTCTCTCTCTCTCTCTCTCTCTCTCTGTCTGTCGACAGGCTTTGCTTTCATTTATCAAACACTTTATATTACAGTGTCATCAAAACATACTATCGATAAATCAATTTTAGGAGAGAAAGAGAGAAAGAGAGAGAGAGAGAGAGAGAGAGAGAGAGAGAGAGAGAAAAAACAAAATCATTAAAATATATATATATATTTAACGTCAAAACAACGTTGAAAAACAAAGTGAAATGTTTTTTATATTATTATTATTATTATTATTAGTGAAGCCATAAATCAAGTCATTTCGGACATTAATTTTCAACAATTGTTTTATTGACAATCACTGAGTATATTGAAAATGTTTTTTTTTTCATATATTATAAATATGTCAATATATTAAAGTATTTTGCCTGAGTGTATGTGTGTGTGTGTGTGTGTGTGTGTGTGTGTGTAAGTATGTGTGTATATGTATATATGTATGTGTTTGTGTGTACTAAATAAATAACATATTAATAATCTAAATATTTGTAGTGATAGATATCTATATTTTATAGACTTATATATATATATCAGTATATATACAGACTGCATATATATATATACAATCATCGTTATATATATAGTTAGATAGATATGTATATATATATATATATATATATATATATAGAGAGAGAGAGAGAGAGAGAGAGAGAGAGAATATATATATATATATATATATAGAGAGAGAGAGAGAATTTGTAAAATATTATTTGTAAATTGAATATTAAAAAATATATCATTTATCAACTTATATTATCTATATATATATATATATATATATATATATATACTTTATATACTGTATATATATATATATATATATATAAAGTAAAATAGACATAATATATAAATAATATATAAATTATTTATAAAGTATTTTTCAAATAGTTTTTTTTGTTGAAAGAGGAAATATATATATATATATTTTGAATTACATTTTCATACAAATTATATAATAATTTTAGTCTAAATTTATTTTTGATAAATTTATTTTATCTAGATTACTTTTTTTTTAAAAAAGTGATACTTAATAAAATGTTCATGTACAATCTTAGTACAATTGACACTTTTACAACAACAAAAAATAAATAATTTTTAATTATTTTTATTTAATTTATTTAATAGCTGTTAATTAAACATAAAAATATATATTAAATATGCAATACATATATTAATGCATTAGATTTAAGGCTTATATAACAATAGATTTCAATAATTTATGTATTATTTTTTTATTATTATTATTTGATTTTATATATATATATATATAAACTTAAGTACATAATAGAAATAAAAGTTTATAAAATATTAAAATACTAAAACTAAAAATTTTTTTTCCAAAAAAACCTTTTACTAACATTACGGAAATTTACTGAAATTAAGTACATTTTCAAAAAAATGGTTTTATATTTCAATAAATTTGATATTATTTTCAAATATACTATAATAATAATAGAAAAATATTACATTTAATAAGTAATTACTAAAAACTAAAAATAAATATACATTTTTATGATAAATGTTGAACAATTTTTTTTTTGAAAATACAAAACAAATTTTAAACATTAAAAATTATTTGTTGTAAATGTTTTATATTTTTAAATAAATTAACTCAAGTTTCATATATTTATATTTGAATAATTAATAAGTGATTATATGATTATTTAATTAATTAACAAACAAACAAAAAATATTAGCAAAATAAATAGTAAACTAATTTATAGATTAGCAAAATTTATGTATATATATATATATATATATATATATATATATATATAAATATTTTATACCAATAAAATAAAGTAATAATAATAATAACAACAAAATAGTATAATAATTACACTTATTTTAGTTTCTAACCTAATATGTTATGTTATCTAACAAATAAAACAACTAATCAACAAAACACACACACAAAAAACACATTGATATCTATCTATGACTACTATATATATATATATATATATCCTAATGATGTAATATCTTAATTATATACCATTTATTTTAGTATATATATATATATCGGTATATATATATATATATCGGTATATATATATATCGGTATATATATATATCGGTATATATATATATCGGTATATATATATATCGGTATATATATATATCGGTATATATATATATCGGTATATATATATATCGGTATATATATATATCGGTATATATATATATCGGTATATATATATATCGGTATATATATATATCGGTATATATATATATCGGTATATATATATTATATACTATATCAAACACACACACACACCTATACAGGTATATGAGTGACAACAATCATATGATCGTAATTGAGTCGCACAGGTGTCTCATTAGTCGTTTGAACCAACTTTCCGTTCAACAATTGTTTGCTTATGTAGTCGTCGTTAACCAATTGTAAGTATTCGGCCATAAAGTCGGCCGTTTGGTCGTCGGGAATGTACGGCAAGAAGTGGCACATGGCTTGCAATACGTCTATAGTTTTTGTTGAAATTATTTATTTTTTTGAAATAAATAATTTTTGTTTTTTTTAATTAATTTTTGAAATCATTAGAGAAAAAAAAATCAATTATCAGTTTTTTTGTTAGTATTAATATTATTAATAATAAGTTATTATTTAAAAGATAATTAATTGATTAATTAATTAATAATCTTATCAATAATAATAATAATAATAAGTTACTATTTAAAAAATAATTAATTAACTAATAATAAGATTATTAGTATTATTATTAATAATAATAACTAAATTTATATATATTTTTTTAAAAAAATATTTAGTACTATACTATTATATATATGAAATTGATTTGATTATATATATGTATATAAATATATATATTTGATAATAATAATTATTATTTGTTATTATTATTACTAAAACAAAACAACAACAAAAAAGTTTACTAAATATTATTTTAGGTTTAAAAAAATTATGTAATTATCATTTCTATTTCAATGGTTAATATATTATTTATTTTTTTATTATTAAATATAATTACTATTAAACTGCTGGTGATTAGCAAATTGATAGTAGGTGTGCGTCAAAACAGTTTCCGGCTCATGGAGGCCATTATCGCGGCACAGATCGCGCCATTTGGCCAACAATTGTTGTTCATCGGGTGCTTCAAACACGGGAAATGGGGCCAAATGTTCGCTTAATTTCCGGATGGTTTCTCTCGATTTTTTTGCAATCCTGTTCCCTATAGATAGATATATAATCAACATATATATATATATATATATATATATATATATATATATATATATATATATATATATATATGTATTAAAAAATTTAATTAATTAAAATTTTTTGATTACAATTTTTAGGTATAGCAAAAAAATATTGCTGCCATTTGTCCATAATTGCCATTTTTTGTTGAATCGGTAATAAATCGCTCCACGAAAACAATAGTATATAACAATAGCCTCCTATTTATAAAAAATAAGCAAAAATTAATTTTATTGATTAAACATATAATTTAATTAGTAATTTTAATATTACAAGTGTTGGTATATATATATATATGGTGTATACAGTATTCAGGTTAGAGATAGGTATTAAAACCCAATCAATTAGTTTATATATTAATAAATATCTGAATAAACTATACATTCAATTTAACAAATGACCAAGTTTAATATTTATAGATACAATATTAAACTCAACATTATTGTAATAGGTGAGTTTTTTGTTGTTGATTAATTGTAAAATTAACTAGATAATAGTAGTTAATATAGTCAACTATTTTATGTCCATACTATTATCTATGTTAATTTTTTACAAATAATCAAAAAATGATCAAGCGCATATTTATAGATACAATATTAAAACTAAACATTATTGTAATAGGTGAGTTTTTTTAATTAATTGTAAAATTAACTAGATAATAGTAGTTAATATAGTCAACTATTTTATGTCCATGCTATTATCTATGTTAATTTTACAAATTATCAAAAAAATAACCAAGGGCATATTTTATATAGATAATATTAAAACTCAACATTATTGTAATAGGTGAGTTTTTTCTGATTAATTGAAAAATTAACTAAATAATATAGTCAACTATTTTATGTCCATGCTATTATCTATGTTAATTTTACAAATAATCAAAAAATCACCTATTACAGTAAAGTTGAGTTTTAAAAAATTATCTACAATTATGATCTTGGTCATTTGTTAAAATTAAATGTATGGTTTATCCAGATATTTAATATATTCATAATACTAAAAAAATATTTATTTTTTTTAAAAAAAACCTGGTTTCAATAGTTTGATTATATTTTTGATGGTTTCGTCCAAATCGGATACCCAATGCAAACAATAGATGGAAACAATTAGATCGACACTATGTTCGGCCAGTTGTAGCTTATCCTTAAATTTTGGCCATTCATCGCAAATATCGGCTGCCAAATACTGGACAGTCGGTCGGCGATAGTTTTCGGCGGCAAACTTGATCATCGGTTCGCTGATGTCGACACCGATTATCGACTGATGCGATAGTTTAGTGGCCAACTCGTTGGTTATATTGCCGGTACCGCAGCCGAGATCGACAATTGTATTGAAATGTCTATCAATATATATATATAAATAATTGCAATTTAATTAATAATAACAAAAATAATTGCAATTTAATTAATAATAAATAAAATAATTGTAATCTAATTAATAATAACAAAAAAATTAATAATAAATAAATTACAAATAGTTAATATCAAGTAAACTATTATCTACTATACTATTAGATTATTATTAAATATTAAACTTATTAACTTATTTTTTCCCCTAAATTTACTAAATTTTATTAAAATTATAATTAATTAATTAATTTTTTATCATCGCTACTACAAAAATTAATATATAAATTATATATTTAAACTATTATATTTTTAGACTATATATATATATATATATATATATATAAATTATTTATTTATTTATTTGTAAATATTTTTTTTTTGGTTTTGTTTTTATATATATATATATTTTTGTTGTTAACTTACTTATCGGGGAAATCATCGACAATACGCTGTATAAGACGTTTGCCATCTCTTTGTTGAAGATAATTGCAATTGTTATACAAATCAGGTGTTATATTCATTGTTATAATAATAATAATAAAAAAACAAAAAGTTAAAACAATAAGTAAATTAAAAGATAAATATATATATATATATTCCAGAATTATTATTGTTATTTAAATTTGTATATAATTTGTATAGTAATATAAAATTTTTAAAAAATCAAACAAACAAGAAAAACATTTATTTATTTTTTTAAACAAGAAATCAGTGTTTATTTTTTTTCTCAACAAAAAAAATACTTATTTATATATATATTTTAGATTTGATTTTTTTTGTCAAAAAATTTTAAATTTAAATTTTTTTTCTCTACTAATTAAACAATTTGTTTGCTTAAAGATGATGATGACGATATTGTTTGATATATATATAACTATTGATATATATACTGTATATATATATATATATATATATATATAATTATATATCAATATTTATACTATTTTTTTCCTCTATTTTTTTATATCCATCAAAATACCGGTACCTGAAATCCTATTTATATTTATGTATATATATATATATATATATATAGATATAATATAATGAGAAAATTATAATTAATTATTTTTATGATAGCTAAGTTTACATATATATATATATATATATATATATATAATTCTCTATATATATATATATCTATCAATTTATAGTTCAATCATTTTTTTGTGACAATCATTATTATGTTATATATATATTTTTTTATCAAGGTTTTAGCAAATAAAATTTTAATTTATATTTCCTCTTTTTTTTGGTTGATGTTTGATATATATATATAAATAGCAAAATATAATTTATATATTATACTAAACAAAATATAAGTTTATTTTTGTATCACTAATTGAATACTTGATATAATAATTTTTTTTAAACAAAAATATATATATATTTATAAATAATTATTATTCAATACGGATTTGCTAAGTATATACTATTACTACTACTACTCCTAATAATAATAATAATACTGTAATAATTAGTTTAATTAATTAGTTTTAAAAAAAAAAAATCTATTTTTGTTAATATCTATAAATAAAAATACAAATATATTATATATATATATATATATATATATTATTTTTTAAGATCATATAAAATCATATAATTTTAAAATGTATACAATTTTTATAATAATTTGTTATAATCAATAAAATATAGTAATTGTTTAGTTATTTTTTATTTTAATTAATTTCATTATAATTTATAATAATATTATTAATATTAATAATCAATTTTTAATAGACAATTAACAAATAAATAATGACTAAGTTATTAAAATTAATTTAATTTTAAAAAAATTATTTTTAATATTTTAAAATCCTATGAATAAAAAAATTATTAATTAATTAAAACATATTTACTAAAACTATTGATTTAAATTGATTTAAATTATTTAAATATTAAACTAAATATTTGTTAACTACTAAACTACTAAAAATAATTAATTAATTTAATAATTAATTTAGTAAATAATTTTTTTATAAGTTTAAAAATCAGTGTAACATTGTTTACGAATGACTCCAACCCAATAACCAATAGAGTGATTGTATTGAGTGAATGACGCAATACTATTGACATTGAATGGCTGCACATATACTGTATATAGACTAGAGTTGTTGTACAGTATATTTAAAAAATATATAATAACCGAACCGAACCGCGCTAAACATAACATATGTATGTATTATTAGATTAGTATTATAGACAACAATATTATTTTAAAAATGTTAAACATTTTTGCTAAATACCCAAACCGTAACACATAGTCAAACAACAAATATATATATTAAATAATTTATTAATAATTAATAATAAACCGAACCGTTTGTATGTTTAATCATCACTAATAACTGTGACTGTCTAGTCTCTGTCTACTCTAATACATATATATATATATTATTGGTTGTATAACTTGTAATTCGGGCAACTATTATCCCATAAGGGAAGTTCCCCTCCACCCCCCCCCCAATAAAATCCCTCCAATTTTCACGGGAAAATATTTTATTATCCATCCCTAGACCGTTAGAGAGTAAAAATATATTTGTTTTTTTTAATTTCTAAAATAAATAATACCAACAAAAAAAAAATTAATTTGTTTTGTTTTTTTTGAGTAAAATTTTATTGAATTTTTTTTAAATCAATAATTTTTAGTTAAAAATTATTCTACTATTATACTCAAAAAAATCAATTACAGTTTAATTTAAACATATGATATACAAATAAAATTTTTAATATACTTTTTTTTTAAAAACAAAATGATTCTAATTTCTATCGTTCAATAGATAGTAGAATAACCAGAAAATAGATTCCCTGGGAATTCCCGAGGAATTGTTTTTGAATTTTGTCCGAACCCTTACTTAAGTAATAATACAATGCAATGCAATGACAGTCTCTATACATATACTATACTATACTATACTATAAGAGTCTATACTATTGTTGTAAATAAAAAACACTTCTCATAACTCCTGAAGAATAAACAGAAGAAGAATAATAATATCCGTCCGTCCGGTCAGCGATTGTTTGGATCAATCAATCAGTGGTTAAACCACAACAACTGCTGAACTGATAGACAGATAGACAGAGAGGAAGGGAAGGGAAAGGTATGTAATAATTGTTTGGTCTCTTAGTCTTCGTCTTCATTATCATTTGCTTCTTCTTCTTGTAGTTAATACACACTAAACAAACCTCTTTAGATCCAATTGACTGACAGACAGACAGACTGAGAGGAAGGGAAGGGAAAGGTATGTAATAATTGTTTAGTCTCTTAGTCTTCCTCTTCGTCTTCATTATCATTTGCTTCTTCTTCTTGTAGTTAATACACACTAAACAAACCTCTTTAGATCCAATTGACTGACAGACAGACTGAGAGGAAGGGAAGGGAAAGGTATGTAATAATTGTTTAGTCTCTTAGTCTTCGACTTCTTCATCATTTGCTTCTTCTTCGTGTAGTTAATACACACACACTTAACAAACCTCTTTAGATCCAATTGACAGACAAACAGACAGACAATCACAACAACAACAACAACTAAGATATGACCATCGATGACAAGATCACAGCAACTACCACCGGGACAGCCGTCGTCGCCGCCGCCGCCGCCGCCACCACTCCGACAGTGATCACCGAATTGGTTGTCTTTGATTTTGACGAAACAATAGTCGACTGTAATTCGGATACGTTTATCAATGAGTTGGCACCCGATGGCGGCCACATACCCGACGAATTGTATGCGGAATTTTTGCTGAACAATCGTTGGACCGAATATATGGCCAAAGTTTTAGGTTATTTGCATTCGCGAGGCGTTCGCGAATTGGATCTTCGGCAGTGTTTGAAACGTATGCCGTTTCTGGTCGGTATGAAAGATCTGATTACCAAATTGTCGGCGACCTCAGCAGCAGCGGGTCCGGCAGTGGCGGTACCAGTGGTTAACGAAAACAATGAACAACGAAACTACGAGTTGATTATCATTTCGGACGCCAACAGTGTCTTTATTGGCCACTATCTAGAGTTTAATCAATTGGATAAAGCGTTTCGGTATTATTATTATTATTAGTATTATTTACCGTAAATTACCCGTAATTTTGATCTCTAATCTAATGTTTGTTTGTTTGTTTTTTCAATAACCGATATAGTAATATATACACAAATCCGGCCACGTTTGACGATACGGGTTGCCTGAAACTAACCGAATACCAGTACCAGAACTGGTGTACAACCTGTGCCCGTAATCTATGTAAAGGTCATGTACTCGAAGAACACATCAAACGTCGGGCAATGGAAGACAATCAGTCCTATTCGCGAATCTCTTATGTCGGCGACGGCAGTAACGATGTCTGTCCAGCTCTGAGACTCGGACCAAACGATCGGGTATTTGCCCGACACGGCTATCCATTGGATAAACGATTGGCCAATAATGCCGATCTGAAGGCCAAACGCTATCAGTTTAACAATGCTAACGATATTAGCGCTCAAATGTTTTGAGACTTAACTACTTAACTAATTATTATTATTATTATAGTTATAGTTATTTTATGGGAAATTACCCCGGTACCTAAAAATTAATAATTAAATTTTTAAAAAATATATATATATATATTAAATATTAAACCCATAATATTAACTAAACTGTTATTTCTAACTAAATTATTTGAGATTTATTATTATTATTAGTATTATTATTATTATTACCCATAATTACCGTACGGATATAAATACCCGTTATATTAGTGTATAATATATTATCAATGTTGTTGTTGTTAGAGTGTAGGGTAATTAATTAAAATTATTATTAATTATAATTATTTATTATTAATTTTCATATGATAACTAGGTATTTATTTATTTAATTAAATTATTTTTTTTTTGAAAAATTTATTTATAAAATGTTTGTTTATTTTTGTGTATATATTATTATTATTATTATTGTGAATTGTTTTGAACACCATTTAATAATATAAAAAAAATTAGCAATATTTTTTGTATTTTTAAAAATTCATATAATTTATTTAAAATTCATATTGTTAAAAAATAGTTAATTAATAATAATAATAATAATAATAATAAAATAGCAATAAAACTAAACTATAAAACATCAGTATTATTGAATTTATTATATATATATATAACCAAAAAAAAATTATATACTTATATAAAGCTATACTGTATTTAAAACTAATTTAAATTATATGATTTGTTTATTTATTTAAATATTTTTAACAAATTAGTTATTTTTTTATTTAACAAAAAACATGATTACTTATACACAAAAAAAATATTATTGTAAGTAAAACTATAGATAAAACATAATATATTTGTTAAAATTCAATGATAAACAACAAAAACATTGTATGAAAACTACTATATTTTTTTGTAACAAGTATTACATTATAATTCTAGTAGTATTTTAAATAATTAATTTTTTTATTATATATATATATATAAATAAATTTTTTTGTTAATTATTTAACTAAACTGTTATTATGTAGTAGTAAACTGTAATATTAAATTGATATTTGATATCAAAAAAGTAATATATTATATAATTTGTGTGTGTGTGTGAAAAATATGTGTATTTAAATCTAATAATATTTTAATTTGCAATTTAGTAAACTTATTGCAATAGAAATTAGATTTTTTTTGTTGTTGATTGTAATATAATCTCAACGTTTATTATATATATATATATATATATATATATATATATACAGTATGTGTTTGATATCATCATATAAATTGATATCAAATTTTAATTGATGAATGAATAGCAAAAAAAATTTCTTTATATAAATTTCTATATCATATATACAGTAGATATAGATATATATATTGGGGGAGAAAAACACATATCAAAAAAATCATATCATAGTTAGTTAGAAAAAAATTTTTTTAATAGTCAGACACACTATTAGACACACTGTTTGTTAGTTTGTTTGTTAGTTGGGCTGTCCTTGGGTATGCCATATCATCGTCGATAGTACACTACATAGTATGTACAGTACCATTAACTAGTAATAAGCCTCCCTGAGCCTGAAACTAACTGTCCTTGAATAGAGAGAATATTTTGTAGTCAATATTTTTCAACATTTTCAACGTTTTACTTGTTTTAATATTTTAGTTTTTTTTTGGTGATAAATACCATTAATATATATATATATTTCTAAACATATTTTTATTTAATTATTAATACATTTGCTATTTGAATATACAGTAAAAATATATCTCTTTTTAATCAATTGCTTGGAGACCACTAAACTGACGACACTTTTTTATGTAATTTTATTTTGTATAAAGTTTTTTAAATATAATTAAAAAAATTTTATATATATATATATTGAATATTAGATTTTTTTTTATATACAAAATTTTTAGAAATTATATATTCATTCAATTGATTCATCCATTAAATAATTATTATTAAAAAATAAAATAATAATAATAATAATGTCATCGTTTAAGTTGGAAAAAGTATTGATCAGCGATGCCTGCGATCCATCAGTGGTCGACATATTGAAGTCAAGAGATATCAGGTGCGACATCAAGACTGGTCTACCCAAAGAACAGCTCATCGATACTATTAAAGTTTGTGTCTTTGAAATCAAATCAAATGAATGAATTTTAATTAATACCGTTCCTTACCTACCGTTCCCCTCCCCTCCCAACACCACCTATAGGATTACGATGCCTTAATTGTCCGATCAAACACCCAGGTAACTGCCGATGTTATAGCTGCCGGTAAAAAATTGAAGGTTATCGGTCGGGCCGGTGTCGGTGTCGACAATATCGATGTCCAGGCAGCCAAACAACTGGGCGTCAGTGTAATCAAGTAATATATGAAATTGATATCTATATATATATATATACTTTAATTTACGGTAAATTGATTATACAGTTAATCAATAATTTATGTTACGATTATTTTAGCGCACCGGGAGGTAACAGTATCAGTGCCGCTGAGCTAACCTGTACGATGTTGCTATCAGTATCCAGACACTTGGCCCAGGCCTGTGCCTCATTGAAAAACGGTGTCTGGGATCGTAAAAGTTTTTCGGGTAACGAAGTTTACGGCAAAACACTGGCCATTATCGGCTTGGGTCGTATCGGTCGCGAAGTGGCCGCCCGTATGCAGGCGTTCGGCATGAAAACCATTGGCTTTGATCCGCTAGTTTCGGCCGAAACTAGCCAAACGTTTGGTGTGGAAACTGTAGCGCTGGACAAACTGTGGCCACTGGCCGACTATATAACAGTTCATACGCCGCTTATACCGCAAACAAAAAGTATTATTATTTATTAAGTATAAATTTATTAAAACTACCGGTGCTTTTACACCCCCCCTATCCGTTACTTTTTTTTGTGCACAGACCTACTGAACGACACAACCATAGCCCAGTGCAAAAAAGGTGTCCGCATTGTTAACGTTGCCCGCGGCGGTATTGTCGACGAGGAAGCCCTGTTACGTGGACTACAGTCCGGTCAGGTAGGCGGCGCCGGCCTCGACGTCTACGAAGAGGAACCGCCCAGCCGTAGCCAATTGATCGGCCATCCGAAAGTCATATGTACACCGCATTTGGGCGCCAGTACTAAGGAGGCCCAGATCAATGTGGCCAAAGAGATTGCCTACCAGTTTATCGATATGATTGATGGCAAACCAGTTGCCGGCAAAGTGTGCTAAATATATATACATTATATATATATATATATATATATATATATATGTTTTGTTGGTATTGTTTTTGGTTATCACCTAATATTAAATATTTTTATATTTTTTTCAAAAATAATTATTTTAATATTAAATAATAATAATTGGGTCTTAATATTTTTTAAACAGAGAAAAAAACTAAATAAAATAATTTAGTAATTTTTTAAAATTATTAATATTTATTTTTATTTTTAATTAATTGCTGTCTATTTTTTTTAAAAAATCATTACATAATCTGTGAATATTATTATTATTATTGATTACTTTAATGATTGAATGATTGAATTTTATTTTATTTTGTCGATTAAATTTTTAGATATATATTACTAAACTATTTATTTAATAACTTTGAGAGAAAGAGAGAGAGAGAGAGAGTAGTTTTAACTTAAAACTTAAGTATATATATATAGTATATATAGTATTTTTTTACTCAAACCTAAACAAAAAATATCAAACAAACAAAAATATAGATAAAACTAGAATATAGAGATTAAACTTTGTATTTAATAATAGCCATGAATACTACTATACAGTATATACTGTATATTATATATAACTATATGTTATTCATTCATATTATAATAAGGTGTCATAAATAATATGCTGTATATTATCATTATCTCTCTCTCTCTCTCTCTCTCTCTCTCTCTCTCTCTCTCTCTCTCTCTCTCTAAATGTTATAAATGTTATGTATATTAAAGTACTGTATATTATTGAATATAAAGTGAATATATATCAATACAGTGTAGTTATACAGTTATTTTTGGCCAAAAAAATATAGAAAAATCCAGAAATACTTCAACAGTTAGAGAGAGAGAGAGAGAGAGASAGAGAGAGAGAGAGAGAGAGAGAGAGAGAGAGAGAAAGAAATAAATTGAAATACTTGTGTCGATTACTGAGGAGACGGATGACTGGATGAGCTACAGGTTCGCGCCAAACAACAATAACTACAGTATATATATATATATTAGGCAAAAATGATATCGACATTAACCTACCGAAGCCCTTAGTGACTGATAAGTGACTTCAAGAATCTTAATATATATATATATACTGTATATAAACTACTCTTTACTTTATATATATATATATATTATATAACTCTATGATATATATATATATATCATATAAATTATTATACAGAATATATTTACTACATTGTTATCCAATATATATACAGTACTGTATATTCTATGTAATAACATCAGTCTCTCTCTCTCTCTTTCTCTCTCTCTCTCTCTCTCTCTCTCATAACTTTCCAACAGTTGCCGTACAACGAAACGGAGTCACACACAAAAAAACCAATCATCAGTTTTATGTGTCATTTAATGATACATTTTTTTTTATTGAGAGGATTTTTTTTATATATCTAACGATACATTAATACTACAGCAGTAGTAATATCATCTGTATTATTAGATTTATTATATTATAATATCTATACACCAAAAAATAAAATAAATGAAAGTTTAAAAATAATTACCATAATTATTATTATTATTAATTTAATATTATTATATTTTTAGTTGTTTAATTATAACATATATTTAACATACTATAGATAAATTTATATATAATTTATTATAATTATATATTTTTTAAAAATTAACACATACATAGTGTTTAAAATTAAATAATGATTATAATAATTAATTTTTTTAAAAGTAATATACCTGTATATATATATATATTGAAATTGAAATATAGATTAATATATATTTATTTATTTATTTGAAAAAAAATCTTATTGATTAAATTAAATTATTAATAGTCTTTAAATAATTTTAATTTATGAAACTATAAATACCAGAATAATAATAATGTTATTATTATAATTGTAAAAATGGGATAAAAAAATAAGTAAATCTATAATATATATATATATAGTTGAATATATTTAAATATACTGAATATTATAATTATAATAATAATAATATAAGTTATATATATATATATATATATATATATATTGAATATTTTCTATTAAATGGCTGAACAATAAAAAGGTTGCGCGCATTGCTAACCAACTAACCAAACAACAAGAAAAAAATATATATTATAATTATCAGTAAAAGTGTCGACTTTTTTTTGTGGATCAATTGACAAACACTACAACAGTATATACTGTATATATAAACCACTGTCTGTTTGTCGCATCCAATGGCAGGTCAGGTATAGGTTAGACTATTAAAAAAATATATATCTAAGTTTTTACAGTATAAGAGAGAAACGGATAAACTTGAAAAAAATATAATTTTCAATTTATAATAAATAATAATTTTTTTTATACACACACATAAATTGTTATTACTAAATTTAATAATATTAAGTTTTTAAAATAACTATTTAAATAATTTATATACAGTATATATATATATACTGTATTTGAATAATTAAATTTTTCTCAACAAAAAAAATAAATATTCCCAACAAATTATTTATTCAATTGTTTATCAAAAAATAGTTAATTAATTTGTTTGTTTCTTAACTATTTAAAACAAATTTAATTAAAATATTATTATTATTATTATTACTTCAACAAAAAAACTACTGTACTGTACAAGTAATGGCTCATTTAAGACGACTACACTTCCAGAATCGACAGTATTGTTCAACCATATCGGCGGCCAGTCTACCAGATTTCAGTGATAAATATTTTGAAGAGATTAAGGTATATATACTGTATATATATATATATATATATATATATTAGATTTATTATAATATCTATACAAACATTAAAAAAAATAATAGTAAGATCTGTTCAACAAAAAATATAATAAATAAATGAAAGTTTTAAAATAATTACCATAATTATTATTATTAATAATAATTTAATCGTATTATATTTTTTTATTTGTTTAATTATAATATATATATATTGACATATTATATAGTTAAATTTATATATCATTTATATAATTTATTATAATTATATATATATATATATATATATATATATATATATATATATATTAAATTAACACATACATAGGGTCTAAAATTAAATAATGATTATAATAATTAAATTTTTTAAAAAGTAATATACTATATGAACTACAAGTATATATAAGTATTATATTATATATAAGTATATATTCTGTATATAAAGTATATATCAATGGATAATAATTTCTATAATTTTATTATAATTTAAAAACTAATTATTATTAAAATTGTTTTTTTAAATAAGAAAAAAATTCGTAAAATCACTGAAATCGATGAAAGTGCCGAAACAACTACTAATAGTAGTAGTAGTAGTAATCAAGTGTCGGCAGCGGCTGCGGGTATTGTCGACAAAAATACTACCAGTGCTACCAGTGCTAGTGGTAGTAACGATATACCGCCGCCGACCTCACAAGTGGCCAACAATGCCGTAATATTTTCGCTAAAAAATCAAGTGGGAGGTCTGGTACGAGCACTGAGAGTTTTTCAGGTAATTTATATATATTATTAATAGTCTTATTAGTACAACTATTTTGTTGTTGTTGTTGGTGTTGTTGTTTAAAAGGAAATGGATATAAATGTTAAGCACATCGAGTCTCGGCCATCGAAACGAAGGGATTCCGAGTACGAGATTTTTGTCGATATTGATTGCAATGATCAACAATTGATGACTGATTTAATACATCATTTAAGGTGTTTAACTGTAATTATTATTATTATTATTAAATTATTAATAAAATTATAAATTATTATTTAAGAAAAAAAACCAAACAAACAAACAATTATTTATTATATCTATATTTAAATTATTTATATTATTATATTTAAATTATTTATATTATTATATATTTAAAGATATTTATTATTATAGTAGTACTGTATATATAAATTATATGTGTATACTGTTTTAATTAATTAATTAATTAATTAATTAATAATAATAATAATATTTAAAATACATATTTTAAGACATGAAGTGGACGGTTGTACTTTTGAAGAGTTTGAAAGGTCGTCACCGAAAGGTCTGAAAGACAAACCACAGAGAGGACTATCGGTTCTTATGACTCAACCATCTATTGATATCGGTTTGTTGTAACCAACAAAACATTTTAAAAAATAAATATATTATTAATACCAACAAATGATAAACAATATTCAAAATAAATAAAATGTTATTATAAATTAATTATACAATTTATGCTCTCTCTCTTTCTCTCTCTCTCTCTTTCTCTCTCTCTCTCTTTCTCTCTCTCTTTCTCTCTCTCTTTCTCTCTTTCTTTCTCTCTCTCTCTTTCTCTCTCTCTTTCTCTCTCTCTCTTYTCTCTCTCTCTTCTCTCTCTCTTTCTCTCTCTCTTTCTCTCTCTCTTTCTCTCTCTCTTTCTCTCTCTCTCTCTCTCTCTCTTTCTCTCTCTCTCTTTCTCTCTCTCTTTCTCTCTCTCTTTCTCTCTCTCTCTTTCTCTCTCTGTCTCTCTTTCTCTCTCTCTCTCTCTCTCTCTCTCTCTCTCTCTCTCTCTCTCTCACTTAGATCTAATGGGCGAAAATGGTATGCCATGGTTTCCCACTAGAATATCCGATTTGGACTATTCAGCCAACCGGGTGCTTATGTATGGCTCGGAGCTGGACGCCGATCATCCTGTTTGTAGTTATTATTATTATTATTAGTGACACACATATAAATTTAGATATATATATATATATATATATATATACTAAATATGAACTACAATTACTACCACTACTACTACTTATAGTTTTATATAATTATTTTATTTTTGAAGAAAAAAATAAATATTATTTCAATTAATTATTTATTGCTTTTTTCTCTCTCTTAGGGATTCAAAGATCCTGTTTATAGGAAACGAAGAGAATATTTTTCAAACTTAGCTAAAAATTATAAACAGTTAGTATTTATTTATTTTTTTGATATATTAATTGATTGATATATTAATATTTATACAATATATCTATATATCCAAAGTTTTACTGTATTTTGTGTGTATTCAAAAAAAATATTTTTAATTAATTAATTAATTATTTAAATCAATTTTTTAATTATAAGCGGCGATCGTATACCCAGAGCTCAATATACAGCCGAAGAGGTACAGTATATATATATAAATATATCAATAGATATATATATATATATATATATATATATATATATATATATATATCACATATAAAACAAAAATTTTTATTATTACTATTAAAATATATTATTAATTATTTTATAAAATTTAATTTGATTTTTTTTTGTCCCGGGTTTTCGGATATTATTATTATTATTATTATTATTATTATTATTATTATTATTATTATTATTTCATAATATTAGATCAAGACGTGGGGCATAATCTATGCCGAACTGACCAAATTGTATGCCCAGTATGCCTGCAAAGAGTTTAACGACAATTTCGGTCTACTTGTCCAACACTGCGGCTATCGTAAGGATAATTTGCCACAACTGGAGGAGATATCAAATTTTTTGAAAAGTATAATATATATAGTAACAGCTGAGCACCGACCCGACCCGACACATCCCTATCCCTTTTGAACACACACATAAAAACAAATTACATTGACCTACCCTGTTTCAATCACCCCCACCTAAAAATTTTTTCATAGACCGTACAGGCTTTCAACTGCGACCAGTGGCCGGCTATCTGTCGTCGCGCGACTTTCTGGCCGGACTAGCCTTTCGGGTGTTTCATTGTACACAATATTTGCGACACTCGTCGGACCCGTTCTATACGCCCGGTTAGGTCACCAACACCATCACCTACACTGTAATTAAATTAATTAAATTATATAACATCCCAGAGCCCGACTGTTGTCACGAACTACTAGGCCATTGTGCACTGATGGCCGACCAAAGTTTTGCCCAATTTTCCCAGGAGATAGGCCTGGCCTCACTGGGCGCCAGCGATGAGGAAGTGGATAAGCTGGCCACTTGCTATTTTTTTACGGTCGAGTTTGGACTATGCAAACAGGATAACAAACTGAAAATATACGGCGCCGGCCTATTGTCCAGTGCTGCCGAACTACAGGTGCTTTAATATTATTAGTATTATTGTTAGTAGGGTTAGAGTAGGGTTCGGGGGCAACTTTCCAATTGGGGGGGGGGAAGGGTAGTGAGCGGGTATTTTTACCCGTAAAATAAAACCGTCCAAAAAATTCCAGAGGGAAATATTTTAGGGGAAAAAATATTTTATCATCATTTCTATTAAATCATTAGAAAAATAATATTTTTTTTAATATAATTATAAAATAAATTCAATCAATCAATAGATAGATAAATGAATATTTTGCATAAAATTTATTTAAATTGAAATATTATTTTTTGTTTCTAAAAATTAATAATCCCATGAATTCCTCTCCCCCTCCCCCCACCAGTGAAAATAGCTAAAAAAATTTGGGTTAAATTAAAACAGGGGGTGGGGTGGGGTAGAGGAAACTTAGGTACCGAATCATCCTAAGTTATTAATGTTATATAATTTTTGTTTTCATATATATTGTATATATTTTTTTCACTGAACCTACCGTTCCTCCTCCTCCTGTTCCTCCCCATCCATAGCACTCTATATCGGATTCGGCACATATCATGGCATTTGATCCGGTAGTTACCTGTCAGCAGACACCTATGATAACCACATTTCAGACGGTCTACTTTTATACGGATAGTTTCGATGAGGCTAAACAACAAATGCGGTAATAATTTTTGTTTATATACTAACCCATAACTAACTAACTAACTAACTGTCCAGTTATTATAAGTGATTGTATTATTAATAATTTTTTTATATAATACCCATAAGTAACTAACCTAACTAACTGTCCATTTAAATAAGTGATTGTATTATTAATAATTTTTTTATATAATACCCATAAGTAACTAACCTAACTAACTGTCCATTTAAATAAGTGATTGTATTATTAATAATTTTTTTATATAATACCCATAAGTAACTAACCTAACTAACTGTCCATTTAAATAAGTGATTGTATTATTAATTTTTTTATTATATATGATATATTAGTGAATTTGCGTCGACTATTAAACGGCCGTTTGGTGTCCGATATAATCCGTATACACAGTCAGTCGAGTTGTTAAGTAATACGAAAAAAATTATGAATTTAGTATCGGAACTGAAAGGCGATCTCTGTATTGTCACAAATGCATTGCAAAAGATTAAAATTAATAATAAATACTAAAAATTAATTAATTAATTAATTAGTAATATATATATATACAGTATATATATATATATATTATGTATAATTACCGTAATATTTCAAAAATAGTCATTATATTATTTATTTATTAAAAAACTAATAATAATTTAAATCTCAATTATTATTATTATTATTATTATCATTATTAAGCTACTTATTAAATGTAATTTTTAAAAATATATTTTTTTAATACTAATTATTTTAATTATTATTACTATTACTTATACTATACATTGTTATTATATATATATGGAAACAATTTGTTAAGTTTAAATATATTAAATTATGATTGTGTGTATGTGTGTGTATATTAATGTGCTTGTTGAAAACAAAAATAATTTTTAAAATATTGTAATTTAATTGATAAATGTCTTTTTTAATAATTATTATATTTTAAACTATTTATAATTTTTCAGTTTTAAAACAATATATTAATATATTATTAATATATTACTCTATAATATTTAGAGTTAAAAGTAAATAATTATATAATATTTATAAATAAAATAATTTATCTTAAAAATTTTATAATTATTTATAATTAATATTAAATCATATTAATCAATATAAATTTAATTTTAATTCAATAATAATAATAATTTTTAAAAAAAAACTTAAACATAATTATGATTAAAATAATTAAATCAAATAGCAAATCTACAATACAATTTATCTACTATTTTATTCAATGTTTAATATATACAGTAGTTTTTTTTGTTATAATAAAATATTTGGAAATTTTTTTGTTAATTAGTTGATTACAGTATAATTTTTTTCAAAAAATTGACAATAATAATGATAATATTGTTATTTATAATATAATATTTGTAATTATTATTATTATTATTATTATTACTTAATGATTGTGTTTAAATAGTTTATAAATGCTAGTAGTATTCATCAATAATAATCATAATATTGTTAATAGTATTTATAAATAATGATATACATTAAATCTGAAATATTTAATTATATACTGTATATAAATACTATATTTAATTATAATTTTTATTAGTATTATATATATATATATCTATAATTACTATTAAAATTGTTTAGATTTTATTTTATTATATGTTTAGATAAGTTTGGAAATTAATATATATTTTTTAAAAAACACGTAATTTAATTATTAAAATGTTTGTTTTAAACACATTTACAACAACAAAAAACTATTATTATATATTTGTTGTATAATTATTTTTATTATTACAATAATTATTATCATTATAATGTTTTTTTTTTAAATAAATTTTATATTATTTAAATTACAAATGTTTTGAATATATATATGTTTTATAATTATATATAAGATTAATGTATTGTATTTAAATGTTGTATAGAAATTGATATTTAAAATATCGTTAAAATGTTTTTATTTATTTATTTATTTAATAAACACAATAATTGTTTTAATTAATTTAAATTAATTAATTAGTAGTAGTATTACTACTAATCACTAATAATAATAATTATAATGAGTATCTATTATTAATAAGTATGTGTCAATTATTATTATTAAAAAACTAATAATAATTAAATTTAAAAAAAAATCATAATTGAATTGAGAAAATTGATTATAACTATTCAAATAATAAAATAAAATAAAAATACTAATAATGATAATAAATTGATTAAAAAAAATAATAATAATTAATAAAATTATCAATAATTAATTAAAAAAAAATAATAATTAATTAAAAAAATATATAAGTAAAAAAATTAATAAAATAATTGCTAAATTAATTAATAATAATTAATAATTAAAATAATAATTTACGAACATCCGCACCGGTCGACTACCATACCCGGTAGCATACCGTATATAATATTATAGTTATCGTCAAAGTATAGCATAGATATGGCCGACATTTTCCTCGGGGAACAACACGGACCGGCCGACCCGGACGGGTTGGCCTGTTGTACCAGATGGGTGTGCGGGTATTTCTGGAGGAAAACATAGGGACACTCGCCGCTACAGTAGTTGGCTTCGTAACGTTTCGGTGCTATTATCCAATCCCACCCAAACTCTTCAAAGTCGACGGTCAGCGGGTATCGACAGCAGCGGACTTCGTGTGAATTTTCTTCGCAGTTCAGGCCAGCCATACGTCGGCGACGGTTAGCCGCCTTAGACTCGACCCGTACCTCAATGAATGGCATCTTTTTTTGTTAAAAAATAAATAATTTAATTTAATTTAATTTAATTTAATTTAATTTAATTAATTAATAAAATAAAAACAACAATAAAATAATTATTTATAGGGGGGGGGAAACCTATCGGCTACTTTGAATGCTATATATATATATATATATATATACTGTATATATCTAAATATATACTTTATATATCTAAATATATATTGTATATATCTATAATAGATTATATATTCTATAGATTCTATATATACCACTACACTATATATATATATACATATATATATGTATAATAGAAAAAATATAAATTTGACTACAAATTTCATAGTAATATAATTTATATATATATAATAATTTTATTATTAATAATTATTATTATTTTTTATATGTGTATATAAATAAATATATTTATTAATTATACCAATGAGTTGTCCTCATTAGAGTTGGCCTCAATAACCGCCAGCTCTTTGCCGTCCTTATCATAGGAATGTATAGCCAGTCCAAGATTATCGCCGGGATGTCTGAACCATTGGCTGACCAGCTTTTTCAATTCAATCTGAACCCATACACCTTTTTTCGAGTTGACATCAATTTTTTTGGCCCTAACCTGTTTGTATATTATATTGTTGTTGTGGTCATCAATATATCAATAATAATAATAATAATATGTATTAATTTTTATTATACATGCAATAGTGTTGGCGAATCGTTTCCGTTTTCTTGTCTAACAATCTGATAGACAACTATCCAGGCAGTGGTCGACAACTGTTGGTCGACCTGTAGCTGATGATTGGTTGGCCTAACAAATACCCATAGATGTGCTTTGGATACGTGAGCGTTGAGTACGTTTGCCGAAAACCTAAAGTACTGGCACTTAACTTCTGGCGGTATATTCAGATGACCCGGAGCTGGTGTGATGATCCCCACATGATAATAAAACATATATATATAAAAATAAACAACAAAAAAAACGGTATATTAAGCAATCAATTGGCATATAATTATAGATAGACTGTATAGGTTAGGTATGTTAGTTATATAAGTTAATACAGTATAAACTCTATTGTATTAATAGTGTATATATAAATATACTATATATATATATATATGAAAATATAATTTTTGAATTTATAACTCATATAATTCATTCATTTAATTAATTAATTACTTATTTTTTTATTAATACCAATAATACAGTATATTCTTATAGTATATAATATTTTTTTTTGTAACACATTTCAATAAATCTTTTAGAGAAATTATTTGCATGTTTTTTGTTGTGTAAAAAAAGTAAGTTTTTTATTATTATTATTATTTAAATGTATAGCAAACTCTTATAATCTTATAATATATGGTTTTTTTTTGTTAGAAAAATATCACTTATTTTTTGCGTTCAACAAAAATATATATAAAAAAATAGTTATAGATTTTTGCCGATAATCTATTCAAAATTTATTTTCAATTCATATGATAGTTAAACACCAAATAGTTTCAAACTCTCTCTCTCTCTCTCTCTCTCTCTCACACACACACACACACACACACACACACACACACACACACACACACACAGGTAGCTCACAAAGTCGGTGTCATTATATTTACTGATTTTTTGTATATATATTTTTTTTGTATTATTATTGTTAAGTGTAGGCAATAATAGCCGTCCAGCTGTGCAATGGCTATGCAATTGGTTTGCAAGAGAGAGAGAGAGAGAGAGAGAGAGAGAGAGAGAAACGGGAGATTTAAAAGACCTTCACCTCAGTGTTTGACCCTTAAAAAAGAGCTTCAGTGAGATCTATATGTATGTATTGATGTGTGTGTGTGTGTGTGTGTGTGTGTGTGTGTGTGTGTGTGTGTGTGTGTGTGTGTGTGTGTGTGTGTGTGTGTGTGTGTGTGTGTGTGTGTGTGGTGTGAGTGTATGTAAATTCAAAATAGTTTTACATATTTTTTTTTAAAAAAGATTCAAATATCATATAAAACATATGAGAAGTTTGCACTATATTTATAAAAAAAATGTACAAAATATACCTATTTTTAATTGTGAGCCCAGATTTGCTCTCTCTCTCTCTCTCTCTCTCTCTCTCTCTCTCTCTCTCTCTCTCTCTCTCTCTCTCTCTCTCTCTCCTACTTACTTCCCTAACGCCAACACTTGCTTAACAATTCATAGATAAATACTATTGATATTACATATATTGTATACACACAAAAAACAGGTATATATATCATATAAAGCTCAACATTAAAGCCCAATACATATACAGTATATATAGTTACATATTAGTAGTTTCAGTAACTTATATACAATATTATGATATTACTGTAGCTTAACATATAAATATTTTTTTTTTTAATTAAATTATTATTTATATCAGTAATTAGTATTCAATTGACTTTTTTTTATTTATTTATTATATTATTATTTTGTTGTATTTGTTGTATTACATAATTTTAATTGACTATTTAAATAATAATATACACCAGTAATTAGTTAGCACACATTTTTTTTGCTTTAAAAAAACATATACAACATAAATATCACAAAAAAAAACAAATTTGCATAAAATTTATATACATTATACTGTATTAATCTGCATATGCAATGTTGACAATAATAATAATATAATAGACCCCCTATTGTGCAAACCCCTTGGCAACTAACTGTATATTAATATGCAATAACATAATATACATTACAATTGTGAGATAGAGGGGGGAGATAGGGAGGCTGCCCGAAAAAAATGGACATACCATTGTGCCTTTTTAAATATGTTTTTTTCTCATGGGCACCTATACCTATACCTATCTAACAATATCTATACAATTATTGTGGTGGTGGTAGTAGTAATAGTAGTAGTAGTAATATAGTGGCCCCATTGTAAAAAAACGGTGCGACCCATTGTAGATATATATATATATATATATATATTAAAAAATACATGTATAACAATTATTATAATTATAATAAATAATAATAATAATAAAAAAAATAATAAATTTGCTAGAAATAAGGGTCCATATTATTATTAGGTTATTAGTTATCATTATTATCATTATTATTACTATTACTATTGATTGTATTGATGATAATAATCGGGTGCTTTGTTTAGTATAGTAGTTGTCGATAATATATATATATATATATAATACTAATAATTCATTTTTCATTTAACAACAAAAAAAATACAGTAAAAATATAATGTTATTTTTTTTAACTTCTCACACACACACACACACAAAATAATTATTACATATATTATTAGTGTAATATTATTGTATTATGTGTTATATATATATATACAGTATATATATATATATATATATTGATAACACATGGCATCCGATGTACCATCTCCTCCAACAACAACACACACACACAAAAAAACATCCCATTATCCCCATTATTGCCACCAAATGCTACCAGTTTAGCTACCAGTGCCTCAGTTGCCTCTCTCTCTCTCTCTCTCTCTCTCTCTCTCTCTCTCTCTCTCTCTCTCTCTCTCTCTCTCTCTCTATTTCACACACACATCACACACACCACACATTTAGCCGGAGGAAAGCCCCGATTGTTTGGCATTCAAAGTAAAAGTATCCGCATTTTAGCTAACATTTCTATAAATCCCATTATTATATATATATATATGATTATTATTATTATTATTTTATATGGATGTATACATATAAACTACTCTATATATATATAGGGTGTATGTATAGGTAAATAGCTATTATTATTATTATTAATGTTTTTTGATTATCCGCTAATAGTTTTCGCCAAATAATTTTTTTTCGCTTCAATTTCAAAGACCTATTTTATTTGTGTTATATATATATATATATATATATATATATATATACAGTATATACTGTAAAATAAATTATATAGCGTTACATATGAATTGCTAATTGAAATAATAATAATTTTATTTTACTTTTTTTGTTGTAAAAAAGTACTGAACCAAAAATCTAAATTAAATAATATTAAATAATTTATAATTATTAGTATAACAAAACCGCTACATAAAAAAAACTTAACTCATATTAATCTCTCTCTCTCTCTCTCTCTCTTTCATCAGAGTAATAGTTAATAAATTGTGAGATATCTTAAAGAGATAAAATATATATATATATTATTAATATAATTTTGAAACACTACTTGAATTGAGTCATTTATATACTGTATATATATACAGTATATTTATGATGATATAATGATAAAATTAGCAATAAATTAACAAGCTAACATATTACTATAGTAATTTTTTTTGTAATACTAATAATTTAATGCAATTGATTTCCTTGATCAAACATATATTAAATGTGTGTGTATGTGTATGTATGTGTGTGTGTGTATCTATGTGTGTGTATGTATGTGTATGTATGTATGTGTGTGTGTGTGTGTGTGTGTGTGTGTGTGTGTGTGTGTGTGTGTGTAAGTGAGTGTGTTATATAACAAATAATAAAATTAATTTTTGAATTAATTTCAATAGTTATTATTTAATAAAAATATGTTTTAATAAAATTAAAATTATTTGATTACTATTTTTTTCAAATAAATAGAAAACTAAATTTAAATTAAACTAATCTTTATAAATATATAAATTAGTAAAATATTATAAAATTTTTAAAAATTGTAGTATATAATGTAATAATAATAATAATAATAAATCACAATATGATAAATATATACAAATATTATATTAAGTTAGAAATTCTAGGATTAAAAAACATTAATATTATATATATATATATAATATTAAAACATGATTAACATTATAATCATTAGATAATCAACTCTTTTTTTATATATATAAATATGTGCTATACTTTTATTACACAAATATATACACAAATGTATTTCAATGTAATATTTTTTTTTTTAATATTCAACTCGTATTTTATAAAAAAAAAATCCTTTTTTTCTCAATAAATTTGATTAATTAGTTTAAATATTTTTTTTTATGATTTTTGTTGTTGTAAAACAAACAAAAAATAATAATAATTAAATAATAAAATTAAATGACTAAATTGGATTATATATATATATATATATATATTAAAAAATTAATTAAATAATATTTCTAAATAAAACAAAAATTTTAAATTATTCTTAAATATATATATATATAATTAATTAATTAATAATTCTATTGATTTTTTTTATATACAATCAATTATTACAGTATTTTAAATACACAAAAAAAATTATTTTAGTAATAATAATAAGTTAATTAATTAAATCTAATAAAAAAAACTAAAATTTTAATTAAATCAATAAAAAAATAAAATATTTATTATATATAAAAAACATACGTTTTTGTGCAAAACTGATGGACCGTTCGGCGTTGACAAAGAACTCTTCGTAGTCGTCATCACCGCCGCCGCCGATACCGTCGTTGTCCCCATCCTTGTCGATGGTCTGGTCGTTGTCGTCGATATTAAAACCGTTAAACAGCTGCTGACCGGTCAGCAGCCGCGGATCGTCGCCAAGCATATTGTATCGGTCGAGCAGATGATGGAGTGGCGGTATTCGGGGCAACGGTTTGCCGGTTATATTCGGTGCCGATTTTAGGCCCAATTTGTTTAAGATATTAACTTTGATGGTCTCCAGTCGTCGGGTTTTGGCCTCTTCGTGTAGTACACAACGGGTACAGTTGACACCCGATAATGACTGTTCATCGTAAGCGAGATCATCGTCATCTTCGTCGTCGTGGTCGTCGTCATCGTCATCATCGACGACCACATCGTCGTCGTTGCCATTGTTTTTGGTTGTCTGTTGTTTCTTCTTATTCTTCTTCTTCTTATTAGTTAATTGTTTGGCTAATGTCTGGGCAATCAGTGTCTGAAAGTCTTGTTGATGATCAGCGGTTAGTAAACTGTCTGCCGCTGATGATGATGACGATGACGATGATGCTGATGGAGAAGCAGCGTCTGATTGATAGCCACTTAATAAGTATGACATAGAAGTTGTATTATTATTATTATTAAAAGTATTAATATCTTTTAGGCTATTGTTGTGATTGCTGTTTGACAATGAAGCAGCTGATCCACTGGTCGATGATGATGTTTGCAGATGATGATGATGGCTACTATCACCATCAGAACCACTACTATCATGGGTTAAGCCATGAGTCCGGTCCCAGACTTGGATAAACTTTTTGAGCGCCTCTTCCAAGTTGTCCTCATCGGTAATAATCTCATTAATCGATGATAACTGTTGTTGTTGTGTTAGATGATAGTGTTGTTGTTGATGATGGTGTTGATGGTGATGCTGGTTATGATGCTGATGACGGCTAGTATTGTTGGTGTTTTGGTGGTCAACCAATTGTCGATAGTTTTCACTAATAGTTGTTGTATTGACTAAATGACTGGCAATACTGTTATCAATGATTATTGTTAATAATAATAAACTAACTATTATTAACATATAAATTATGGCAATTGATGATGATGATGATGATAATGCTAATGGTTTATGATTAATATGATTTTTGTTGAGCATTTTTGTTGAGGGGTGTGTGGGTGGGTAGGGGGTGAGGGAAATGTGTGCGAAAATTAATATATATATATATTTAAATAAAACTATTATTATTATTATTAAATTTACACATATATATATAATAAACAATTTATTTATTTGATGTGTTATTGAATTATTATTAATAATAATTAAATAAATTTTTTATATATCATATACACACACAACTATATATAAATATATATATATATAGCTTGAAAATGATTTATTATTATTATTTAAAAGCTGGCATTAGATTTGTTGGACACTATTAGACTACTATTACTATTACTAATAATTATTATTATTATATGATCACAAAAAACACAATTTTTGAATAAAATGACTTAATTTTTATTTTTTTTGGTAGTGTTGTTGTGTTTGAGGAAAGTTGGGGATTGAATGTATGACTTTGAAAATAAAACACAAAATATTTTGTCATAAAAAAACACACAATTTTTTTATTAATTTATTTTGAGTGACACTTCTGAGTCCAGAGAAAGAGAGAGAGAGAGAGAGAGAGAGAGAGAGAGAGAGAGAGAGAGAAAGAGAGAGACTGTGTGTGTGTGTGCGAGTCTAACAACACAAACAAAACAATGGGGTCTTCGGATAATTTATCGGATAAAACGGATAATTATTTTTTTTATCAAAAAAAAACAGATTTCCGGACAATACTTTGTTTCTTCTTCTTCTTCTTCTTCTTCTTCTTGTTTGTGTCGCACAGATGGTGTGTATTTGCATACAAGTGATGACTGATGTCTCGGATGTGATGACAATCTTCTTCTTCTTTTTATTCTTCTTAAGCTTTTTATTATTATTATTATTATTATTTAATACACATATTATATATCATTCACATATATGTTATGCATTTTATCAATAAATAATTGATATATATATATATATGATATATATGTATATATATATATATATTGGTTTGTCTCCCCAGAAAAAAAACACACACTCACTCACTCACTCATTCACTCACTCACACACTCGCACAGTAAGCTCTCATATAAGTTGTGTGTCTCTCCACACCACCAAAAAAAAACTCTCATAAAAAGCGAACTCAATCCCAATCCCAATCCCAATCGTCCCAATCGGACCCCGCCTTTGCCTTTACTGCAGAGAGATTGGTATATATATGTATAATATATATATATATATATATATATATATATATAAGTATGTATTTATATACTAATATATATATATATTATATATATATTATATATATATTATATGAGAGCCAAGAATATTATTATTATTATACATATACTAGAACTTACATAAAGAGATATGTTTTTATTATTTTTATTTTATTAGATTTTATTTTGTTTTTTTTGTTTTTTGAAAAATGCTTTATTTATTATAACATATTCAGCTGTATATATATATACAGTATATATATATTATATATATAGATATATAACTCCCGCCCCAACTAACTAACTAACTCCAAGTGCTCTCTAAAATACCAATTATACACTAAATTTTATAATTATATAATAATAATAATAATAATAATTACTGTATTATTATTATTATAATCATTAACTTAATGATTGACCAGAAAGATAGACACATATAAAATAAATGTAGTATTAATAATATATATTTACTTATTTTTTATTATTGCTATTTTCATTGCATTTATATTTTTGTTTGTTTGATATTTTTTGTTGTTGTTGAAAATTTATACATAAAAATATAATATATATGTCAATATAAATTACTATATATTTTATTATATATATATTATTTTATTTATTATATATATATAGAGTATATACTGTAGACTTTATAAGTAGATAGAGACACACAATACTACAAATATTATGACATAATTTTTTATGTAAATAATAAAAATATTTATATATTATATATATGATAGTATATATATACTGTACTAAACTTTTTATTGACATTTACATTAACTAAATACTGTATATATATAATATTTTATATATAAATTATTATTATTATTATTATATGTAAATTCATTAAAATTAGATAATTATTAAATAATTTATTAACAAAAACATAGACAAACACACACAGCTTATAATAAACAGTATATTTAATAATTTGAAAATATAGTAATTTTGTTTATAATATATTTAAAATTACAAAAAAAATAAAATTGATTTTTAAATATCATTTTTAACTATTTATTTATTTTTAAAAATTAAACTACAAATAATATAATTTTATTTATAAGTTAATATAAATATTTTATTTCTAATAACTACTTATAGAGACTAATAAAATATTATTAATTAACTAAATAATAAATAAATAAATAAATAAATAAAATACATACCTATTATTTATTGATAAACAAAATCACAATTTAAAATATTTGTCATAATTATACAGTCAATTCACAACACAAATAAGTAATTTAAAAAAAAATTATTTTTATTTATTTTTAAGTAATTAAACAAAATTACGATTCAATTAACTAATTGATTAATTAATTAATTACTTTGAAGACTTATTAATCACTATTAGATTTTGAAAAAATTTGTTATTTGATTTTGAAATTATATATATATTTATTATATATCTATTAATAAATAAATATATATAAATATAAAAACTTTGTATTCATATTATTATTATTATTATTATTATTATTATTATTATTATTATTATTATTATTATTATTATTGTTGTTGTTATTAAATATTAATTATATAGCCTGTAAATACTGATTATATGATACTGTACTGTGTCTGTGTATATATAAAAATAAGTTATAATTATATCAATAATATACTGTATATATATATATATTAATATATCTATTTATATATATAGTATTTACATATACTATAACTAAATTTCTTGATGTGTTTATGTAAATGATATAAAAATTGATATGAAATAATTATAGAGACAGAGAGAGAGAGAGAGAGAGAGAGAGAGAGAGAGAGAGAGAGAGAGAGACTAAAATAAGAGCTAATATATATATATATATAATTATCAATTATATACAATATTTATATACAGTATATATTGTATATAATTGATAATTATTGTCGAACTTTGACATAATTATAATTAATTTTTAATTAAACACTTATACTCTCTCTCTCTCTCTCTCTCTCTCTCTCTCTCTCTCTCTCTCTCTCTCTCTCTCTCTCTCTCTCTCTCTCTCTCTCTCTCTCTCTCTCTCTCTCTCTCTCTCTCTCTCTCTCTCTCTCTCTCTCTCTCTCTCTCTCTCTCTCTCTCTCTCTCTCTCTCTCTCTCTGATAACTAATAGCTAAATAATATTTATGAAAAATTAATAGTATATATATACTGTATATATATAGTATATATTGATATATGTCTAATAATAATTTTTTGAATATAAATTATATTAGTATTAAAAATTTATTTATTTATTTAAATATTTATATATATTTATAAACTGTATATAATCACTGATTTTTATTAATATATATATATACCCTGCAATTGAATTTTTAGTATATATATAGTAATATATATATAACTTTTTTTTGTGTGTAATTATTGATATAAACTTTTATCAATTTGTCTGTTTTAAAAAAAAAAATGTTTTGAAATTTTTTCAAACATTTTTTTCAATGATAATAAATATTTTTTAATTTCTCAATTTGTAAAAACCAATTACTAGTTTAGTTTATTTTTATAAAATAATAATTATATATAAATTATAAATAAATTATTATTTATTAATGATATTATATTGTATATTAAATGATGATGATGATGATTAATATAATATTTAAATGTAAATAAATTTTAATATTAATATTATCAACTTATTATTAGGTAAAATGTTTATTTATTTATTTTTAAATATCTTTAAATAAAAAATTTATACATATAGTGGGGAAAAAATTATTTTTGGCAACTAACTAAAAATTACTGTATTATTATTATTATTATTATTATTATTTATAATTATAAAATAAATTAAATTACAATATATGTGAATATATATTATTTTAATTTTTAATTATGCATATATGATATATGGATATATTATGATAATCATAATAATTTATTAACAAAAAATAAATAAATAATTCAAATTAAACTAATTAAATGGTCAATAAAAATAACGTTTGCCAATAATATTATACATGTATTAGATTTTTAAAAAAAAAATTATTATAACCACTAGATTATAATACTAATAATAATATAATATATTTAAAAATTAAATAAATGATGGGTATTAAGTTGCATAAAATATATCGATAAATTAAATTTTTTTTTATAAATTATCAAGGTTTTCTAATAATTTTTTTTACTTTAACTAATCTATCTATATGGGTATATATCATATTATATATATATATTTATGGGTTATTCAATTGAGTCTGCAATGAGTTTTTTTTTTGTTATCTCAAGGACTCAATAGTATTAGTGAGTTAGAGAGTGAGTGAGTGAGTGAGTGAGTAAGTGAGTGAGTGAGAGAGAGAGAGAGAGAGAGAGAGTATTAAACCAAAACCGAGGGTCGAAATATGTGTCGAAAAAAATATGACTTATTAGACAACATATTGAACATACTGTACAATATTTGACATTTTCATTGAACTTATCTAATATACGGTACTTTTTTTTATTATTATATTGATGATTATTTATTGTATGTTCAAAATCAAAAAATGCAATTACATGTATGTGTGTGTGTGTGTGTGTGTGTATGTGTGTGTATGTGTGTGTATGTGTGTGTATGTGTGTGTATGTGTGTGTATGTGTGTGTATGTGTGTGTATGTGTGTGTATGTGTGTGTATGTGTGTGTATGTGTGTGTATGTGTGTGTATGTGTGTGTATGTGTGTGTATGTGTGTGTATGTGTGTGTATGTGTGTGTATGTGTGTGTATGTATGTATGTGTGTGTGTGTATATATGTGTGTATGTATATATATATATATATATATATGTGTGTGTGTGTGTGTGTGTGTGTCAGTTAAACTATGTACTGTATTAAATTATATTGTGTTAACTAATTGTATAATAGTTTTTTTTAAATAAAAATTAATTATTTATTTTTTTTGAATTATTTTGAAGTAAAAACTCTAAACTGTGCCAAATTTTTAAATAAATTTATATATCCAAGCTAATTTACCAAGGTGCATAGTACAATTTAAAAAAATCAATAATAATAAATAATATTATAGCAACAACAAAAATTATTATTATTTGTTATAAACTAGTTATAAGTTTGCTAGCTGCTAATTTAAAATAATAAAAATAATAATAGCTAAAAAATTAGCATGTATAAATCTAGAAAAATAATTGATGGAAATATTTTTTAAATATCAAATAGTTTATTGCATTTTTTGTTGTTGTTGTTTTATTTAATTAATTTTTTTTCCTAAATGATTTACGTGTTTTAAAAAAATTTAATATTATAAAATTACACATAAAAAAACACAACAAAAATAAAATAAAAGATTTAGCAACAAATAAAAAAAATTATCATAAAATATGTCAAATACGTGAAACTGATTGGTAATGTATTTAACATTTTATATAATAAAGTTTTTTTTTAAAAAATATATTTATATGTAATTTAATGCCAAACACACACACATTTAAATTAATGAGTGACTCTTTTTTTCAATCCCTATATATTTATATATATATAAATTATATTAATATTTATACAGTATATTATAATTTATATTATTAAAGTATTTAAAAATTTTGGGAATTAACCAGTTATGAGATACTAAACTATTTTTAATTTTTTTTGTTGTTTTTATTTTTTTTGTTGCTAAAGTATATGAGTATATTGTATCCAAAAGTAAAGTATATATTAATTTATTTTTTTTTTGTTATTTTTGTTAATTTATTTTTATTATATATATATATTAAATACGATAGCAATGAACTGAATAAATGATATAAATTTATTAATACCTCAGTATTTATATAATGTATGTATATTTTATTTTAACAAAAATAATAAATTAATACTTTTAAATGACACTAAAAAAATAAAAGAAAAGAAAATAAGTGATAATAAAAAATAAATGTTTGAAATTAAAAAAAAATTTAATACTTTTTTTCTACTTATATGTAATTTATTCTGACCAAAAAAATATATACATATATATATATATATTGAAAATAAAACGTTTTTATAATTATAATTTTTTTTTGACCAACTATTTGCTGGTGATATTGACCTTTACCAAGATCATTATTTTAATTAAATTTTAAAAAAGATATAAAATATAATATTATTACTATATATATATATACTAAAAAATATATTTATATATTATTTGAAAAAAATACTTTTGTATTAATTATTGTTTGTTAGAACATATCCTATTTTTTTACAATAAAAATTCTTAGAAAAAATAGTTTCTCAATTATTGAAATAATTGAGATAAAATACTGCAAATTGTTTTACACACACACACACATACATACACACACGCATATACATACATACACACACATTAACACATAAACATACACATATACACACACATTAACACACACATACACACACATACACACACATACACACACACATACATATATATATATACACACACATACACACACACATACACATACACACACACACACACACACACACACACACACACATACATACATACACACACATACACATACACATACACAAACACAAACACAAACACAAACACAAACACATACACATACACATACACATACACATACACATACACATACACATACACATACACATACACATACACATACACATACACATACACATACACATACACATACACATACACATACACATACACATACACATACACATACACATACACATACACATACACATACACATACACATACACATACACATACACATACACATACACATACACATACACATACACATACACATACACATACACATACACATACACATACACATACACATACACATACACATACACATACACATACACATACACATACACATACACATACACATACACATACACATACACATACACATACACATACACATACACATACACATACACATACACATACACATACACATACACATACACACACAAAATTCTATGAATAAAATAATAATAAGAATTATTATTATTATTATTATTACTATTATCGGTATATCTATATAATTGGTGTTTTCCTAAAAACAATGGGTGTTCAACAACAAAAAATTTAAAAAGAAAAAAATTATATACATTTTTTTCAGTAGAAACTAAAAATAAAATTATGACTTTTTTTGATGTTTTGTTTGCATATAAATCAATAGTTATTTTTTTTTGAAACAACACTTTACGATCCAAATAAATTATGAATAGGTAGTAAAATATATATATATATATAGTATATGTAAACTCTTTAAACATTTTTAACAGTGTGTGTGTGTGTGTGTGTGTGTGTGTGTGTGTGTGTGTGTGTCTATAAAAAATAAAACAAAATAAATTTTTGTTTAAATAATACAAAAAAGCAATAAAAATATCATTTTTTTTGTTTTTATTTATTTTCATTTGAATTACACTCTGATCTTATTTTTAGCCATAGTTTTTTGTTTAGTAGTAAACTTTATATTATTATTTTTTTGTTGTTGATTTTTATCATTGTAATTTATATACATATTTTCTTGATATCAAATATTATATAAAATGTATATAAATTTTATTATATATATATATCATATATCATTACATCCCTGTTTTTTTTTAGCTAAATTTATTGCAATATTAATGTATAATTTATATATGTATTGATTAATATCAATTGAAAATATTAAAAGTTATGTTTTTTTTATTAGTTTATGTTTGAAATCGATAATAATTTTTTTATTAAAAAATTATTATGTGATCAAAGCTAAAAAATAATTTTGTTAATACCAGTATATAATTAATATATTAATTTATAATTAATTAGTTACGATTTAATTTTTTCAAAAAAAAATAATTAATAAAATGATATTCAAAAAAAAAAAATAAATAAATATTAATTTGTTATTATTGTCATATTATTAAACTGTAATTAAACTATTATCGCTAATAATAATAATAATAATATAAATTAATAGCATGTTTTTAAAAATTAAATTAAAATTATAAAAACTTATTTAAAAAAAAAATTAAATCATAATTCATATAACTATAAAATATTAACTAACAAAATATTATAATAATAAATAATTGCAATATTTATGTAAAAAATTTTAGTCAATTAATTTTTTTTGTATTAGATTTTTTAAAATATTTAATTACATGTATTTAGATACAGTATATACTGGTATATAATAATAATACAGTATTTTTATACAATTGTTATACAAATAGTTTTACCTAATTATCTCAAATTTTTATTCAAAGTTTTATTTATATAAAAAATAACTATTTGTTTTACATATCATAATACACTTAATAATCAATTTGGTTAGTATTGATAGTATTGTGTAAATACCTATATAATCATATTACAGGTATTATATATTTATATATATATATATATAACATTATACTGTCTTACCTGTATATACACTGTATTATACAGTTTAGCGATTTTTTTTTGGGGGGGGGGTATTACTGTATTAATTATATATATATATTAAAAATTGCAAAATTATTTATATATATCTATTTAGTAAATAATTTTTTATTATAACACTAAAATTTGAGGGGGGAAACTTACAGGAAATTTGCCTCGAATTTTTGCATATATAAAATGGATAGAAATTGATTAATTTTTTTTTTAAATAAAAAAACAAACAATATATTAATAAAACATTAATAAAAAAATCATTTAATAAAAGCGATAAACTATGCATTATTTTAAAATATAATAAATCAATCAATCAATCAAATAATTATAATGATAATTATAAACCAAAACATACAATATAAACAATTTTATGATAAATTTTTCTAATAATAAATATAATAATAATAATAATAATATACATTACTTACTAATAACAATAATATTGTTGACATATCATATATACAGTAAATATGTAATTATTAAATTACCGGTAAATATAATATAAATATTGTATATTTATTATGTGATGATTGTAGTAGTAGTAGTAGTAATTTTTATTTAAACACGGTAATTTTATTTATTTAATTATTATTATTTTTAATATTATATTAATTATTAAAATAATTTGAATTAATTTATTATTATTATCATTTTAAATTATCAGATTTTCTTTTTAAATAAAAATATATTTTTTTTAAATATAAATATATATTATTATAATAATTATAATTATTAATTAGTTAATTAATAAATTAATTAACTAATTAATTAACTAATCGGCAACCGATAGCTGTGCAAAACCAGTCAACGTTTTCTCATCGCTTAATTCAGAAGATTCTGTCATCGGATTCTGTATAATAATAGTTAATAATTAGTTAATAATTAGTTAATAATTAGTTAATAATTAGTTAATAATTAGTTAATAATTAATTAATAATTAATTAATTAATAAATTCAATAAAACTAATTATTATTATTATTATATATGTTAAACAAAACAAAAAAACAAACAAATCGGTAGACAAACCAATGCAAAAACTATCGATTTGTTGGCCATCGGCTCCAAAATGAGTTTCTGAAGATTGCCGGCAACCACTACAAAGTCTTTACCGTCGACCAGACCGGCAGTTATTAACTCTTGTGCTATACCTTCGGGTGTGTCTAAAAAAACGAGATAGTGAGTGAGTGAGCAAAAAATAAATATACATAATATCATCGCCGCAGCCGACGGTGGCGGTCAAAACATATACCTTTATCAATGGTAAACTCGAAGCGAATATCGTTGAGCTCTTTCTTCGAGTTTCGTATTCTGAGGACTAAATTGATGGGATTGTTGGATACAACAACATCACCGCTACTGCCAGTAGCGGCACTGCCGCTGCCAACCGGCTCTTGACTATTGATGGAGACAACACTTGTGGCTAATGTGGTCGTCGTCTTAGTCGTCGATGTCGTCTGATTGGCGGCCAACTCGGCGTTGGTCGACGACGACGACGACGACGACATATTATTGGTTACCGGAGCAGCCGATACACTGCTACTGTCATCACTTTGTTGTTGTTTTTGTTGTTGTTGTTGTTGTTGATGATGGTGTTGGTCGTGGTGATGGTCGTGGCTTATGTGGTGGTTCTCTTTGGAGACGACAACACTGTTGTTGTTGTTGTTATTGCAAGCGATATTAATGTTGTTGGTGTTACTATTGATCCGATTATCGGCATCAATAACGGGTGCAGTGGTCACTGCAGTCGTGTCTGTAGTAGTAGTAGTAGTCCCTGCAGTTGTAGTCTCTGGTGACGCTTGATGTTTGTCTCCGCCGCCGCCACCGCTACCGTCCTGATCGTCATCAGACCAAACCCAGTCGCCGGCTTCCGTACGATGTAGTCGACCGCTGGCTCCCTGACCACGGCGACTGGTCTTTGCTTTTTTGGCCCGTTCTTCAATTGACGGCGCAGTCGACAACAATGTCTTTATCATGTAATGCTTGTCCTTTGAATGAATGGATGGTATGAATGGGATGAGATGGATGTCAATAGTGAAGAATATAAATCCACACAAAAAACCAAACAAACCTTTGCTTTCCTAAAGAATTGATGTTTCAATAGTTCAGTCGATGTCGGCCTCTTTGTCGGATCTTTTTGCAGACAATCGCCAATCAGTTTGCGTATCGATTTTCCATAGTTCTTGTACTGGTCTTTCTCGTCGCTGACCGATTCCAGCGACGGCGGATCGTTTTGCAAGGTCAACATCAGTACCTTCATCGGCGGATATTTATGATAGGGAGCGGTTCCGGTGGCCAACTCGATAGCCGTTATACCGAAACTCCAGATATCCGCCTTGAAATCGTAGCCGGTAACCTGTTCCATAACTTCGGGTGCCATCCAACAGGGTGTACCCACAAACGTATGGCGAGACTTTTGACGGGACAAATCGCCGCCAGTGGCCAACCACGAGCTAACGCCAAAGTCTGGTCATAACAATCAATCAATCAATTGGTCTGTTTTTTTTGGTGATTAGTTTGTTATTTTACCGGCAATTTGAACGGATCCGTCGTCGCCGAGCAATATATTACCGGCTTTGATGTCCCGATGAATTTGGCCGTTCAGATGAAAATATTCCAATCCTTTCAGTACTTCCTTAAGTACGGTAGCAATGATTGCTTCGTCGAAGACTCCGTGACGACAGTCTTCGCTTTTCATCCGGTGTTTAATAATATCGAGAAGTGATCCTATAATAAGATATATAGATATATAAGAAGTAGTAAATCAGTTGCTGATTATGTCCACCCGATTACGGGGGCGGACAACACATCGGACAGTTAGTTAGAGATCAGATCATTACCGCCTCCAAGCAATCGTATGACAAGCCATAGCTCTTCTTTGACGACAAACGATGTATAATAAGTGACAACATTGTCGTGATTGCAGGCACTCATAGCCTGAATCTCTTTCAACAGTTCATCCATCGATGTGTTCCACTTCTCCAGATTGATCCGTTTGATGGCACACCTCTCACGCCGTGGCTTACAATAGGCTGAATGTACCGAAGCGGTAGCGCCGACACCTATAGTTTTCATTGGGTGACAGAGAGAGAGACAGAGACAGACAGACAGTTAGAGAGAGAGAGAGAGAGAGGACACATGAGAGACATGAGTTGTGGTCAGTCAGTAGTCATCGTCATCGACATCGACAACAACACCAACGTGTCGTCTATTACAACATGAACTTTACCGATAATTTCGCCGATCTCGTAGTCGTTGACATTGTTTGGCCAGTTATTGGCTGCGGCAGCGGCTGCTGCTGCTGCCGATGCTGCCGATGCAGCAGCTGATCCTGGGGTGGCCGCACCACCGCTACCGGTATTACCGGCGGCCAAACCGACAGTATTTGCCACTTCAGCCATCTTTGCGGCCAACAGTTGAGCTCGACTTGTATGACGAGTGGCGGCACCTGTTGTCGGCTGGTGTTGGCTGTGGTTATGGTCTCCACGACTACGACTACTACTACTACTACTACCACCGCCTACTCCTCCTAAGCTACCGGTGCTCTCTCTGCCGGTGCTGTTAGTCGATGTCGATCTCCATATAGACTTCATAGATACCGACTTCTTGTGGTGTCCACCGCCGGTACTACCGGTACTACCGCTGCCGCTGTAGTCGATGTTGTGATGGTTACGCAACCGAACCATTTGGTCCATGTCTTCATTCAGTAGATCCCGAGTGGCACTGATTCGCCGATAGATTCCCGTTGACGGCCACTGTTGCTGCTGTTGCTGCTGATGGTCAGCGACACCGCCGGTACCGATATTCTGGTCGCTGCCGACGATACTAAACGAAGAAGCATTGGATCTGTTAATCATTATTAGCGAAGAATACTTTAGCTGATGAACTAATTGCGCCAATTCTGGCATTACATCAAACATTTTGAAGTTTTTTTTAATTAATTAAATAAAAAAAGTTTTTTTTGGTTTGAAATATTTTTTTTTTTTTTTATATCAAATCATAGTTTCAAAACAGTTATATCCAAAAAATAAAAAAAAATTTTATCAATCATTTCAATCCAATAGATATAATAGATATAAAATAGTATTGAAAATAAATTGATTGATTGAATTGAATTGAATAATAATAGTAAAAATAAATTAATACAAAAAATAAAATTACATTACGAAATATCTATTGTTAATTGAGACAGCTAAACTAATAAATAAATTTTTTTTTAAATTATATATTTTTTGTGTGTTAATAATAACGATTTTTTTTTATATATATATTATTATTAAATGATAAATATAATACATTTTATTAATAATAGTTGTTTACCGGACCCAGCTGATTAAACTAAATAATAATAATTGCTATTATTATTAAAACTAAATAACTAACTAGGCTTATAATAAATATATTCAGGTATTATTAAAAATTATTTTTCACAAAAATAAAATCAATCTATTTATAACATTATAAAAATAAAATAAAAATTTGCACAAACAATATATATGTTTATTATATTGCTATTATTACGGTATTATATTGTAATAATAATAATAATTACGGGTATATTTATTTATTTTATAATGAAATATTACAAAATAAATCAATATTACAATAATAACTATTATTATTATTATTATTATTATTATTATTATTATTATTAGCCCATCATTTAACTAAATATATTTTTAGTTAAGTAACAAAATTCAATAATAAATTATTAATATATAGAATCTATATTATATTATAGATATATAACTTTAAATTTTTTTTGGGTTTAAAAAATCTTTTTTTTTAATAATTAATTAATTTTTATTTATTTTTTTTTAAATACTTACGTTGGACTCATAGTTACCGGCGATGACATAGTGGCCCGTAATGGCCAGTGTTTAGCTTTTTGATTGCAATTTTGTTGTTGATCTTTATGTTCAGCTAAATAACTCATTTTTTTATTTATTAGTATTATTATTATTATTATATAATTATTTTTATTTATTTTTTCCAACACTTTTATAACGTTATTTACAAACAAAACAAAAAATTAATTAATTAATTAAAAATATAATTATTTAATTTTATATTTTTAAACACTAGTATCCTTATTATGATTATTATTATTATTATTAATAATTTCAATGAATCCACAATTTTTTTTTGTTTTTTTTCTAACAATTTTATCTAATATTTATGATGACAGCAATTGTCTTAAATATTATTATTATTATTATTAATATTAAATAATATGAATTGAGTTTACATATTATTATTATTATTATTATTTCTAATGATTACAATTACGATGAGATGATAATTATAATTATAATTTTTTATATCACATTTATATTAAAAAAAAATAATAATAAATTAAAATTTTAAGTTAAGTCATCATAAGAAATAAAATTATTTTTTTTAATATATAAATTAGACTAAAGATATTTTTATTATTATTATTATTATTATTATTATTATTTAAAAATTATTTTTAATAATTAGTTTATTATTATTATTTTATTACAAATTAACAAAATTAACTATTAATTACAATATAAATAACAAAATGCACACAAACACAAAACAATTTTAATTGATTGAAATGAAAAAATAATAAATTTATTTTTAAACATTAAAAAATTAAAAAATTAATGCCAAATCATATTATATATATTTTTTTGTGTGGTGAGTATCTTTATGACAGTATTTACTATAAAATTGAATAAATAATTAATATTTTATATATATATATATATATATATATATATAACTTTATATATGTTAGCATTTACTGTATTTTTTTATGATACATATATTAATATATATATTTTTTTAATAACATTTTATCATATAAGTAATATAAATATACAATATATATATATAATTGAGATCTCATTATATTAATATGTTTTTTATTTAGTTAATTATTGTTAATTACAATTATTATTATTATTATTATTATTCCACACATACAACAATTTATATTAAACTTTAAACTATATATATATATATATATATATATATTAATAACTTTTTTATATATTAAACAAATAAAAAAAATAAATTATTTGATTTGATTGTATATGTGATAAAAAGTTTAAATATGATACTCATATATAAAACACAAAAAAATGTTATTTACTGTTAATTTATAGTGAGATATGTATTGCATATAAATTAGTATTAAATATGAATGTATATAATTGTCTACAAAAAAAAAATTATAAACTTTTATTTTTTTTATTATAAATATTTGGTATTTTTTTGTTAAACATAAATGTTTTTCTCTAAAAATATTATATTTTTCTATACACTTCATTGAATGCGATTGATATGACTCGTGATTAAATCAAAGTGTAAATATAATATAAATTTTATTTTTGTATTTGTTATAATAACGTATATAATAATAATAATAATTATTATTATTATAAATATTAATGTTTAATATATATAACATATTTGTTTCACAATAATATATATATATATATCGTATATATTGTATATAAAGTTAATATACGGAATTTTTTATCATGATTATGATAAATGTTATAATTATAATATCATATCATATATTGTATATATATATATATATATATATATATATATATATATATATATATATATATATATATATATATGATTGTATATTTATTATGACAATCAAATATATATATATATATATATATATAAATTGATATAACATAATAGTAGCCAATTGTGGTAATTAAAAAATTAAATTGAATTAACTCTATTGATAATATAATTAAATTATATAATTATAATATATTTATACCGTAAATAGTAGTAGTAGTATAACAAATATTAATTACCGGATAATGTATTTTGTTTGTTTGTTTATTAAATAGGTAAATTATTTTTTCACAATTTTAGATTATTATTATTATTATTTTAATAAATAACAAAAAATATTTATTTATTTTTGTTGGTATTATACTCTACACGTAAATAAATATTACTTTGATTTTTTTGTTTGTTGTTTGAATTATCTAAAAATTAAAATTATAATATTAACAAAAAAAATTAGATAGTTTAAACTTGCCTGATAATTGAAACTTATAATAATATTGGTATTTAATAATAAAATTTCAATCATTAATATAAAATTAAAACATAAATAAATATTTAAACAATAATATCATTTATTATAGTTAATTATTATTATTATTATAATTTAGAGGCAAATAATATATACTGTATATACACTACTAAACAAAATATCAAATCAATCAATCAATTATAATCATATAAACTAAATTAATTAAAAGTAATTTAATGATAATCTATTAATATCTTAATAACTAATAATAATAATAATAATATTACCGACGGTAATAATAAAATTTCAATCATTAATAAAAAATTAAAACATAAATAAATATTTAAATAATAATATCATTTATTATAGTTAATTATTATTATCATATTTTAGAGGCAAATATATATACTGTATATACACTACTAAACAAAATATCAAATCAAATCAATCAATCAATTATAATCATATAAACTAAATTAATTAACTAATTAAATGATAATCTATTAATATCTTAATAACTAATAATAATAATAATTTTGGTATTTAATAATATTACCGACGCTAATAATAAAATTTCAATCATTAATAAAAAATTAAAACATAAATAAATATTTAAACAACAATAATATCATTTATTATAGTTTATTATTATTATAATTTAGAGGCAAATATATATACTGTATATACACTACTAAACAAAATAGCAAATCAATCAATCAATTATAATCATATAAACTAAATTAATTAAAAGTAATTTAATGATAATCTATTAATATCTATTAATAACTAATAGTAATAATAATAATAATTGTTTTATATATATATATATAAACTAATGATAATAACAACAGTCAGTCAGTCAGTCATTATCACCACCACTACTGAGGCATCTCTTTGTGGACAAACTTGCCATCGATTCCCTGTCTCCACGGATACCACGGCTTAACTATTTGGCCAAACTTTTTGCGCTCTACTCTCGGGGTATTATCGGGGCGGGAGTTATACGGGAAATAAAATTACATTATAATCAATAGATCCCAATTAAACCCGATAATAATGATAATTACCGATTCGGGGAAAGTCCTGCTCGTGAACCAGTAGATAGTGTACGAGTACGGCGTCCCGTTCGCGGGCCCGTCTCCTGGAACTACGCCACAGATATTCGCCGATCGCATAGAACAGGCCGACAGCGGCCACCGTTCGGGGAATAGCCGACCAAAACGGTCGCTGCTTTTGGACATTAGTATAGACGGCACCGCCAAAACCGATTACACTGGCCACCAGCGGATACCAGACCCGATCAAATTTATGATGATCACTGGGCAGACCGGTTATCTTGAAGAAAGCCTCCACCGGATGATAGCTATCGCCCAGACGTTTCATACCGCAAAACTTTTCGGGTGTATCCCATTCGCTGCGTCCGTCACGTAGTTCCTGGTATCGGGACTTCCAGTCGACCGATTCAAGCGATTGGCCAGTAGTGTCTTGCGGATAGAAATCGCGACCTCTTTCCGATTCGGTACCAATTCGGTCGTCGACTGTCGGCATAGACATTGTTGGCGGCGGTGTTGGCGTTGGCGGCGGTATCTGACTGTCCGATCAACAAATAAAAAAATTGTTAACACATTTAACCGTAATATTGAATTTGTTTGTATATTAAACAATAACACTGTTATTATTGTGTATTATAAATGCCATTTACATGTAAAAAAATTTACATCCCTGTGCTGGCACCTACCTATTCATACATACATATAGACTAAAATACTGGTAAACTATACTGTATTTATTGGAGGGGTGGGTGGAGGTGGGGTGTTGGGTAAATCAATTTAATATATATTGATATATAACTTATAATATTGTATATAATTTAAACTGAAAAAGTTTTTTTTTTAATTAATTAAATTAAAACTTAGTTTACTATAACTTTATTTCTATAACTATAATAATAAGTTATAATTGTCTAATCAATTACCTGTATATTATTATTATTATTATTATTATTATTATTATTATATGGGTTTTAATGGTTAATTACTAAAAATAAAAATAATCTAGTTAAGATATATATATATATATATATATATAATTTATATATATATATACAGTAGTATAGTTATCATAAAATATAACCTAGGTTAATGTACTATTACCGTAATTATGATAGTATCAATATAATAGCTAATATTACAGTTACTAATCAATATAATAATATATAATTATAAATATACAAATGTATATAAAAAATAAAAATAATTATATTTTTTAAAAGTTTTCATTAAATTTTATTAATTAATTTATAATATTAAAAATTTTATAGTTTTGTGTGTGTGTGTATGTGTGTATATGAATATGGACAATTTTAATTTTTTAAAAAAAGATCAAGTTGATTTTTAATTAAATTACATTTAATTATAATTACAATAATTTTTTTTAAAAAAATAGAGAAAAATTGTCACAAAAAAAATTATTAATAAAAAAAAATAAATTAAATTATTAATAAATATTTTAAACAACCGGTTAAGCTATTAATACATTAATAAAAATTTTGTTTTTATTATATTAATGTATTAACAAAAAAAATTAATTTAGGATTTTATTGTTTTTTTTTTGAAATTATTAAATACACACAAATAGTTTATATATATATAGACGCACACAAAAAAAACAATTATCATTATAATTGTTTTTAATTATTAATAATAATAAACTATTTATAGTCCAGAGATAAAATAGTCTAATAATAATAATAATATATATTTAAATATATATATATAAATGTAACCAAAATGAATGTCTCCTCAAAAAAGCCGATTTAAAATTTTTTTTTAATCTTAAATATGAATAAACTTTTTGTTTTTAATGAATTATTTAATTAATGAAATAATGAATCAAATAGTTATCATTTAGTTTTTAACTCTAATTAATTGAATGAATTGTTGCGATAAATATAATAATAATAATAATTAAAAAAAAAATATTGAATAATGAATTGTCGCTAAATGTGTCAACAAAATCAAAAAAAAACAATGAGACAAACAATTAATTAATTTAAATAAAAGTTGTCTACAATTTTGGTGTAGTTTTTGTGTTTATGAAAACAATTGTTATTTTTTAGATGATATTATCAATCAATTGATTGATTGAATCAATCATCAGATCTAATCGATAGATAGTGTAATCAATTAAAACAATCAATGAATTCAAATGAATAATAATAATAATAATAATAAATGACAATAAAGTTTTGAAAAAAGAAAAAAAAGACAGAAAATAATGATTTGAAATATATATATATATGACGACAACTTTCTTCTAGAGTGGATCCGTCCAACTAGTTGTTAGGGTATGAGCCGCCAACAAAAATGGTCGGTTCAATGGATCGACTAATCGTCGTCTTCGTCCTCATCTTCTTCTTCCTCCTCCTCTTCTTCGTCTTCATCTTCCGATTCCTCTTTTTTCGGTACAACTTTCACCGGAACTGGTTTAGCCTTCTTGGCTTTGTATACCTTCATCTCCTAATTAGTAGACAACAACAACAATGGGATCAGTTATATATGTTAATCAATCAATCGGTTGGTTAGTTGGATCAGATCCATACCACACAAATCAATCGGTTGGTTAGTTGGATCAGATCCATACCACACCAATCAATCGGTTGGTTAGTTGGATCAGATCCATACCACACCAATCAATCGGTTGGTTAGTTGGATCAGATCCATACCACACCAATCAATCGGTTGGTTAGTTGGATCAGATCCATACCACACCAATCAATCGGTTGGTTAGTTGGATCAGATCCATACCACACCAATCAATCGGTTGGTTGTATCAGATCCACACCACACCATCAAACACACATACCTTTTCATAGCGAGCCTTATCCTTAGCGGCCAATGCCTCGAACTTGCTCTTCATATCTTCGGTATGTTCGTTCCAACGACGACCCAACTCTTTGGCCACTTCGCCGACAGTTGCGTCGTTCATAGTTTCCTTTACTTTCGGACGTTCATCGTTACAGAACCAGAAGAATGCCGAAAGAGCCCGTTTGGGTGCATTCGGATCCTTTGTACGCTTCCTTTTCCTTCCCTTCTCGCCCTTCGGTGGCTTATAGTTCAACATTTCCCCGTCGTATCGCTTCTTATCTTTTTCGGCCAATACATGGAACCGATTCTTCTCTTTGTCGTTCATCGTCTTCCAACGTTCGGCACATTTCTTGGAGAATTCGGCGAAAACAACGTTTTCATTCGGATGTTTCTTCTTGTGTTCCTCTCGGCAGGTCTGGACAAAGTAGGCGTAGGCCGACATACGGCCGCGCGGTTTGCCTTCAATTTTACCCATAGTTTCAAATCAAACGGGACGTACGCTATAACCGAAAAAAAAAACAGAGATCCGATTAGTTGAACAGTCATATTAACCGCTATTTTTTGATATCACTGGGAGATGGACTGACTGACTACATGAGCGCTATCTATAGTAAGCCCTATAGTAGTGTACATACCGTACACTGTAGTAGTAGTGGTTGGGTAAGTGTTATATGAGATTATACACTGTGTGTAAAGTATATACAGCTTTATATAACATTGTTTGTATGTAATAGTTATGTGTAAAGATATACTGTATAAGAGTCTTATGTATTGATGAGAGAGAGAGAGAGCCTACCAGTGCTACAGTTCAAACATATACTGTAGTTATATGTGTTTGTATGAGTTTTCTATGGCTGCCTATGCAGTATTATTTTATATACCAGTGCTATAGCTTATAGCACACACACACATACACATAGTGCAGTGTTTTTGCTATGCAGTTGAATATACAGTATATATATATATATATAACAGTGCAGTGAATGACATATACAAAAGCGCGCACTCATAGCCCCAGTGCTTATAGTGTATGTATGTATGTGTGCGCTATATTAGCTACAGTAATATCGTATGCTTTTATATATAGCTATATATCGTTATACTTGTGCCCATTGAAAATACTGGTTAGTATAGAGAGAGATAGATAGATATAATACATTACTAACTAACTAACTATACATATACTGTATATAACATACTAACTATACATATACTTACTATATATATATATATATATATATATATATATATATATATAACTAACTAAAAAATATGTATACTTTAACTGCAACTATAACTAACTAACCCAACAAACAAACAACAAAAAAACTAATGTATTTTTCTATGGAGAGAGAGAGAGACCTCTTTTTTTATTATAGCTATGGCTCTGACTATAGTATGTATGACTGACTCGATAGCACTGGTAGGCAGCAGTGGGTATAGTTGTATATTAAGCAGCAGACGACTGGCGCTTAAAAATATCATTTTTTTTGTAGTCAAAACTAAATTAACAAACAAATTGACAATTTCTAGAAATATATATTTGAAAAACATATATACTATTTAAAAATAAAAACATATAAAAAACTAAATTTTTTTAAATGTATTATAGTTTTTATATTATAAGCGCAACGCCTAATGCTATGGCATTATATTGAGTGATAGAAAACACATAGTAGTGTATGGCTGGCTATATACGCGGCTCGGGTATGAAAAAAAACGGTTAAAAACATAGTTAAAAACTTGACAATCAGTCAAATAATTTATAGAAATTAGTTAATTAATAATCAATGGATTAATTGATAGTTACTTACATTAAAATCGATGTGTTTTTTCAATTGAAAAAACAATTTGAAAAACTTAGTAATTTTTTTAATACAGTATTGAACGTTGAATGCAATGGCAATGTATATATGGTATATAAGCAATGGTTTTCAACACACACAGTAGTATTACTATTGAATGCAATGGTAGAGTCTCTATGCAGTAGTAGTAATGGTGAAGTAGTATAGCATAGAGAAACACATACACACAATACAAATCCAATGCAATCCAATGGGAGGCTATGTTATAATATATATATATATATACTGTATTTAGTATGTATATAAAGCAATGGTAGGTTTTTGTAGCTATACTACACTATACACTGCAGTATTAAAGCATAAGCAATAGCACTCATAGTAGCGTTTATACCAATAGGCATAAGCATTACACATAGTCGTAGTAATAGTGAGACTCGCATAGAGACTATAACATTGTGTGTGTGTGTGTGTAGAGTATGCATAGTATGAGGTACTGCAGTATAAGGCTATATATATATATATGTAAGCTATAGAGAGTCTATGCTATTTCAATGGTGTACTGTATATATATATATATATACAGCACTAGTAGTTGTATTTGAAAAACCAGTATATAAATTCAATACATAGCATTCAATACATACATACATACATACAAACAGTCATATATTATTTTATATATAATATTGAATTGCATAGAGACTTGACTTGTGAATAGCATAATACATAGAGACTAGCATTTCAAATGGGGTTTACTATACTGTATATACAGTATATGATTGGCCTATTCAAGTGCGCCGGCATTTAATCACCCCAATCACACGGGGGGGGGGGGGGTAGTGGTGGTGAGGGTTTTTTTGAGAGGGGGGGGACATACATACCAACCAACAACAAAAAAACCTGATAACATAACCATAGATTAAACTATACACAATAATGTTTTAGACTAAAAAAGCCCCGAAAACTTTTCTATCAATGTTAAAAACATATTAACACCCCCCTATTCAGCCAACCCTATCTAAACATTATTAATGGACAGCAGTCACCCGTTAGGGGGGTGTGTGTGTGTAAGGGTGGGGCACAAACTTAGTTATCCCGGGGGGGCAGGGAGGGGGCATTCAACTGTTATTTTTTTTTATTTATTTTAGTTTAGTTTAATTTTTGTTGTTGTTGTAAAAATAATATGGCCACCCTACACTTTGTGTGTATTATATTTATTTAATTTTAATTTTTAGATTTAAATATAAAATTTTTTTAAAAAAAAATATATTAAAACATTAAATACTATCAATAGATAAATTATCTGATAATTTTTTTTTATAAAATTACCATGGATGATTTGAAATTTATTTATTTATTTTAATAATACTATTGATGATAATTTTTTTTAATATTTTTTTTTGTTGGTTGTATTTATATATAAATTTTTATTTTATTTTTTGAATCATATATACATTATGTGTGTGTGTCTAATGTGGCGCCAATTTTTAAATCATATAAATAGTATTTAATATTACAGTATATAAATAGTATTAATTTTATTAAAATAAATAGATATTCAAATGCATATATAAATTTATTTTATTTAAGTGCATTGATTTAATTTAATTATTAATTAGTTATCTAATGTATTATAACATGAATGATAATTTTTATATACAGATTTTTGTTGTTGTTGTTTATATACAGTATTTAATGGTATTTATAATATGTGTGTGTGAAAACATGTATACACTACACTGTATGTGTGATTTTTAATGGTATAATTTAATGTACAGTATTTTAAGTAATACCATTCCTACGCTCCCACCTACACACAAACATACAAACACACAAACACACACAAACACATACATACATACATACATACATACATACATACATACATACATACATACATACATACATACATACATACATACATACATACATACATACATACATACATACATACATACATACATACATACATACATACATACATACATACATACATACATACATACATACATACATACATACACACACACACACACACACACACACATACATACATACATACATACATACATACATACATACACACACACACACACACACACACATACATACACATACATACATACATACATACACACATACATACATACATACATACATACATACATACATACATACATACACACACACACACACACACACACACACATACATACACATACATACATACATACATACACACATACATACATACATACATACATACATACATACATACATACATACATACATACATACATACATACATACATACATACATACATACATACATACATACATACACACACACACACACATACATACACATACATACATACATACACACATACATACATACATACATACATACATACATACATACATACATACATACATACATACATACATACACACACACATACATACACATACACATACACATACACATACATACACACACATACATACATACACATTGAAATTTTTATATACAGTATTAACAAATTTTTATAATATTTAAAAACAACAAAATATTTTTTATTACTGTATAATCATTAAACAAAAATTTATTAAATACAAACAGTAGTAGTAATAGTTAGTGATGTACCGATTGCAAAATGCGCAATTGCATTGCTCGGAAATTGCGTGAAATTGCCGCAATTGCAAAAAGCTCGATTGCGAAAATCGCAATTGTAACATAGAAAAATTTATAATTTTTAAAAAATTAACTAAATTTAAATGGCAAAGCAATATGAATAAAAACATAAATTAATTATATAAAATTTAATTATTTTATCATAAAATGTTGCTATCTAAAAACCATGTAAAAATAATAATAAATTAGTAAATTCTCTTAATCTATTGTAAACAAAATTTTTAACGTTATCAAAGTTAATTTTTATACATTCCCTCATGCGCGCAATTTCAAGCAATTTCACGCAATTTTCCGCAATTGCGGCAATCGAAAATTGAATTGCGAAAAATTACCAACACTAGTAATAGTTGTTAGTTAGAGGGAAAAATAATAATAATAATTAAATTACTAATATTTAATAATTTTTATAATAGAAAAATATTTATATATAAATTATTATTATTATAAATTAGTACCGTATATATATATACAGTATATAAATTTAATATAATTGTTATATTTCAATGTATTATTTGTTGAAAAAAATAATTACATTTTTTCATAAATATATATATATATATAAAAAATTATAAGTGAACTTCAAAAACAATAATGCATTTTGCAATCAAATTAATTGTTTGTTTTCATATATATATATGTATATATATATATATATATATATATATATATATATATATATATATATATATATATATATATATGTATCGGTATATAATAATAATAATAATAATAATCAATGGTGTGATTATAATAAGCGCAATAAAAGTTATGCCAAATGCTAATTATATATAATATTTTGTATAATTTTGTTGTTGTTGATGCTATTTATTGTAAAATAATTTTAATTAATATACTAATTAATTTTAGTATTTTTTTTTGTTTATTTTTATACAAGTAAACTAATTAATATTATAAATTAAAATTTTTAAGCAAAAGAGTTTTTTTTTAAATAATATATTACTAATTAAATTATTAATTAATAACAATAATAGTGATAATTAAATTAAATATAAGTATATATTATTTTGAGTTTATAAATTTCAACTAAACTATTTAAAAAATATATGTTTAAATATTTTTGTTGTTGTATTTTTTATATATATATATATGTATACTACTATATATAACTACTATTTTATTTATTTATTTTAATTATTATAGTTATTTTTATATGTCACACACACACACATTGAAATTTTCATATATTAATCATATAATCTATTCAATATACATTATTATTTATTTTTTTGAAAAAATAATTATTTATTTTTTAATTTTCATATATTTATATACATGAATTATAATAACAAATAAAATAAATATCTATACAATAAGAGTATCAGTGAAAATCAATTGTAATTTACAATATATATATATTTAATTAAATGATTATAATGAGCGCAATAAAAGTTTTATAATATTATAGAAATATAGATACAAATTATAATGATATATTTAAATAATTTATATATAAATAATATATTTAAAATAACTTAATTTAAAATCTATGACTATATGACTATTTAACTGTACAATAGTTTATTACATTGTATTTAAATATTTTTTTATAATAATTTTTTTGTTGTTTGAAAAAAAACTAAAACAATAATATATAATACAATAAATTTATATATAAAAAATAATACATAAATACATTATTAATAATAATTATATCAACAATTTTATAATAATTTAAAATTAATCAATTGGTAAGACTTAGCGGGGGGAGGGGGAGGGGAGGGGGTGGAGAAATATAAATTACATTTTTAATTATAATTAATTAATTAATTAATTTTCAATTCAATCAAACATTGCTTTCACTTTTGTTGTCCTCATTCTCGTTGTTTTCGTTGTCTTTGTCTTCAGTTTCTTCGCCGCCGACACCGATAGCACCGATAAACTCCAAATACTTTTTGACAATCGACGGCCAATTGATAACTTCGGTTATGGGTTTCGGTGCTTCACCCTCTTCGGTCATCGACGGCCCCAACGTACGTGACATATGACTGGTCGCCCGGGATGCCCGACGCTGGCCGACCAGCCATTGCTTGGTAGCGACAACACTGGGCCGATGAGCCAGCGCTGCCGTAGCCAAACCGACCCGTCCTTTACGTTCATTCCTCAACCGTTCCATCTTCTGGTAGATCATATACGGTATACCGATGAATACGTTGATCGGCGACGGTGTCGGCGATGTTAGGTTCATATTACGGATCAGCTTAGCCCTACCGAACTTCCACTCAGTATCCGACTGGGCCTGTATGCGCTGATAGGTATTGGACATCATAGCAATCAACAAATTTATCAATACGACTACCGTGACCATCATATAGATACCGAATACTAGTTTCATAATAATTTTGGCAATCGGCGGCGACAGGTGCATGGGCGGCATATAGTCGGGTTCGACCAGTCCGAACAGGGCATAGAATAGCATTTCAAACGTATCCAGCGGTGACTGAAATTCTTGGCCAACCGACGGCAGCGTACCGTTGATAGTGTCGGGCGGTTGGAATACTGGCTGATAGATGGCACAGACATGTAGGGAAAAACCGACCATAAATATGCCCAAAATGGCCAAAAATCTTAGCAGATCTTTGATCAGATCCCGGATGATGACAGCCCACGGCCCGAACAGATGATGAAATGTTAGGAAATTCAAAAACTCGAGGAATGATAGAAGGAGTGCCACCGCCAGCAACTGATTACGACAGTATAACATCACCAGTCGTTGTTCTTCATCAAACAACTGGAACAGCGTCGATACGATGGCCGCAAAATGGACAATAACGGCAATAAAACAGACAAATACTACGACTACTTTGATACCTCCGAGACCATCCCGATCGGCCGGATTGGTAATTTCGGCCAGAAAAACGCCGAGAACAAAAGTGGCCAGCAACCATTCGTGCCAATGTGGCCATTGACTGGTATTTTTGTACAGCGGTAGCCACGGGTTGACCGTTGTAAACGTTAGGATAACAATGAAAAATATATGCGATACTAGATATAGCATAAATTTGATGATCGGTTTGTTGGACAATCGGTTGCCGATAGGACACGAAACGATTATCCAGATCAGGGGACAGACCAGAAACGAAAAAAATAGTACCAAAAATTTCCACCCTGCCCATTTCATATTACCGATCCATACGTTGGTCAGATATTGTTGGACAGCGTGCTGGGAGACGACATCTTTGCGTTCAAGTTCAATAAGGACGTCCAGAAATTCGGTACCTTTATGGTCAACTGATCGCAACAATCGGCCAGCATTGTTGGTGGTTGCGGCTATCGATAGCAGATCCGTGGCAATCTGGTCACAGTATTCGCAGGCAGCCTCAAGATCGCGGGTACGATCTTTTTCTTTTTGCGATAGATTTTCGTAGCATTTGGCCAGTTTGACAGCGGTATCGATGGGTGCCGGCGATACCAGTATAAACTCTTGGATGGGTTTGTTTTCGTGTTGTTTCGAACAGACCATCAGATCCAATAGAAACTATGTTAAACACCAGAGATTAGATGTGTGATAATTGGGTGATAATTTGGGTGATAATTGGGTGATAATTGGGTGATAATTGGATGATAATTGGATGATAATTGGGTGATAATTGTTAGACAACTTTTTTGTTTGTTTTATTTACCGATTTGTCTTCCATAAGACTCAGGGCGTTATGCTCTTTCTTGAACAGATAGCTGAGTACTTGAAAATGTCCGGCACCGGCAGCACAGCACAGCGGCACCCGGCCGTCTTTGGCCCGCAGTGTCGGATCGGCACCGCTGTCCATAAGCAGCTGAACGACTTCCAGAAAGCCGTGTCGGCTGGCGTAGTGTAATGGTGACCATCCTCTCTATTAAATTGATATAACATATATAGCAATTGGGGAACTGTATGCTGAAAATAACAAACATTATCTTGTGTATTAATCTGGGCTCCCTGTCCCAGTAACAGGTTAACCATATCGCGATGTCCATATGAAGCAGCCAAATGCAATGGTGTTCGACCGTATTTATCGGCCCGATATAGTTGTTCGGTTGTACGGCTAATCAGTAGTCCGGCCACCAACAAGTGGCCACCCTGTGCAGCCAAATGCATAGGTATTGTTCCCTAATTTTTGTTCCCAATAAATATTGGTTGATTGATTTTTAGGTATTGTATTTGTAATTATGATACTAATTATTTATTGATAGCTAAACTAACCACAACTTCGGTAGGCGTATCAACGGTAACACCTTGACTGTTGAGCAATAGCCGTACCACTCCTTCGTGGCCCGACTGCGAGGCCAAATGTAATGGTGTAATGCCGTACTGTTTTGGGACATTGATAATAGACGTTATAATAGGCAATCGGGTGTCAATAGGCAGCATACATTTAAATCAATCTATTAATCAATCAATCAATTTCATACATCACCGCTGGGATCAATTAGTGGCCGTTCACTTTTGATGGTTGCCGGCACCTGGGTCAGCATTTCGCCGACAAAATCTGCCTGTCCAAAAGCGGCCGCTACGTGAAGTGCAGTCAAACCAATCTATATATATAATAAAGTACAGTATATTAATAAAGTTAGCTTATGTGTGGTGGGGTTGGATGGAGGAGGAAGGGTTATATAAATATATATATAGCAACTGACCCTACGGCTGCACACTTTCCAGTGGGCTGTCGACTGTTCCTTGAGTGCACTAAGCACTTTGATGTGACCATTTTTGGCCGCTGGCCAACAACAACAACAACAAACATACATATATATTATTATAATTACCCGTAGATTACGGTAATATATATATATATATATTTTTAAACAGATTTTTTTTTAGATTTCAATCGTTTAGATAGAGGACATACCTAAATGCAAGGCTGTATAACCTTCGGCATTCTCATCGGTAGCTTTGGCACCGGCCTGTAGCAGCACCCGTACCACTTCTACGTGTCCGCCCTCGGCAGCCAAATGCAATGTTGTCGACTTTGTTTTCTAGGATATACACAAAAAACGGTTATTCGGGTAATAATAATAATAATTTTCGGGGTGTGAGGTGGGGTGGGTGGGGTGGAGGGGGTATACCGACCGAAATTCTTGCATTGATAACCGAATCCTGGTTGAGTCGCATCAGTTCCTTGATAACGGCTACCGAACCCTTAGCAGCGGCTATATGGGCACAGGTATAGCCGTTTTTGTTCGGCACCGATAGCCGTTCGGGATTATGTTTGAGAAACAATTTCAGTACATCCGAGTGGTCGTGTTCGGCGGCCAAATGTAACGGTGTTTGCGAGTGCTAACCGGATCACCCGTTTAGAGGCCATTCAATAATAATTATTATAAATTAAAAAATAATTAATTAATTTTTCAAAAAATACATTATCAGTGGCGTTGACATCGGCTTTCATTGTCAGCAATGTATTGCACACTTCCAACTGTCCGCTTTCGGCGGCCAAATGTAACGGCGTTTGTTTGGTCTGTATTTTTTTTTAATTATTATTAATGTTTTATGTCAACCAATTAGATGGGAGGGAGGGGTGTGTGGGGAGTATAGGTAGATACAAACCAGCGTAAAGGCATCGAGTAGGGCACTGTGCTCGAGGACCAGCTGTTTGACTATGGAGTTGAAACCTTTTCGGGCGGCCAAATGCAACGGTGTCATACCGTGTTTGTTGCGTACGTTAACAAATGCATTGCTGGCCAACAGTATGTCCACTACTTCCTCGTGGCCAAGTTCGGCGGCAATGTGTAGTGCGGCTTGACCTCTCTGGGTTGGGGCGCGGGAGTTGGTTGGTTGGATAATTAGTGGTTATGGTTTGACATTAATTATATGGGGCACCTGTATATACTGTATATACCTCATCAAATACGTCTACCCGGGCGTTTTGGTTGAGCAGCATCCTGATAATATCGGCATGTCCCTGAGAGCACGCGTAGAACAGGGGTGGCCAACCATTCTATATAGGGGGGGGGGTAATGTATAATAATCGGTAACGGTATAATTTTCCGGGGGACAGTTGTGTTATCCATCATATATGTGTGATGGGGGTATGGGTGGTGGTGAGTGGGGTAGGTGTTTAAGATATGTAAACGTGTTTTTAGTGTGGGTGTGTGGGTTGGGTGGGGGTTATAATCTCAATAAATAAAAATGGCGGACCAACTTTTGCTTGTTTATTGCAGGCTATCTGTGCGTCCATTGGCTGTAATAGACTTAAAATTTCTTGCAATGTATTAGTATTTCCCGATTTAGAGCACCAGTGGACAGGATTTTCTCCTTTCTATTAAAAAAACCAAAAATTGTTTTTATTTTATTAATAAATTTATAATAAATTTTTGTTTTTTTTATTTTATATGTAATATATAGTGAAATAGTTAGTTAATTACTTCAGATGTTTCTGCCATTGGATTGCCGCCGGTTTGCAGCAACAATCTCATTAGATCCCTGTCCTCGTTGACGTAGTGGGCATTTTTGGCCAACAATGAGGCCGTATAGTGAACCGAACTTTCACCTTGCTGCAAATTAAAAAAAAATTTAGTTAAAAAATAATATTATTAGGAAAAACATATATCAAAACATAGGGGAAGGGCCTAACAATACCCCCGTGGATTAACAACACCCGGAGGTTTAACAACACTCGGGGGTTTAACAACACTCGGGGCTTAGCAATACTCGGGGTTTAATAACACCCCCAAGATTAACAACACCCCGGGATTGACAACACTCGGGGTTTAACAACACCCCCGGGGTTTAACTACATATTAGTAGTGGTATGTTAATCTGTCAGATGATTAAGATTAATAGGATTACACTACAGTTTTACTAACTTTATTTGATTGATTAACCAGCCGTTTGGCCTCATCCTTGCTAAACGTATCGATGGTGTACTGGACCATCGACTGGACGATCGGATAGTGGCAACCCTTGATGGCCACGTGCAGCGCATTTTCGCCCAACAGGTTTTGCAAACCCGAGTTGGCTTTGTCTTCAAGCAATAGTCTGGCCGTTTCGATGAAACCGTTGCGGGCGGCAAAATGTAAGGGTGTTTCACCGGTCTATTAACAGACAAACAATTGGACAGTTAGTTAAGCTTATGGATGTTAGCTCATGTATACTTACATCTTCGACGGCGTTAATCTGGGCGCCGCTTTTGATAAGCATTTCCACACATTTGATACCGTTTTCAATACGCGAGGCCGTATGCAACGGTGTTTCACCGTTTTTACCGGCCGTCAACTGGACAGCGGCACCCATTCCCAGCAGTGCTTCGACCACTTTTTCGTGGCCCGATTGTACCGCTATATGCAAAGCGGTAAAGCCTTCCTATTATCGGTGTTGTTGTTTAGCATCAGTTGTCAATAAATAACAAATTAGTTTTTTTTTAGGGATCAGATATGAGATAAAAAACGGTTTCGCAATAATCCACAAAAAAACATACATTTGTTTTTGCGTCGACACTTTCGCCTTTACCGACAATCGACTTGACAACCTCTACGTGTCCACGACTGGCCGCCATATGTATTGGTTTGGCACCGGCCTATTGTTGGCACAGTTAGTTAAATTATAATTTTTTTTGTTTATTACCGATAGTACGGTATTATTCAATAATAATAACAATACCTTATTAGGCATATGCAGAGCGACACCCTTTTTCATGAATACCAGTGCAGTTCCCGGATGGCCGGCAGCCGACGCCAAATGCATTAATGTACTGCCATCCTATACCCCCACACCACACCCCGGGATGATAATAATAATAATAAGGATATGTTTTATTCAAATATATCTAATATTATATATATATGACAAACCTTTGTCCTTTGATGTACCGATGCCTTAAATTTTTCGGTCAAAAAATCTACCGTTTTCATGTGACCATTTTCGGTAGCCAAATGCAACGGTGTCCGCTCGAGTAGGTCCTGTATGTTAGGATTGGCTCCTACTTGATGCAGAAATTTAATAAACGGTTCTTCACCGTTAATGGCGGCCATATGTAGAGCTGTCTGGCCGTCGGCCTATTAAGTGGAGGAATGGGATTAAGGGAAACGGTTAGGTAATAGATATTGCTATACATTTTTGGCGTCAACATTGCCGCCCTCGTTGACCAATATCCTCAACATATCCAGATCTTTGCGTTTCATTGCCAAATGTATGGCCGTCTCGCCCGTCGACTCCCGTTTCCAGTTTGTCTGGTCTTTGGCCATCAATTGTAATAGTTCTTTGCATACGCCATGATTGCCGCACTCGAGTGCCAAAAATAACGGTATATTTCCGTCCTAGACATACGATAATAATAATAATAATAATTAAAATATTTTTTTTTTAGTTTAAATTATAGAAATTAATAACTACTGTATATATATATATTTTTTTAGATTAATTATTTCAGTATTAGTATATTATAACATAAAATATTATAGACTATAGACTATAGATAATTGATTGAAACATTTAATTATTATATTTTTAGAAATTGTATGTAATATATACAGTATATATAATTACATATATATATAACTAAATAATTATATATATATATATATATATTAAATGTAAAATATTTGTGTACATATTTAGTGTATTAGTAATTTTAGATAAATTTTTTTAAAAGTTTATTAATAATTATTTTTTTTTCATTGTTGTTGACTAAATTAAATTGTTCCTGATACTTTAATATTGTATTGTAATCTATTTAGTAATTTAAAAAAAACATTTTAACAGATTATAAATTTAAAAAAAATTAATTAACAAAAAAAATTTACTACAAAAAAATGTGTTTTTAATTTAATACCTAAATATCACTTAAATATTACTTTAAATATAAATAGCAATAAATTAAAAAAATATTATTATTATTATTATATCAAATTAAATTAATATTGATTATTAAACAAAAAATATATATACAATAACTATTTTTTAATATTAATAAATTAATTGAAAAAAAAATTAATTATTATTTTTTTCAAAAAAAAAAAAAATAATTACAGAATCAGGTGTAACGCGAACTTCTTTAGGACACGACTTGAGTATCAGCTGTAGGGGTACTACAACAGCACCGGTAGGTTTCTGGGCCAACACATGTATAGGCAATTGTTTTTTATCCTTTATTTTACAACAACAAAAAAATCAATCAATAATTAGTATTTAGGAAAGTTATCATTCAATAATTCAATGCCAAACAAAAAAATTGATTGATTTTTTTGTTTGTTTGTTTTATTAATAAAAAATTATTATTATTATTAATAGTAACTAGAATTTAAAGGCATTATTATTATTAGGATCATTGAGTAGTTTAACAAAAAATAAATTATAAATAAATTAAATATAATTAATATGCTTAAAAAAAATTAAACCTACCCCTCCCGGTATCATTGGATCAGCTCGGTTAACCAATAATAATCTAATGGTATCCTCTCTAGCGTGAGCACAGGCCAAATGTACAGCTGTTATGCCGTCCTATTAAAAAAAATAAATAATTTTTTTTAAACAAAATAATTAACAATTTTTAATTCAATAAATTTGTTTGTTTTGTTGTAATTATTATATTTAATTTTGAGATTTTTAAAATTTTTTTTATTTGGTTAATAGGAGAGAAAAATTATTATTAAATTATTATTGTTTTGTCTTCAATAACAAAAAAATTGCTTTTATCCGAAAGTTTTTTTTAAAAAAAATATATAGTATTAATAGTTATTGATAATTATTATTATATTATAATTTTAAATATTAATTTATTAGTAGTTATTAGTTGATTATTATTATTATTATTATTAGTTTATTTATAGTTTTATGTGACTATATTTGTGTTTATTTTTGTTGTTAAAAAAATTACTAATTATTTAATTGTATTTTCTATTTATATATTATCAATATATATATATATAATTTTAATAGTAATAATATACTCAACTTTAAAATATTATAATTTCATATATCTATGTCATAGCTATGTCTATGATATGTATTATAAACTATTGAATATTTTATGGAATTTTTTTTTAAAAAAATAATTAAATAAAATATTAATAAATAAATAGTTTAATAAAAAATTTCCAAAAACAAAAAATAATTTCTAATAACTAATAATAAAAATATAATAACTAATAAAATATATAATAATTTATATTTAAATAAAACAACACTACCGGACACACACCCACCCACCCGTCCTCCTCCCCATCCCACCCCTCCCGATGCTCTCACCTTTGCTTTAACATTGACCGGATAGCCCAACTCGATTAGTTGGTCGACAATCTGTATGCGATTGTCTTTGACGGCAAACATCATCGGCGACCAACCGGAGTTTTCCGACACACACAGGACATCGGCTTCGATGTTATGTTTGACGGCATACTTCAGGACAGTATCGACACCGACCCAATCACCTTTGCGGCACAGGGCCATCAGTTTATGATTGAAATCGGCCGGTGCCTTATTACGTGGTTCACCGACGGATGACCGATGCGTGGCAATCGGTTCGTCCATATAGGCAAAGTCAAGCAATGCCGCCGATGACTGTTTTCGTTGTCTACCGGCACCGGCTCGTTGTCCACCACCACCACCACCACCGCCGCCGGGCGATCGGTCTTTCGATAGACTTCTATCTTTTGATGTCGACCTACGAGTCGTCGTTGTTGTCGATGGTGTAGTCTTGTTGTCTTTGCTACCTCTGGACGTACTTTTCATTATTGATGAATCGTTTGAAGCGCCGCCGCCGCCGGCGGTTGGTGTTGTTGTGGTCGACTTTTTCGACTCTTTTCTGGTCGGCATATCCTTACGCGATTGTCTGGGCGACGGCCCCATGGGTTCAAGTTTTTGTGCCGGCACTGGAACTCTGTCCGATCGGCTGGCGATACCGTTAGTAGTAGTAGTAGTAGTCCGGCCGGGACTAGGAGTTGGTTTTGTTGTTGTTTTTGGTGTATGAGCAGCACCGCCGCCGCCACCGCCGCCACCATTAGCTACCGAGTCTTTTGGCAAACGTGACGGCGATATTCGGTTATTCAGACCGACCGGTTTGGTCGCTAACGATGAAGCTGACGGATGTGTGGCTACAATCGGTGGCAACGGTTTTAACGGTGCCGGCAATGCCGGCGATACAGGTACCGGTGCCATAATGTCTAACTGTTGAACCGGTATCGAGACGTGTATCTGTTCCAGTAGTTTGTTGTTGTTGTTGGCATCCTTTGGCAGCGGATGTCGGGCCAGTACTTCCTGTTTCGATGATCGCTGATGATTGTGGTGCTGCTGCTGGTGATGGTTCAGTATCTCCTGTTGTGTCTCCTCCAGAGGCACTGTCTGCAGCCGCTGTACAGGCGTTACCGGACCAGTAAACCGGACGGGCGATACTGGAAAATCACCGTAAATTTCTTTGGGTACCGGTGCCAGTCGCTTATCACCATTGTTACCGTTACCATTACCACCACTAACAACACCATTGACAGTATGGTTGTTATTGTTGGTAATATCTTTAAGGTCGACCTGTTGTAGCACTTGGATAGGTGTGTCACTACCACCCGGTGGTTGTGTTAGCTTTTTTGCAACAGTATTACCGATATTATCGTAGATATGCTGTCCGGCGACCGACGGTTTTTTCGACGGCACCACAACTTTCCGTTTTTCGCTACCGTCACTGACAAAGCCTTCATCGACAATACGTTTGGTGTCGTCGTCTGTCTTATCCTTTTTCGATGATAACAACACTGATGTTGAAGTTGAAGAAGTTTTTTCGGATCCATTACTATCACTACCATTGATGGTCACATTGTTATCACTTTTTTGGTCAATTTCAGGCATTTTTTTATAGGTTTGTTTGCAATAAAATTATTATTTTAAAATAAAACACAATTTATTTATATATTAATTATATATTAATTTATTTATATATACACTTAAAATGATAATAATAATTATTATATAATAATAATATTAAAATTATATTTTTTTGGTTACATTTGTATCTTGTACACTTTACTAAAACAATTGTTTTATACACATATTTTTATTAAAAAATAATAATTAAATTTATTATTATTATTATTATTATTAGAAAAATATATATAATTTCAGTTATTTTTTATATATAATCAAAATTTAATTAATTTTTTTAATATATATATGTATTTTAATTATTTTTTTTATTACGAAAAGTATAAATATCTTTTTTTAACAATAATATACAACAAATTAGTATATATACTAACATTTATACATTTATTAATACTATAAATTTGAACTAAAAATGATGACATTTTTTTGTATACTTAATGATTATCAACAAAATAACAAAAAAAAAGTTTTTATATTTATGAGTAGTTTTTCATTAGCTTTCTCTATGAATAATTAGAAATATTCTGTAACTGAGTGGACAGGTAGCTAAAGGTGGAGCAGTTAGAGAGAGAGAGAGAGAGAGAGAGAGAGAGAGAGAGAGAGAGAGAGAGAGAGAGAGAGAGAGAGAGAGAGAGAGAGAGAGTAAAATAGCCGATACCTAAATGTTGTTATGGAAACTTGTTAAGTGCTTTTTTCGGCTTTATTTTATTACTACGTGACCACACATATCCTATCCATATATATATATATATATATATATGATATATCCTATTCAACAAAAAAGCTAACCAAACCTATCTACCTGTCCATCTATTACTTGGCTATAGTATAAAAAAAGTGCGACATATTATATATATGATATTTAAAAGACTAGATTATAAATGCAATCCTCAAGAGAGAGAGAGAGAGAGAGAGAWAGAGAGAGAGAGAGAGAGAGAGAGAGAGAGAGAGAGAGAGAGAGAGAGAGAGAGAGGTATATATATATATATATATAGAGAGAGGGTTGCCTATGATTATTGTAATAATAATAATTATTATCAATAAATATCATATATTATACTACTGTATATTGTATACTAAATATTGATATCTATGTCACCGATAAAACACAAATTTGTACAAAAAAATGTATTTTCAAATATTTCATATTAATAATAATAATAATAATAATTTAATTTGGTTGTATAATTTTATTTATTTATCTTAATATATATTTATTTAATCTATAATTTTTGTGTGTGTTAATTTTATTTGATAACTTTTTAACTTTGCTAATTTTTAAAAAAAAAATAAATAAAAACAATAACAAATTTGTTAATCAAAAAAAAAAATAAACAAAAATTATAAGTTTATTTATTTTGTTTTTTTTTGAAAAATTAAATTAAATTGAAATACATTTATATTTTTATGTATCAATGTATAGGGGCCCTAAATAAAGCAACCCATTATAGGTCAACCATATATATATAAACAATATTATCATATAATAGACATCAAAAAATTGTTTTACAAATATATATATACTGTATATAAAAATTTGTTGGTAAGCCTTGAACTAAATGGGTTTTAATGTGAATCCGCGACAACAAAGTTGAAAATTATTTTTTTATTTTTTCATTACTACAGTACAGATCAATATAGTTATCTATTAATTATTATTATTATTATTAACATTTTGATGACAATGTGTTATATATATATATATACTGTGAAATAAAATAAAAGTATTGATATCAACAAAATTAAAAATTAATTTATTTGTTTTTTAACAATAATTTCCACAATGTGTATGTAATCAAAAAAATAATTTTTAATAATTAGGTTATCATTAAAAATAAAATTGTTTTTATACATAGAAATTATATATTGATTTTGAATTTATAGTATATATATATATATATAAAGATTTCACATGAATTCAATGTCAAACATAAAAATTTAATCAAAAAAATAAAACCACTTTTCTCTGGTTTAAAAAAAATAAAAATAAAACAAATACTTAATATTTATTATTAGTAAATAACAAACAAAAAAACAACTATTGAATAAACATTATATAAACTAACAATTATTAATAAATATGATATAATACAATATTGTACGTTAAATTTGTTATAATTAAAAAAAATAAAAATAATAATGTTGATATGTGTGTATTAATAAGCAATGTTTATTAATCCAGGTCACACATTATAATTGCAAAACTATGCAATTAACTAACAATTTTTATGTATAATAATAATAATAATAATACTAACTAAAAGCAGTGACCATTAAATGAGAAATTAAAAAAATAACTTACAGAATATTCTGTAATATATATTCTATAGATATATACAGTATATATATATTACAGAATATTCTGTAAGTATATTTATATATATATTATTCATATGGTTAGCACTTATTATTATGCAAAACACATAATCGTATAGCGTTTCAAATGAATCATATGATCTCATATATATATATACAGATACAGTATATTATTTGTATATAATATAAAATAATACTGTATTAATAACACACTAAATAAATTGTATAATATATATACAGTATATACGTAAACTGTATATCAATCTATTATCTATTTGTTATCATTTTTGTATTTACTGGTATGATAATTAAAGTATATACCAATATATATATATATATATATATATATTCAATATGTGTATATATAGGTGTGTTTGTAGTAAAATATACGATAAATTTTAGTTTATTATTATTATTAACATGATTATCAAATATTCTATACTAATTAAAATAAATAAATATTTTTTATAATATAATAGTAAAAAATAATAAATAAAATTAAAATTTTTAAAAAAATATATACATTTTTTATAAGTTAAAATTTTTATTTAAACCATTTATTATTATTATTATTATTGGTAAGCAATAAAAATATAATATATATACATTGAAAATTTATTTTTAGAAAAATTTAAACACTTTTTTTTAGTTATTTATTTAATAAAAACAAACAAACATTATATTTTATTATTTAATCATAAAATAATATATATATATATATATATTAATAATAATAATAAATCCCATATTATTTTTGAATATTTTTTTGTTAAAAAATTGCAAATTATTATTAATAATAATATTTTTTTCATGTAAATAAAAACATAATATATATATATATATAAAAATTAAAACAAATCATAAACAACAAAATTTAAAAAAAACAAATAACTGATTATTTTGTTTTTTTGTGTTTATAGTTATAAAATAAAAATTAAGTCTACGTTTTTAAATTTAATAATTGAGATTGGTACATTATTATGCTAATAATTATATTGGTTTTTTTATAATAAAAAAACAACAATAACAACAACAAATAAATTGAGTATTTATATAAATATATATTTTTCAATATATAATATAATTTGCTAAATTAATAAAAAAAATTATTTAATATTAAGTAAATAATTATAATCTAAAATCATTTTTAATAATAGTATTACTACTACTAATCAAACCAATCAACTAATAACACACACATAATATATATAAATATATATATAATTTTTATGTGTATTAATTCAATGACTAAACTACTTAATAATATACAGTATATGTATATTCCATATATATAACATGTTTTAAAAAAAATAATCAATAATAATATTTAGTTATTATTATTAACTAAAATTAATTGATTCAACAGTTTCCGAGTCCAATGTGGCGGTAACGGCACGTATCAGATAAGTCATTGTTCCGTAATTACCCGACGGTGCGCTGTCGTAAAAATGCTGTATTGATGATAGCATAATAAAAAATTGTATTAATTAATTACCGGTAATTACGGTAATTTAGTTAAATAAGATCATCGGGGTAATTTTTAACAACCAAACAACCAATCAGTCAACTAACCTGACAAATATTGGCGGCACCGCAACAATGGGCTATACGTTGATTGGCATTACAGGCACAGCACAGTGTGGCGTCACCATTGACTGCTCTCTATATATATACATAACGGGGTAATTATATGATAAATACAATACACATTCAAAAATAATGGATCAGTTTAGGGGGTGATACCTGATCTTCGAGAAACACTTGATTGGCTCTGTGGACCAGTTGTTCGATATTGATAATACCGGTCAACGATTTCAGACAATGATGTTCAACCAGTAGTGTCAATACCATCAGGGCTTCGACCATCAGTTGCCGGTATTCGGGTTGTGGCACACAATTCAATACCGATTCCACTTGTAGTGCAAATTTCAGTTCTTCGGATGTCATCTCACGTGTCAACTGTTGCATCAAAATGCGTCCTTCGATGGCAATCCCGTGACACTAAATGCAACAAAAAAAAAACAAATTGAAAATCAATTCAAACGGATCTTCAACACCACTGATCCAACTGACCTTTTCAAGCAATGACCAAACTCTCGTATAGAATCCAATGGGAACCCTATTGAGCGAACCGTCCAATCGCCGCCGTCGAAGCCACTGTCCCTGTCGGTCGCCTTCGAAGCCGTACTCGTCGGCAGTCACACTGGAACAGCTGTTTTCGCCGGCGCCGGTCGGCTGTATACTGTCGACAAAACTTTTTCGGCTAAGCATACGGTCATTCATTATCGATATGCGGCCACTTCGGGCTAATTACGGGTAATTGGTTATTATTGATTGGTATAATAATGATAACAATAATTACCGCTTTTAATGGTAAACTCTTTGCCGCTGAGTATATGATGTAACAGTGTTTTCATTTCATAGGGACTCAGATTTAGCAGATGTTCCGATGCTTCTTCGCCGTCACATTTCAGCGCACGGGCCAACTCGGAGGCCATTACTTGAATAATTAGGCCAACTCTCAGGCGTAACATTTCGTGAAACAGTTGCGGTTCGGTACGGATAAACATTGCCAAATAAATGAGCAACTCCTGGGTCAACATTGCCGTACTCTGGTCGCCGCCGTGTGTCTGATCGATAATCTGACGCAACTCTTTGGCCGGCAGCGGCCGTATGATTGCCTGTTCGTAGTGCGGCGGCTGGCCGACGGTAATCTGTTTTTGTCGTACTAGTAAATCGGCTACCGATTTGGCCAGATCTTCCACTTGTTTGCCAAGCATACCGGCCGAATGCCTGACCAGTGCCCACTTTCGTTCGCTGCAGGCCTTCTCGTACAGTTCTTTCAATAGGTCGCGAACTTTGGCCGGTTTATCGCTGCCGCCTAAACCAGTCTCCCAGCCCAGTCCCCTATATATACGGTAAGTGAGTATATAAATGAGTGGTCAGTTAGGTTTAACAAAAAAAAAAAAAAAAAGGTTTACTTATTATAGAACAGATAGTGTATGATATCTGCCTGTTCTTCCAGTTGTTCCGATTCTCTATACATTGTCAACAGTTCGTCGTCTTTGATATCTTCGTTAATATGCAGTTCAGACATTCCTCGCAAACGTTTTTCCGCCGGACGTATTGGTATCGATATGGACGACGACATCATTATATTTTGTTGAGCGTCAAACATGTCGTCATCGGTGTTGTTGTTATTGTTGTTGGTCTCGGATATCGATCCAAAGCCCGACCCGGCAACCGACATATGGCGTGGCGACGACGGCGAAGTACTACTTGATGATTGTGCACCCGATTGTATGACACCTCCTGTTTGTTGTTGTTGTTGCTGTTGTTGTTGACTGGCTTTACTGTCTAAGAAAGTAGATCTCAATTGAATTAATTCTGTAAACCCCGGTGTCGGAACGGGACGGGTCGGTGCGGGTGGGGTTTGAAAACAATAGTTAGTAAACAATAAGTTTTAAACAACAACAACACAAAAACCAAACCAAACCACAAATAAATGAAATAAAAAAAACAATTAGAATAATGTATCGAAATATCAATAATCATCAATAAATTGTTTGAAATAATTATATATATATTGTTAGGCACACACATACCCGGATCGTATTGATCCACTTGTATAGATCGGGTTCGCTTAATAATTCCGGATACACCCGATTTACGCGATCGGATACTGATCTTGCGTTTGGCCGATATTTGACGGGAAATTTTCCGGACAAACGGTTTTTTCAGTTCACGTTCCAGAAATTCTTTGACCGTATCGTTCAGTCCTTCGGGATCTCCTTCTTCCGTATTCGACAGAAAACTCAGACTAGTTATACACGATGTACTCAAAAAGTCGTCCAAACTGCCCAACACTACCCGAGTGCCGTTCAGATAACCGCTTTTCAACTTTTTGATTGTCGATATCATCGATACGGGTATTCTATCGTTTTCTTTAAGTTTTTTTTTTGAAAAAAATAAATAATAATTATTTGTTTGTTTTGTTTGTATTGCTCCTTAATTAAAACACCACCTCCTAAAATACGTGATGACAATGGTATGACAACAGTAGGACGGCCTAACATACGCCAGTTAACCTTCAAAAAGGCAATCTCCGATTTGAATGTATCCAGCATTAGGTTTGTATCCGATGCTATATAGTAACGGTGCTCATCGACAAACTAACGATCGGGTAGTAATGTAAAATCCAAAATAAAAGACACCAGTAAGTTAAGCACAGGTAGGTATGTGTGTGTGTGTGTGAGCATACCTGGGGTGTAAATGCAAATATTTTGTCCTGCAATGAATACAATTTACTAGTACTCAATAGACCGACTTCCCGGGATTGACGACCCGATAGATTCATTTTCCGATTGTAACCTAAATAGGCGTACAGATGGCTAAGCAATCGGGCCGCTTGTACTTCAATTGGTGCCACTTCGTCGACGGTCTTAATATGGATGTCGTGTTGGACCAGTTTTTCCTGTACTTTGGTATCTTCGGCTAATATAACAACTGATGATGGAATGGGGGCAATGGATGGATAAGTATTATATTTACAGTTTAATTATCGGTAAATTTGTCGGTAAATATATTTATATATATATATATATACATACCCTGGACAACAACATCGGGTTTTTTTTCGGCTCCCAATCGCCTATTCAGTGGATCCAATTCGCCGGGTGCTATAAAACCTTCCTGCAATAGTCGGCCGACAATGTAGAGCGACTGGGCCCACATGAACGGACACGAACCGATAGCGTAACGTTCCTGACTGTGCGGCTGCTGATACTCTTGTTCAACCAGATGGCCGGGTACGGCATACATTTCGGGTACCAATTTGAGGCCGTCCTCTGTCTTGACCAGCAGTTGTTCGAGTGCTTCGGAATATTCGTCGACCTGTTTATTAGGAGGGGGGGACAGACACCTGGTTAGGGATGTACTGAAAAAAACGGTATGTTTTAAAAAAAAACAACCAACCATTTCGCGGTCGCCATTGAATAGACCGTCGAGTATTAGATAGCAGAAAAACAACGGCCACTCGCACTCGATATTCTCGAAAACTTTCAGTTCGGACGGCTCGTAGTACAGCCGAGTCGGATCCTCTTTGGCCGTACGAAAACCGTCCCTCAAAAATCGTCGACAACCGTATCGTCCTTGCAATTTCTGGACAATGTTGTTGCGGGTCATTTTGATCAGTTCCTTGTCCTCCAAAGCAAATGCTGGGAAACCGATTACCGACAACAGGGCGCCGTCCACTTCCTTCGAGTTGGATTCGCGCGGTAGCATCGACTGCAAGACTGCGTGACATTTTTGGGCTTCGTCGGCCAGTACGTGTATCACTGATGATGGACCGCCGCGGCCGCCAAACAGATCCAATTCGTTCATTGCTTCCAGTGCTGCTTTGGCCATACCTTTTTGTTAAGGAGGGCGGGCGGGTAAAAATAAAATTAATTTACTAAGCGGTAAATGCCGATTTTGGTTATTGTTGTCCGGCGCTATATTCTAAGTGTTTCAAACACACACACACACACACACACACACACACACACACACAGATACATACATAAACACAGATACATATTCCCACATACATACATATACATACACACATACATATTCCCACATACATACATATTCCCACATACATACATATACATACATACACATACACATACACATACACATACACATACACACATATACATATTCCCACATACATACATATACATACATACATACACATACATACACATACATACACATACATACACATACACATACACATACACATACACATACACATACACATACACATACACATACACATACACATTAAAAAAAATCAACTGACCAATAGAGCTGGCATTCAGCTCGGGTAGACCGTGATTGGTTTTATCGCCCCGTTCCCAAATACCGTAATCGGGTATACAATAAGCCGACTCTATATAGAAAACCAGATTCTGTACGAAAGCTACTTCATCGAGATTGAAGATAATCTGCAGACCCGACGCTGTCATTTGGGCCAATATCAATAGGAACAGTGAGGTGGCGTCCAATTGCAAATGACCCCATTCGTGATCGCCGACAACGGTCAACATAGTGTCCGACGAGTATTTGGCGTGCAATGAATCCCCAACCGATTGGGACTCTTTAAACGCTTCCAGTTTATCCTTCTGGCGTATCATTGCCATCAGCAGACCGCGCATCAGTTTCACACACGACTGTTCCAGTTCGTAGGTCTTGGCCCTGTCTTCGTCCAGATCCGTATTTTTCTTGTAGGCCATCGATAGCGACCAAACCGATAGTATTGAATAGACATTATCTCGGACCCAGGCATGATCATCAGTATGCTGGCCACTGGCCGTCCGGTCATCCGATTGATGATGATAGTGATTGGTCGGCAATAGACCTGTTACAGGATTCTGACCAACCAAACAAACAAACAAAAAAAAACGGACAATTAGGTACCGCTAATTAATCGGGTGACCACTTTGTTGGTCAATCCGTGTGGTTTAGTTGATTGGTTGGTTGGTCTTACCTGATGGTCAAGTATTGTCCGATAGACAATACGTTGGTAATAGTCTAGTCGGACACCCGAATTGCTTCGGCTTCTCATTGTTGTTGTTGTTGTCCGCCGCAGCCGATGATGGTTACCGCACGGTATTGTGTGTTGTTAGATGTCTGTCCACTACTACTACGCGACCGACGATACTAATGGCCAACAGTTGTTGTTTGACGTCAAACGATATACAGACGACATGTCTTTATATTTGTAAATGTATTGAATGATTGAATGATTTTTTGTTTGTTTTGTATTTTAAAACAAAATTATTATTTATTTTATTTTATTATTTTTAATAATAATTTCGTTGACATTGACACTGCAGTAGTGCTATAATCAGCTGATCAGTCAATAATAATAGTACAGTAAATACTGTTATATATTAAATAGTATTAAATTTAATATTACTTTTTATATACACATACAGTATATATATTGTCCATTAATAATGTTGTTTAATGTATTTGTATTATATATTTATATTATTTTTATTATTAGTATTGTTGTAGTAATTGTTAATTTTGTGCAATAGAGTGGGTTAACAGTTGTAGTAGTAGTAGTTAAATACACTAGTAATAAATTATTACTAGTGTATTGATTAATAATTTTTTATACTCTATTAAATAGTTGTTATAATAGTTGCCAAAAAACGTCAAATAGATGTTAAAATAGTTATTTAAACTGTATTAAATAGTTGTATATAATTGCCAAAAAAGCCAAATAGTTATTGAAATAGTTATTTATTTTCTTATAAATATTTCAACTGATATATAATTTACTTGTTTTCAGCATATTTACAAAAATGATTTATATAAATAAACTAAATATTTCTATTGTTAAAAAAGTAATATGAGTTGATAACAGTTTACACATTATATATAATTTATATAACTATTACTTTTTGTTTTTACATATATTTGAGCAATATTTTACAATCTAATGCTTATATTTTTCAAAATAACTGAAATAATTATTTATAAGTTTTTATAGTTGCTAACCTAACAAATAGTTATTTATAGTTATAATAAAATTTCGGAAATAGCGTCCACTGGTCAACTTCGGTGGACATACTAAGTCCCAGTTATAAGCGTTAAACCGACAAAATAATTTTTTTTAGTTGAAAATCAAGACACTAATTATTACTAATAATATACGAAAATTTTTTAAGAGAGAGAGAGAGAGAGAGAGAGAGAGAGAGAGAGAGAGAGAGAGAGAGAGAGATAGAGAGAAAGAAATAAAGAGAGAGAGAAATAAAGAGAGAAAGATATATATATATATAAAGAGAGAGAGAGAGAGAGAGAGAGAGAAATGTACTTTACTTTCTATAGTTTATCAATTGGTGGTTAAAACTTTATTTTTATATAAATATTAATTAATCCATTAATTAATTTATCAATTAATGATTTTAATTAGATTTCAGTGAATATAAGAATCACACCATCAATAGTGACACATAAAAAAATAAAAAAAATAAAAATAAATGTTTGATTTGAGATAATTACGGTTCGGTTCGTTTAATATATAAGTTAATTACCGGGGTTTTAGTTGTGACCACTTATATCAATTGATTCATTCAATATTATAGTATTAATGATACCTATTGTATGTGTATGTGTATGTGTATGTGTATGTGTATGTGTATGTGTATGTGTATGTGTATGTGTATGTGTATGTGTATGTGTATGTGTATGTGTATGTGTATGTGTATGTGTATGTGTATGTGTATGTGTATGTGTATGTGTATGTGTATGTGTATGTGTATGTGTATGTGTATGTGTATGTGTATGTGTATGTGTATGTGTATGTGTATGTGTATGTGTATGTGTATGTGTATGTGTATGTGTATGTGTATGTGTATGTGTATGTGTATGTGTATGTGTATGTGTATGTGTATGTGTATGTGTATGTGTATGTGTATGTGTATGTGTATGTGTATGTGTATGTGTATGTGTATGTGTATGTGTATGTGTATGTGTATGTGTATGTGTATGTGTATGTGTATGTGTATGTGTATGTGTATGTGTATGTGTATGTGTATGTGTATGTGTATGTGTATGTGTATGTGTATGTGTGTTAAGTTGAATATTAATATGTTTTTCAGCTTTCAATGATTTTATGGTATTTAATTAAAATAAAAAATAATTATTAATATTATTAATATTATATATGAATTTCAATATTACTAAAGTGTTTTTTTCTCGATTTTTTCCAATCAAAACTTATCAAAAAAATAAATAAAATAATTTTAATAAAAATTGTTTTCTATAAATTATTTGTTTGAAAAGTTTGAAAAAAATTAAAATCATCAATAAATCATTATATTATAAATATATATATATAATCGTGACATTAGAAAACAAATTTAATTATAATTATATATTATTAATAATAATGGGTATAAAGGTTAGCTATCCTATTGATATTTTTTTAGCTATTAATACATATGAAAAAAATTAGTAACAATACTGTATGTTATGTAATTAGATATGTTTATATGATATATATATATATATATATATATATATATGTATTATCTATACTCAATAACAATATCGTAGTTGATTCCCATTGTTAGTATGACTTAAAAATATATGTATTACTAATGCTTATGTATATTTGATATTTTTGTTTTTATGCTAACCATTAACTATACTATATATTGTATATACGATATATATATACTGTATTAACTACATTATCAATAACAACGAGAAAATAAAATAATTGCAATACATTTATTCAATATATATATATTGTATATAACTTTATATACTTATATATATATATACTGTGTATATAGACTGTATATATATATATATATATATATATATATATATATATATATATTTTTTTCTTGTTATATTTTAATGATAATAATATAAGATTTTGTTTATTTTATTACTAATAATATTATTTCACTGATGATTGATTTTTATTTTATTATATATTATATTATATATGTATTTAGTTATTATTTTTATGTATTTAATATATGATATACTTATATGATTATATAATATAAGTATATATTATTATAAAGTATTGTATGTTTTAGTTTTTAATTTTATATAAAATCAAATACATTAATAATATAATCTATTTTACAATATATCAATAATTTTTGTTTGTTTTTTTAATAATAATAAACATAACTACTATAATAAATTCAATATATAATCGGATTAAAAATAAGATTTATGATATTTTAAATAAATAAATAATTGTAAATTGCTAAAAAATATTAATTAATTATTAAATTAATTGTTTGTTTGTTTTTGCTAATTTGAATTTCTAGTAAAAAAATATTATTAGTAAACAAAATTAATTAGATTAAAATTTATAATCAATTGAATTCAATAATATATTTATATTTACAATTTTTAATTTAGTTTTCATATGAAGTACTTTACTGTATATATATAAACTTATATATATATAGTTAATATCATATATAATTGTATGGTACCTGTATATTAAATTATTAAATATTTTCATATTATAAAATTATAATACAATTTTTTCTGCTTTTATTAAAATATTTTATATAAATTCAATATACATTATTAAGATATATTGTATTAATATTTAACTATTTGTAAATATTTTATACAATATATTTTTTTGTATTATAAACACACACACATAAATACAGATATATATATATACTATAAATTTAATTTTAAAGATTTAATATTACTCATTATAAAGTCATAAAATTAATTATGTATTTAAATTAATAATTCAATAGTAAATCTATTATTATTAATATTAAATAAAAGCAATCATAAAATATTATTTAGTTACAATTATATTATATTAATTATACTGTATATAGATAAGTTAAATAGTTTATTATCAAATAGAAATAATAAGCAATTTGTTTGAAAAATAAAATTAGCATAATACTAATTTTTTTTAATAATTTTATTAAAATTTATACAGTATATAATAAATAATTTTATATTATAAAATAACATAATATACAATTTTTAAATAAAAAGTGACATTTAATAATAATAATAATACAGTAATAAATAATGAAAAATTTTGTTTTTTAAAATTACAATTATTAATAATATTATTTTATAATTTTATTATTATTATTATTATTATATTAATATTATCAAAGTTGTTGATCTATATATCGATCGCTTAAGTTATTATTAGTAATATTAGTAATATTATTATTATTATTATTATTATTATTACATCTATAAAGTCTATTATGATTATTGCGATGAATACCTATTGGTAGCAAAAGTTACAAAAAAAATAGATATATATATATATAAATCAATTGTTTGTTTGTATGAATATTACTTATAATAATAATAATAATATATCTCTAATGAGATATTAAATAATAATTTTTTTTATTATTAAAAAAATAATTAAATAAATAAATTCAATAAAATTCAATGAATACTTGAATTACTTGAGTGTCGACCGATTAGACTGAACCTGAGGTTGGGATTAGCGCTCCGTCTGATCGATGCTCTTAAGTAAACGTTTCGTAATGTTGTCTGAACTTCGGTATTAAGAAAACAGTAGAGTATCGACACAAACATACCCTACAATTAAAAAAATATTATTTTATTATTAATTATTATTATTCAAATATATTACATTAGAAATAAAAATTTATCGAAATTTTATTGTAGAATATTCTGTGTTTTTTTTTAATTATTTATATTTATGAATAATTATAATATTATTTTACATTTATAAATAATATAAAATAATTCAAATCTAATTGTATGATATATTATATAACTAATATAGTATATACTGTACTAAATATTTTAGTAATATATATATATATAATTGTACAGTATATATAGTATATATATATAAATATTATAGTATAAGATTATATAATAGATAGTAAATTGTTTATTTAAGGGGTGTTAAACATTAATTTATATTAGATATCTATTAGATTATATTGATGTGTATGTATGTGTATGTACAGTATGTATGTATGTGGGTGGGTGTCTGTTTATCTATGTAGGTGTATAATACAGTATACCTAATATATCAATAATATAATTATTATATCTGATTTTGATTATTATTATTATTGCTGATGTAAAACCTGAAAATAATTATATTGATACAAATATTTACTAAATTTATATCAATACTTGTATGTATGTGTGTGTATATACTATATATATAATATATATAAATGTATATATGACCGTATTGGCTACAACAAACAAATATTTAGATAATCTATTATTATTATTATTATTATTATTTATTTTGTGGACACAAAATAAATATTAACATTTAAAATGAAATATATATATATATATATATTATACAATTTATTTGTACACTATTTTTATAATTGACCATCAACAGTTTAATAATAAATGATCCCCAAATAGTTTACTGTATATACTGTATATATGTATGTATGTATATATGTATGTGTGTGTATGTATGTGTGTATGTATGTGTGTATGTATGTGTGTATGTATGTATATATGTATGTGTGTGTGTGTGTATGTGTGTATGTATGTGTGTATGTGTGTATATATGTGTGTGTATATGTGTGTGTATATGTGTGTGTATTAGACTATTAATAATCTGATTATTTTTATACCTGTGATGATTGTAGAAATGCATTAGTAATCATATAAGCATTTTCTAGATTACCATTATCACCTGGATTAAAACAAAACAATAGATGCGATATTCCTATATATTTTAGATTAAACAAAAAAAAATAAATAGTAATTGTAATAATTATTAGATAACAGTTATTGTATGAAAATATTTGTATATTATATATATATATATCTTAAATACAATGTATAATATCAACATTTAATAAAAAATAATTACCCAATAATGGAAACAGTAGTGCAGTTGCTTTTATGGCTTTCCTTGAATAGGGATATATATTCAATAATAATAATTATATATTTAATATATATTTATAAAAACGTAAAAAATATTTATTTAACTATACTGTAAATATACAGTATATATATATTAAATAAATAAAATTAAATATAATAATAAAATTGATAACAAATAATTATATATAGAAATGATTAAATAAACATAACTTACATATAATGTTTCTATATATTTATTTGTTTATCTACTCTTTTATATAATATAATGTAATTTTGAATTGAAAAAATCACATTTTAAATTTATAAAAAATATAATATTACATAAATATTTTTAATTTATAAATTAAATAATTATATATTTATATATATATATATATATTTATATTTAAATTGTTTTTATACCTGATTTGTGTGGTTTCGACATTAACAGTGAGTCTCAATTTGGTTACGAGTATACGTATAATATTAATAAGAAATATACAATTTATCTGAAATTAAATAATAATTTTTTATAAAGAAAAAAAACAATAATAAATATTTTTATACATAAATTATATACAGAAAAATTGATATTTTATTATTGTATTGAATAAAAAAAATTAAATGATTAATTGTTCCGAAAAAAATAAATAAATAATAATAATTACAATAGAAAAAAATGTAATTTATTGTTATTTTTTTATATTGTTAACTTAATTTAATAATTTTTGTTTTTTTTTATAAATAAAATCAATTATTTTCAAACTAAAAACCAATGTTTATGTATTGTAAAAATATTTGAATTTTATTATACTAGCACTTGTATACAAATAAATATTATTATTATTATTATTATTATAAAATAAATAGACTATTAAAATCTTTAATATTAAAAATAAATAATTTAATTGACAATATTTATATACTAAATATAATTTCTATTTATTTAGTTAAATGTTATTTTAAAAAATAAAATAATTTTTACAATTTAGATAAAAGCATAGTTTTAGTAAAAGTATAATTTTTTATTTATTTTGTTTTAAAAAAACTTAACAAAAAAATAACTAAAAAACTAATAAATAAAATAAAAACTTGCTATACATTCATTACTATTATTTATTTAGAGAGCATTAAGTATTATTATTATTATTTTTGTTTTAAAAAATATATATATATAACTAAAAATCAAATATAAGGCTAATGATAATGAAACTAAAATTAATAGTTATATATATACTGTATATATATATATATATATATATATATATAGTATTATTAGTTTGATGTCTAACTATTACTGTATAATAAAACATTACACTAAATATATACTATATATATATATATACAGTATATTATCCATACACTTACACCGATAGCTGCAATCATTGGTCCAGTAATAATCCAGACATATATTGAATCGCCATAACCTGTCCAACAATAACTGGTCCAACAGTAGGACATAGTTATGCACCAAATTATTGTCGTCAATAATGGCAGTCCTTATAATATAAAAGATATATAATTATTTAATAAATATATTTTATGTATCATAAATATATATATATATAATATTATTAAATTAAATGACAATATATTTAATAATTATCAATCAATTCAATAGCAGACTCTTGTTATTATTATTATTATATGATTTTATATTTTATATTATATGTGTTTTGTAATATCATTGTATATAAAAAATAAATGATTTTTGATTTATTTTTCTATAGAAAGTTTTTTATATAAAAAAATAAATATTACTATTTATTTATCTATAATGACTGAAAAAAAAATAAAATAAATTAATAAATATATTAACTGTAGATGATATATATCATATATATATATATATATAACTTTTACACATGCTATTAAATTAAGTGAAAATTTTTTGTTATAATAATAACATATAATAAATAAATCAAATAAAAAAAAAAGATTTTTTTTCATCATATTTTTAATATAAAAAAATTAAATTAATATTTAGTTATTTTATTTTTCTATATATCCTGACTGAAAAAAACTAAAAAAAAACTTAAATATAAATAATAACAATTTAATAGATATATTTTACAGTAGATATACGCTATTAAATTAAGGGTGAAATATAATTTTATTATATTATAGAAAACATTATTATGTATATAATGTGTTTAATATAATATATTATATAATATTTTTTGACAGATTTTTTGTGTGTGTGAAAGCATATATAAAATTATAAAAAAAAAATTATTATTATTATTATAAGTATAGTTTTTTTTAACAAAATGATTGACTGACTGACCCCAACCAATACAATAGTATAGCTTAAAGGGGGCGTCCTTTCGGAATATGGATGTAGTTATACGGCTATGAAGTAGTAGGCCTTCAATAAACATCCAATTGATTGATGAAAGTGCGGCAAACAGTTTCAATGATATAACTATTTTACATAAGGTTTCCTATAATTTAAAAAAGAGAGAAAATAAATTTTTCATTTCCAACAATAGCAACAACAAAAAAATAATTTTGTTTTTCATAAAAAATTCATACAATATCTCTATAGGAGTTTATACTGAATATTGATGGATAGCTGATGACAATCATTAATATTGAATGCATTATCAGTGCGACCACTAAATTACGGTGAACTCGCAATCTTGAACACATCAATGATCTTTAAAAATAAATAAATAATAATAATAATAATAATAATAATAATAATTAAAATAAAATAATATTTTTATTTTAATTATAGAAATTAATAACAATATAATTTTTTTAAAAAAGATTAATTATTATCATAATTAGTATATATATATATTGACATAAAATATTAGACTATAGACTATAGATAATTGATTGAAAATTTTTAATTATTATATTTAGATATTTGTATGTAATATATATATATATATATATATTACATACAATTTCTAAACATAATAATTATATAATAATAATAATTATTATTATTATTGTTATAATATATATATATATATATATATATATATTTAATTACATATACTAAATAATTGTATATATTAAAAGTAAAATATTTATATGCATACTTAGTGTATATATATAGAAATTTATATATGATAAAATAATTTTCAATATTAAATAACTATTTTTTAAAATTATAAGTAGTTTTATTTTTGGTATATATATATATATATGTTGAATGTTTTGTGTGCTCAAAATATAAATAAATAAACAAATATTTTGATAAATTAAATGTCTAAAAAAATGTATAAACTTTTATTAACATTATATATATATATATATATATATATATACTTTTACTAAATATTTTATGCAATAATTTGAAAAATTCAAGTAAAAAAAACTGTTTATTTACTTTAAAACAGAAATTTTTATTTAGTTTAATGAAAATTTTTATTTTCTAAAAAAAAATAATTGGGTTAGTATTTTGTGTTTATTTGTCAAAAAATCTACTATAATATAAATATTATATTAATATATACAGTATATATATTTTTATAATATGTAATATACATGTATATTAAAAGATTAATGTATCAAATTCACAAAAATATTTTTCAATAATAATAATACAGTAGTTTAGAAAAAATTTAGAAATAATTTTTGAAATATTTTTCAACAATAATATTATAAAAGATTTGTGTAAAACATAAAAATTTAATATAAATATTTTCAATACTATTATTATTATTATTATTTTATGTATAAAATTTATACAGTATAATATGTACATGGCAACTTAAAAAATATTTGTACAAAAATTTACTAAATAAATTTTGTACAATATTATTATTATTATAATTTTATTTTTTATTATATTTATTTTTTTTTGATTAAACTTTTAAACCAATAAATTTGCATAATACTAATAATATATACAATTTAGATTTCTATTAAAATTATTATTATTATTATTTTCTATTTAAATTTTTAAAAAAAAATATTAGATTATATACTATAAACAAAATATATAGGTAAAATAATTTATAATTATTAACATATAATAAATATATATATACAGCATAATTGTGTGTAAATTTAAATAATTATTTAAAAAAAAAAGAAAATTCAATAACAATTTGTTTTTAAAAAATATTTTTGTTTAATAGAAAGTTATTAATTTAAAAAATTGCAAAACAATTTTAATTAATTATAATAATTTATTTTAGACAATGTTTTACATAGATTATAGTTTAATCATATATTTTTTTAAAAATATATATAAATATATTATATATTATTTAAATAATTATATATAAAGTATCATGGTAAACTTACGTAAAATAGAGATATATAAATAATGTTGCCAATAGTAATGCCAATGATATTATTGAAAATATAAATAATATATAGCATACTAATAGATGAACAGTTGGCACTACAACCTATTGATTTAAATTAAATATAATTATTTATATATATATTATATATTTTCAAGTATTATTATTAATAATAATATTAAAATATATATAATACATATAATAACAACGACAATACAATTAACAATAATAATAATGATAGCAAAATTAAATTCAATAACTATAGTTTTTTTTAATAATAAAAAATAAAATATAAATTGCAAATATATATACATATATATTTATATTAATAGTAACTTTCACATACAAACACACACACATACATACACACATATACACGCAAATACATACACATGCATACACAGATATACACACATATATACACACACAAATACACACACACACAAAAATACATACACATATATATATATACACATACAAACACATAAATACTGTATGTATATACATACACATAAAAATAATACACATACACAATATCACACATACTACACATATACAAACACATAAGCATGGACATAGACACACATATATAAACACACACACACACATACACACACACAGTACATACAAACACATACAGGTGCTAAATATTGTATGCATTCCGTATAATTGGTCCAATTATCCCAAAGCCATTGGCCATCGTTTCCACATTTTCTATAAGCATACGGTTCTGTATTATAACAACAAAAAAAATGTCAATTTTATTAATTGAGTGTTTAGTTTGAAAATTTGTCAAAATTATATATAATCAATTTAAACTTTTAAAATACAAATTAGATTTTAGTGTCTATATTACTATTGTTATCTATTTATTAAGAGATTTTTTTAAAAAAAAAATTGTAATAATTTAATTTAAATGTAAATTTTATTGAAATAAAATTTTATTATACATTTATTTTTGTAACAATAATAATAATACTGATAATAATAGTTAACGAAAATAAAATAAATTCAATTATCAATCAATTAAAGAGAAATAGAAAAAAAATTAAAAAAAAAAGTTTTTAAAACTAAAATTTTGTTTTATTTAATTATGTTTTTATTGTTTTGTTAAATAGTTAATTTAATGATTTATAATTTAATTTTTATTTTTTTTATTATTAAACTTAATTTAACTTTTTATTAATTTAAAAAACTTGGGTTTTTTAAGACATTTTATTTAAATAAAAATATAAATATATATATAAAATATTTTTTTTGAACATAAATTTTTATAGATAAAAATATTTAAAGTAGTAATAATTTTTATTTTTCAAATAATATAACATTAATACCTCTAACTTATCAATAAACTAAAAAAATGTACTAGATTATTTTTTATTTGTAGATACACTATAGTCTACTAAATAATTAATTTTTATAAGATAACTATTTAATAGTTATTTAATTAATTTATCTGTTTTTTGTAATACAAAAAAATTGTACAAAAATTTTAATTAAAAAATTATTATTTTTATTATTATATGATAATTAGTGATTATAAGTAAAACCTTGCTGTTTATATAACTATTTGTTTTTAATATATATATATATAGAAATACGTGTTTTGTATATAATTTTTATTATTATTATTATTATTATTATAAGAAAAATTCATGTCCTTCTAATAATTATAATATAAAATACTTAAATAAAGTATAATAAACCTGTTTATACACATATATATATATATGGTGTATATATATATATATATATTTATAATATATAATATATTATTATTTAAAAATAATAAAATTATAATTTTAATAAGCTATGCATTTTATTAAACATTGCTTTATTGTTGTAGCCTTGAATTATTATTATTATTATTGAAAATATTTTTAAACAATACTTTTTCTTGTTATTATTATTTTTTATTTATAAAAATTAATTTTTAATGGAGACTACTCCTAGTAGTAGTAGTATTAATATTATTAAATTATTAAATTATTAAATTATTAAATAATTAACTATTATATTAAAAATTACTAAATTGTTTTTTGTTTATTATTTTGTTTGGTTTAAACTATCTATTAATATAATTAGTTTTAAATTAGTTTAATTAAAAGTCTAATAAAAATTTTTAGATAGATAGTAGTGATTATGTTATAAGTGTCATAATAATAATAATAATAATAATCATGATATTTATATAATAAACAACAATATTATGTGTATGTACTGTATTAACAAAAATTATTATTTTTTTGTAGTTATAATGAAATGTAAATTAAATATTTAACAATATATATATATATTAAATAAATAAAATAAATGCTAACTGTTAAATAAATATTTTGATATACAGTATTATTTTACTAATAATACAATAATAGTAATACCATAGTAATAGTAATAATAATAATAACATTAGTAAATAATATGTAATAATTTTCAGTAAATATTTACATATATATATATATATATATATAATATATATATAATATTTGTGTCTTATATTATTCAAATATTGATATAATTGTTAATAATTAATATAAAACGGATATACTATATAATAATTTTTTTTTCAAAAAATATATAATATATATAAACAAATATAATAATAATATAATAATAATAATATAAAAGTAAATTATTGTGTAGGCATTACACAAAAAAAATCATATTAAACTTATACCTGTAATATATATATATATACTAAATGTAAGATAAATATATTACTAGTATATACGGTATATATATATATAAAAAAAAAGTTTATTTTAAATATTTTATTATATAATATGTGCTGAAAAAAAAATTTAATGTCAAATAAATACCGCCTAAGATTCATATATAATTTATTATTAATAATAATATAATAAAATATAATTTAATAATAATACTAATATATTTTCTTTACGCTTTGGGGGAATTATAAATACAGTAAATATTTGCATTTATTTGTAAATTATTTTTTTTATTATTTTATTTTATTTTTATTATTTTTTTTGTCATTTATGATATTTGTTAGAATCATATATATACTGTATATAATAATATATACCAAGAAATTATTGCATTAGACACATGCAAACAAAATAAATATGAAAATAATATAATATTATATAAAATTTATATATAATTTCCTAAAAGTAATGATATTGTAATAAAATGTTTTGATAATAAAACTAATAATAATAATAATAATATCAAAAAAAAAACTTTGTAACGAAAAAAAATTGTATGAAAAATCTAATTAACTTATTGTTAAAAATAACAAAAAAAAATAAATAAATTTTAAAAATGATTTGTTCATCAAAAGTGTTATCACTACATATGGATAATAATAATTATAATAATTTATTATTATTATTAATAATGAAAAAATTATCACTAATTATAATAGTAATTCAATTATTATTATTAAGCAAATCATGTATTCAAACAATGAGTTATACAACAGCTACTGAACATAACATTAATAGTAGTATCAGTGATAGTGGGGGTACACCACCAACACCACCACCACCACCACTATCACCCATAGGAGGTATGGGATCCTCATCATCGGCACCAGTGTTGGTCGCCCGAGTAGATAGAGTACCGGCACTGACAGCCGGTATATCCATTAAAATCAATTCAGCCAAACCCAGACATATCGATACCGTTGAGACAGTATTGTTGAACATAACGTTTCAGGAGTCGTCGACAGCCATCAAAATCAAGTGGCGTTTTGTTGTCCATACAAAACAATCCCATAGATGGAAAAGACAACTACTGTCCTCGTCCTCATCATCATCAGCATCGGCAGCCTATGTTGAACGAGAGCACCGGCCCCTGGAATGGGTGGTTAAACTCAGGCAGTTTGCAACATTCAATGTCAATATCTATACGATCAAAGATGACGCCAATTCAATGGATTCGCTAGCCGTACACAACCAAACCTATAGCTATACTATACGGGGATTACAGCCCCAGACTGCCTACGAACTGTGTCTACAGTCCAGCCATCATATGATTGATGAAATCTCATCGATGGTCAACTCGTACAGTCGTGGCGGCGGTCTGTGCAAAGAGTTTGTTACCGTCGCGGCCGCCGTCGATGCTGTCCAGGATAATAGCAATCAACGATTGGCCGATATAACCGTTGCGTCGGCCATATCGACAGCGTCGACCACTTTTATGATAGTCGTAGTGTTTTGTTGTTGTTGTCGTACATCCAAGAAAAATAGACACAAAGTAACCGATGGTGACAACGATGACCACCGAAACAGACAGATAGTCAAGTATGAGCCCATGTGCTGTACATGTATGACATCGTCGGCCAATAATTCGGGTAATACAAGCGATTCAAGTGAACTAACGATGACCAGCGATGGCGGTGGTGTCGATGGTGTCATCAAACCAGCGAAAAAACTACAAAACAATAGTACAGGCAATCGGGTTGTCTATAATCCGGTCATTGAAGTAATCGACAGCAACAACAACGACAACGACAGTCCCGACGGCGATGACAACACCGACAACAACCATAAGTTGCGGGTCTTTACGAAAAATGTCAGAGTTTTCAAAAAGACTTCAACTTTTAATACTAATAATACTAATAATAATAGACAGCTATTAGTGATTAAAACTGATGGTACGGGTGGTACGGGTCGTCGTCAACCCAGAAACAACATCAGCACTACATCCATGTTTATCAAACGCTACGGTAAACCACGTAGTTGGCCAATGTTACCGACCGATCAGTCAGAGTATAGCCGACAGCTGCCCAGCCATCAGCCGAATGGTATAACTATTGCCAATATTGTGGATCAGTCGTCGTCATCGACAGCGACAACAATAGGAGGAAAACTAACAACCGATACATCATTATTGGTGAATAGGTTATGGTTTCAGGCGATGATGCCATCAAACAGTAGTAGTAATGATAATAATAATAATAATAATATCGACAATAATAATCGTGACATCAATTCAAACCAAATTGAATATTGATTTTATTTAAAGACTACTTAAATATATTTTTTTCCGTTTGTTTGTTTGTTTGCTTTTATATAAAGTATATATATATATATAAATATAAATATATAGATATATAAATATACCGTATTTTTGCTTCTAATATAGTATATATTAAATAATAATAATATAGTAATATAAAAATAATTAAATAATTGTCATTTAGGAAAATAATTTTTGTTTGTTTGTTTGTGAATGACATCAAAATCTATTAATTTTGTTTAATTAAATTAATTAAATATATATATATATACCGTCTATATATGTATATTGTATTTGTTGTAAAAATTAAAAATTTTAGTCCTTCAACTAAAATTATTTTTCGAAAAAACTTCAAATAAAATTAAATATATAAATTTTTATAAAATTGATGTATAATTTATTTATTTTTCTAGTAGTGCTTAGTATTAGTAGTAGCAGTAGTAGTAGTTTTAGTTGTAGTATAAAATAAAATAAAAATTTTTAAGTCAAAATTAATTTTCTGACTAAAAACGTGTTTTCAATTATGCAAATTGATTGCATGAATGAATTATATATATGTATATATACTATATATATATAATGTCAAATAGATTCAAACATTGTTTTGTTAAATTATATTAACATTTATTATAATATTTAGTTTATATATATATAACTTTATATATATATATAGTCTATTGAAGTAAAACCAAAATAAGTACAATACTTATCATATACAGTATAAAGTGATATAAATGTATACTATATATACTGTAGTAGTATATATATATATATATATATATACTGTATTATATATATACTGTATTATATATATACTGTACTGTATATATACTGTACTGTATAAATACTGTACTGTATAAACAGTAATAATATGTAATAAATAAATGTTAAAAATCAATTAAATTTTATAGATTTGTAGTATATTTTTTTAATGATGATGATGATGAAAAATAAAAATAAAATTTATGTAATAAAAATTAATTAATTTATATAAAAATTCTATGAAATTATTATTATTATTAAATATGGTTTAATTACTTATAAAATATAATTAAATGGAAAAATTTTTTTTTTAATTGATAATTATATTTTATATATTAATATTATTTATATGTTTATAAAAATTTCAATAATAATAATAATAGATATTGTAGTATTAATTAGTGTAATAAAATAATTGGGTTCAATATTTTTAAGTAGCAATAGATTTATTTAAAAAAAAATAAAACAAATAATAAAATTATAATTGTTTTCGATAGAAATAATATTCAACAAAATAATAATAATAATACTAAATATTAATACTATGAAAAAACAACAAAAAATAAAATTTATAAATTTTTTTATAAACTAATAACCAACTTAATCTTAAACTAAATGTTTTTTTTATTATTTAATTATAAAAATATTATTATTATTATTAAAAACTAAATAACTAGAAAATACTAGTATTTTTTATAAAAAAAAAATAAAAATTTTGTTTTTTTTGTTTACTATACTAACGTTTTGATGAATCGATTTCATTAAATGCCGTTATATTTAGCGATGAAAATATCTGTAAACACGTCCTCTTAATGATTGTATTGTTAGGAGTCGGTGGCCAACAGTATAGATCATCCCAAACATTGGGACACCATTTATCTATAACAATATAAAAATAAATTAAATAAATTATTCAATATATAATTAATAATTAATAATATAATAATTAATGGCCGTATATATAATTAGCAATAATTTTAAATAATTAGAAAATAAAATAATTTAATTTCATAACTAACAACAGCTATACTGATAATTGATTTTTTTAAGACATTATTTTAGATAATTAATAATTAATTTAAAAAAAAAATTATTGTCCATTAATGTCAATCAGATATAAATTTTTTTTAAAAAATATAAATATATATAATATATATATAACTTATAACTCATCCATATTTTGTTGATATTAATTTTGTTATTGTTATAATATTATTAAAAAAAATTTTTTTTATGTTATTGACACTTATGAAAATAGATTTTTTTATCTATAGTATTGTAATATATATATATATTGTCAAAATTGATATAATCAAATTTTATATCAAACTAATAAAATACAACATCAAAAAAAATACAGTCTATTACTATAGATGCAAAATATTTATTTTATATATATTTTTTATATATAAATTGTACATTTAGTTTTATTTTTGCAAACCTAATAATATATATTAGAAATCTTTAACAAAAAAAAAATAGTTAAGCAAACCGACACATCAAACAAAACAAAATAAATAATAAAAGTTTTACCTTTAAATTTTAATATAAAAACCTATTATCATATACTATATATATATAGTATATAACATATATTATATATAGTAAATATACTGTATATAATATATGTTATATACTGTTAAATATATTTAGTATATGATAATAGGTTTATATATATATATATATATTATATTTAACTTTTCAATTGACTTTGTAATGCTAATGAAAACAACTCAAAATCTCAAGAATATTCAATTGTTTCAAACAATTTAGTTTGAATTCATTATTATTATTATTATTACTGAAATTAATTGTAAAATATTCTGTGTTTATATTTGTGAATAATTATAGTATTATTATTTTAATTAATTAATTAATTAATTTTCATAATTTCTATGTTTAATTAAACTATATTTTTTTGTAATAATAATAATAATAAAACACTGAATATCTATATTTTGTTTATTGTATTTTTATAGCCTTACAAAAATATACTATGAAAATAAAATCAATTATATATATATATATTTATATTTGCATTTTGATAGCAAAATATTATAGTCTATTGTTATTATTCAAAAAAAAATATTTATCAATTTATATAAGAGATTTGGTAAACATTAAATAAATAAATTATTATATTTTCAATATTAAAATTATTTTTAAACATAAATAAATAAATAGATACCTAAACTATAATATAGTTTACTATTTATATAATATATATATCGTAGATAAATCATTTTAAATAATATATATATTGTATATACTGTAATAGTTTTTTATCATTTACTATAATGTCAATTAATCAAAACTTATATATAAAAATAATTATATATATATATATATATAATCAGATAATTATATTGAACATACAGCTTATATACATTATATTTATACAATTTGTTTATATCTATTATGTATACATAGATCTATTTACTATATATATGTATATATATATATATATATTCTATGTTATATACATGTATATACTGTACTTTATATATATATATATATCCAAATACATTGTCTTTATAATAAAAATATTCAATAATAATAATGTACATTAGCATAATTAAAATTACATGTAACTGTTTGTCAATCTATATTAAATGGGTAAATTGACATTTAGTTTTTATTTTCTATAATATTATTAAAATTAAATTTGTTTAAACTATGTTTGCTATTATTATTATTATTATTATATATATAAAAAAATATTTAACTGATAACAGGTAAGTGATGATAAAAAAAATTTGTTTAATATTTTTAACAACATTACAATATTAATAATATTTTTTTTATAAAGATAATAAATATTTATTATACTGTAAAATAATAATAATAATGAAAACTATTTTATATATTTTTGGATTATAGTTTTAATAATAAAAATGATAAAAACTTTGATACAATATTTTTTAAAAATATTAAATTTATGAATATATTGAAATATATAATAAACTTTAATTTAAAAAAAAAATATTTTTAGCATTAATATACTAGCAATTTAAAAATAGATAAATTATACCATTTTTTTTTATTAATATTATAATAATTTTTTTTATATTAATGATTAATTATATATTTGTACATTACTAATAATAATATTACTAATTATTATTTATTAACTAATTTGTCAAAATTAAATTATTATTAAAAATTAAATAAATAAATGTCTAAATAATATATATATATATATTAAGATCATTAACTTATTAGTTGATAAAAATAAATTATAGCCTAAAATATTATATATATATATATATATATATAGTGTATATATTTGAGGACTAATTATATACCATTACTTACCATTAAATTCATGGCCAATAATATTGTTATACATATGAATACATTGATCACTGTTTGCCATAGAAATTAATTGTCACAATATATTAATATATGTTTTTAAATAATTTTCAAAAATATCACTTATTTTTAAAAAAAACAATTATTTTAATTATCAATATTTTATTAAAAATTAAATGTCATTATCAATATAAAAAATTATCATTATTATTTAACATTATTATTATGATTAATAATAACAATAATAATAATAACTATAAAATAAATTATTTTTGCTGATTTATTTAGACGGATATAATTTATTTTTTTTGTTGGAGAAAAAATTTTTAAAAAAAAATTACATTACATATGAAAAATAGTTTATACAATATATAAGTATATAATAATATAATATTATTATTATTATTGAATTTGAAAATTCATTGTTTCAAATAATAACATAAAAACTAGCATAAAATTTGCTGAAAATGTTTAAATAAAATATATAATTAGTATACATATATATATACTGTATATGTATATAATTTTAATGAATCAAACATATGATGGCAACTAAAATGAGTTAATTATTAAAGTTTTAACCAAAAAATATAACACACAAAAAAAATTAAATAGTTTTTTTTCCAAACAAATTGTTAATCAACAGTTAGTTTATTTTTTTTTAGTTGTTGTTATTATTATATTAAATAATAATAATAATACAAAAAAACTAATTTTGATGCAATGAAACAACTGTTTATTACTATCTATATATATATATATATATATATATATAGATATACTGTATATACACTGTATATAGAAAGTAAATTATAACTTATAATAATAATACACTAAATTAAACTACTATTTGATTTGAAAACTGTTTGATAGTTAACAACAACTAGCAAACAAACACCAAACAAAAAATTAAAAAAAATTAATTTTGAGTCAAATATACTGTATATACAGTAGTTTAGGCACACAAACAACACATAGAGTAATGAAAACTTTTTGTTGTTTTGTGAACTATTTTTATTTGCAATCATCGGCTGAAAACCAAATGTATAATACAATAATTGAAGTGTTGAACACATGGAGTGCAATATAGAGATAATATACTGTATATAGTAGTAATAGACAAGTGATTTGCAAAAATAGAGATCCTGTTTGTGTCTGTATGTGTATGTGTTGTGCCCACACTCTGGCACAGGGATGTGTGTGTGTGTGTGTGTTGGGAAAAGTGCGACTAAGCAATAGAGAGAGAGAGAGAGAGAGAGAGAGAGAGAGAGATGCGAAAAATTGTATGAAAACAACACACATATATACATACAGTACATAACACTAGCAGTTAGAGCATAGGAATTGCACAGTTAGGCATAGCATCAGTATATTATGTAATATCTACTGCACACTTGTGGTGTGTGTGTGTGTGTGTTAGCACTTGTATTACTATGAGCTCAAGTGTATATATATATATATATATATATATATATATTGATATTTAAAAGGTATACAACTAGTAAATACTTATATATATGTATTACCGATATATACTGTATATACAATAAATTATATATATATTGATATTTAAAAAGTATACAACTAGTAAATGCTTATATATGTGTATTACCGATATATATATATATTGATAATACAATAAAGTTTATATATATATCTATTGATATTTAAAAGGTATACAACTATTATATTAAATGCTTATACAAGTATTACCGATATATATATATATATATATATATATATATATACAATAAATAAATATATATATATACAGTATATACAGTATACTGTAAATTAAACACTACTATTTGGTGTTTATACTACTGTACAGTAGATTTAATTGGATTAACAGCTCTGAAAAAAAAACATTTTTTTTGATAAACATTTTGTGTTGTATTTAATTTTTTTTTGTGACAAAAATCCCAAATAACAAAAAACATATATATATATATATATTTGTAAATGCATTATAACTTTTGTTTTGTTTCAATAGATATATTATTGAATATATAACCCAAACAAATCCAAAGAATTTTACTTAAAAAATATTTCAAGTTTATTATTATTTAAAGTTTTTCTTCAACAACAACAACAACAACAAAAAAATGTAATCCTATATTATATTTATAATAATCATTATATTATATAAACTATATTATATAAATATTATATACATATACTCTAATAGATTTCTAAATATATATATATATATATATATATTATATTTAAAAAAAAGTGTTTTCAATGGTTTACTAAAAGATTTTAAAAATATATATTGAATTATTATTTATTTATTTTTTTAGGTGGATATATATGTATATTCACTTAAATTATTTTTGAATATATCTATAAAACATTGTGTGTATGTGTATGTGTATGTGTATGTGTATGTGTATGTGTATGTGTATGTGTATGTGTATGTGTATGTGTATGTGTATGTGTATGTGTATGTGTATGTGTATGTGTATGTGTATGTGTATGTGTATGTGTATGTGTATGTGTATGTGTATGTGTATGTGTATGTGTATGTGTATGTGTGCATATATGAGTGTGTGTGTAGTATGAGTGTATGTGTATGTGTGCATGTATGAGTGTGTGCATGTATGAGTGTGTGCATGTATGAGTGTGTGTGTAGTATGAGTGTGTATGTGTATGAGTGAGTGTGTATGTGTGTTATTGATAAATAAAAAAAAATAAAATAAAACATTCAAATTAAATGTCAATATACATAGACACACAAAAATAAGTTTGCTATATATATATATATATATATATTGTATTTGATTTGTTATATTGACGTAAAAATAGTGTGCAATTAAAACATTTGTTAGTAATTTTTTTTAATTAATTTTTTTATTTTTTTTTTTGATAAACACTCTGTAGTCACAGTACACAGTAGTATATATACAGTACAATAATAATACCTTCAATTAACTTTCAAATATACAGTATATTTAATATATATGAATAAATATATATAAATTAAATTCATAGAAAAATTCATAGATAATAAATGTCAAACGTGTCAAACAAACAGTTAATACATATATATATATTAAAATTGAAACAATCAAAAAAATCAATTAAAATTTTGTGTTAATTAACTAATTTTATTATTATTATTATTAAATAATTTATTATAAATTAATCATATATATATACTATAATTAAAAAATGATCTTGTTGTTTTGTTATTATTATTATTATTATTGTTGTTGTGTTTGTTATTGATTATTAAAATTATTAAAAAATAACCTTGTTTAAATGCCTAATTACATTATACAATATACACAGAGTATAGTATAGTATATCACATTATTTATTATTTCATTAAATTTATTTTTTTTAAATAATAATAAAAAAATTTCATAATTATCGATAAAACTTATTTTTTTTAATAAAAAAACTATTCGCAAGTTTAAGTCAATAGTAATAATTATAATTAATAATTAATTAAATAATTTATATATATATATATATATCTATATAAACTTATTATATCAATATATTTATATTGAATATCTCTTTTATTGTGTTTTTTTGTGTCAAAACAACAACAAGTAGTAGTAGTTGTAGTAGTAGTCGATGGATGTGCTATTGGGTTGTGTGTGTGTGTGTGTGTGTTGTGTCGTTCAATACGATTATTATTAGGTAATACTTAAATAGTATTTAAATATTTTTTTGTTTTTTGTTGTTGTTTTGTTAAGTCCTATCCATCCATACGTTTGTCTTATTTTTTGTTTAGGTTTTTCTGGTAATCAATCAATAGATCAATCAAAGCATGTCTTTATGGAAAACCCATCGTTTGTTTGTGTGATCAAAGCTATGGGTTAGCCATTGTTGCTCAAGAATCCAATATCTTTGTTCACTTAAATAGAGTGGTTTTCCGCGTCTGTATATAAACCAAAACCAACAAAAAAAACAGATAATTAGCGATAATTAAGATATTAATAATAATTAATATATTATTATTATTATGGGTTTACTTGAGATCTTTATCTTCTTCGCCAAACTGATCCAAATATACTGAACCCCAGACACAGGCTCTTTTGCCACGGATGACGATAATTGTCGACGAATTGCAGGCCAAATAAATGGCAGTTCCGGCGCCGCAAACATTCGAGTGCTATTTAAAAACAAACAAAACGGGTATTAAATATTTATTTTTTTACAAAACAATTGGCCGATTATGGCGGTGGTGTCCACCAAGTGGTTCCCAAAAAAAAAAAAAAATACTTACAAACACTGCTTCCAGACACGACTCGGATGGCCGACAACAGGCTTCGTGCATACAGATTAGTGTACCGCAAATCAGACAAATTGATGGATCTTTCGGTACTTTGTTGCAGACCCGACACTGGCGCTGATGATAGAACATAAACAACTGGTCGTAAAGGGCCGGTAGTCTCAGTAGGGCTGGTCGTCGCCATTGGACTGGCGGATCTCTTAGTAGTTTCTATTGGGGTTAACAATAATAATAATGTTTTATTTTATTAGTTAAATCATTCAATCAATTCAATCAAAAAATCACCCAAACATTAGACACCTACCTGTGCTCCAATAAGCGATTGCTGTGCAAACGTTGTAAACTGTTGACACCAAGTATGGACCAATTGTCTGGGCTGTGATGTCGCCCAACGCATGGTTTGGCCTATTGTTGTTGTTATGCTAGTTGTAGTTGTTGTTGTTGTAGTAGTAGTAGAAGTAGTAGTAGTCGACTCTTCGTCGATGAAAATACCTGATGATGACGACGACGATGTCGACGATGTGGCGGCCAATTGCAAGAATTGAGACAACAATTGGAACTCTTCGGCAATGTTATCAGTTGTTGTTGTCGTTGTCGTCGTTGTCAACGGTTTGGGATACGGTTCCGAATAGAGATGGTGTGACAGCATTGATGCCAACCGCAAGAATGGCAGACACAGACAAATCAGGTTATCTTCGATCTCTTGTTCGGATAATATTTTGTTTGTCTTAAATAATAATAATAATAAAAACATACATTACATACAATAACTAATCAAATAATTAAAATAAAAAATTTACAAAATTAGTAGACATTTGTTGGTCAACACCACTACCACCGCCACCACTACCGACAACAAGATTGGCATAAAAGCCGTTAGTGTCGAGCATATGGATGACAAAACCCAATAGATTGGCCAATCCTTCTCCTGTTCCACCGGTACTGAACTCATCCATACTAGTCGTCGTCTGTTGACTGGTATTGTTGGCAACAAAATAGTCGCTTAGTTGGATCCGTTGACAATCGCTCATCAGTGTTGATAACTGGGCAACGGCTTGGATTAGACGCAAATTCATCAACGATTGGACAACAGTTGTAAAGTAAGCTATTGTTGTTGTTGTTGTTGTTGTGATTGTTTAAGAGATCAAATTAGTTAACAATTAATATGACTGAGAGGACTGGTAGACAAACAAACCTTTGTCGACATTAAGTGGCAACGCATAGAACAATTGGATCAACAGTGCAGAGACATCGCGTACGAGTAGCGGAACCTCTTTTTCAATGGTCGTAACACTCAGTTGATTGTCATCGATGGTCAGTCCGGTCAGTTGACACCATAGACTATCGTACGGTGTAGTGATCACTACTTTGGCATTCAAAGCTAACACATGAAACAATGGCACTATCGATGTCGATGTCGTTGTGATGTATGGTTTAAACAAACAAAACAAAAACAATTGGATTAGAAAAACTGGAAATTGTTTTCAAAACAATATATTTACCGAAACACGACTTTTTGGCGCCACAGGCAATACTATGGCTTTGTTTGGTCAGTATATCGGACTCGAGGTTTGTCCGGCTAATCGAACAGAGAAACAAAAACAAACTCTGATGGCTGGGCGATACCCGAATGTTACGATACTGGGGACCGGTAGCTTTGGTCAGATCTTCGACGGCCGAACCGAGCAATTTGAGAAACTCGGATTCGGGATGCGAACAACCGTTGGCCAATAGCGACCAGATTTCCTGGGCAACGGCACCGAGATCATTGGGTCGACATTTGACAACGGCACCGATTTCGCCCATTGCCGGATTAATCGGTAGTACACTGTTGGCCTGTTGCCGACACAATGGACAGGCATATTCGCCCTGTTCGATACCATAGCGATTGTGTACCGACTGTTGGAGACCGCGTAGTGATTGCATATACGATTTGTGGCAATCAATGTGCAAATAATGGCCGCACGACTGTACGTGAACACCGCCTTCCCAGCCAATATTGAACGAATTTAGCCACGAATTCTTATCGAACAACCGGTCCATTTCGTCGATACGTTTTTCCATAAATTTGGCCAATGTTTGCCGATTCTGTAGGGCCACAACTTCGTCGTCAGTGTTGGGCAAACGGGTGGCGGCGACTGCGGCGGCAAAACTGTTACCGCCACTGGCTGAGCATACATCGCCGCTGCCGATGGTTGTGGTCGAGTGTCCCAAAACACTGGTCGACTGCAATAGGACTACCTGTCCGAACAGTTTACTATTGGTTGTGGCACCGCTTTGGCCGCATATTACACACTCGTATTCTTTTGACTGCAACAATGAACTACTGGTGGCCGACGACGTCGACGATGAACCCGACGGAACACCTTTGTTGTCACTGTTGTTGTTGTTGTCGCCGCCGATATCACAGTTGATATTCTCTTTTTCGATATTCTTCATGAATGCCTTCTGTTTCGATGCAAATTCGGCCATCAATTTCTGTTGTCGCTCTCGGGCTTTACGTCGCCGTTCTTCGCGATCGTTTTCTTCGCCGCCGCCGCTGCCAGTGTTTCCCTGGCCATCAGCGAATCGGTCATCAATACCGCCGCCGCCACGGCCACCACCACCGGCGGCACCATCTTTAGACCAAATTCGTTGGCGAATTTCATTGATAATATCGTCGCCGTTGACATTCAATTGGATAAAATGGTTGAGAAATCGTTCGATAAAATAGGGACCGTCGCCGATACAACTGTCCACTAGTACTCCTCCTCCTCGTTGGTGTTGTTCATTGGTTTTGGAACTGGGTTTATAGGAATCGGGTCGTCCGCTTAGTTTCGAGTGAAGTCTAACTAATAGCGATACAATTGTTTCGTTAATTGTCAATAGATTTCCGGTAGACGACGACGGAAGCGCTTTGATTAGTTCGGTGACCACTAGATTCGGATTATTGTTGTCCTGTTGACTATTATTGGCACTACAACTACTGCTACCGCTACTACTGCCGGCAGTACTACCTGTGTTTGTCAACTCAAACTGTTTGCTTGGAGCGACCGCCGACTCATATAGCCGTTGTCGGCGACGATTCATTAGAACAATTCGCTGATCGAGCGACCGAACTGGTCGTAATCGATGCGAACGCGAACGAAGTCTCGCGGGACCGCCAGATGACGAAACAATCGATAGGTCATCGGCGGCCGTCGTCGTCACAGCAACGGTATTATCAGCCGAGTGATGGCTACTGCTTAGTGCCGGTGGCAGTGGTGGTGGTGGTCTGGCGGCACTATGATAGCCAAACAGGCTGTGGTGGTGATGATGATGATGACTGTGATGATTGACAGCTGCCGTCACTTGTCGGGCATCAGGATTCACCGGTACCAGTGCCTGTTGGGTCGGATTTGGCGCCGGCAGCAAAGCCAAAGGCACCGTAATGGTAGGCAACTGTGGTCTCTGTATAGACGACTCTATACTACGTGGTTCGCCTGTTTCGCTGGTGGCCGGACTATGAACTTCGTACGGCTGTTCATCTTCGTCGCTCATATATTCATCTTCGTCATCGTCTTGACTGTCACTGGAATCGCCGTCGATGTCCATCTCTTCGACAGCGCCGTCAAACGACGGCCGCCGTTCCGGTAGTTTTACACAATTGACTGGCGTAGTCAAACTGGTCATTATGCCCGACGACGGAAACCATTGGCCAAACTGTAGATCGTTTACCTCTTTTGGCGAATTACCACTGCTGCTGCTGGTGGTATTGTTATGTGAATCACTACTATTACTACTACTACTAGTGCTGTTGCCGCCACAGCTACCGGTGCTGCTGCTGCTCGTAGATACTGGCGATGGATATCTGATGGCCATATCTAACAGATAGATAGTTAGGGCCAGTATTTGGTCGGGCATTTCGTGATAAAATACTGCCTACAAAACAAACAAAAAAATAATTTTTAAAAAAAAATACAAATTTCATATTTATATATATATATATATACCTTATATAGTATTGAAAATATAACTCCGTGTAATATTTTACTGTGCAATAGTTTACGGGGATCGACAAACTTATTGTTGTTGACTGGCGGCGGTATACGAAACGGTGGCCACGGCTGATGAGATGATGCTTTCAGTCGACCCGATTGGCGAGCGCTATATAGAGTATATATTGTGGATTCAAATAAATACAATTAATCGGTAAATAACTAAAGATATCTATTTTATATATATTTTTAGCTAATACTAGACCCCCACTCCCACTCCCACAACACCCCCCACACATACACAGACACATATTATACATACAATTGTGCAAATCTGTCCATCGATGACTGATAGTCTCGTCTATGGACGGCACGCAACAGTACATGAATCGGGTCGTACTCATTGAGCCAGATATCGGCTTTCGGATAGAACTGTCCCTGAACTGGGGTTAACCAACAAAAAAAATTAAATTAAAAAAAATCAATCAATTTAATTAAACTATTCAATCATTACTGACCGAGACTGCCGCCCATTTCGACATTCGGTGACTTAAATTCGGCAATTTTCGACAAAATCGGTTCAAAATATGAATTCTGTGTCGATTGATTGCCACATTTTTCGGGTAACAGTTCCAACAGTTGCGAATGTGTTTTGTCGGCCATGGCCAACAGGGCTACCATTTCTTTGCGGGTAACCTGTTCCTCGGTCATACCCAGATTGTTATGTACGGACAACAGTGTAGCCAAATGGGTTAGGGCCGATTCGAGCATAGGCAGTTCATACTCGGAATCCAGAAAACCTTTATGATGGCCAGTGTCGGTAATGGCCAACGATAGGCTGTCCCATACGTAGAATCTGATAATAATAATAATAATTGATAAGTTTATTCAATAATATAAATCAATAGATGAAAGAGAGAGAGAGAGAGAGATAGAGGGGGGAAAAGAGAGAGAGATATAGAGGGGGAAAGAGAGAGGGGGAAAGAGAGAGGGGAAAAGAGAGAGGGGAAAGAGAGAGGGGGAAAGAGAGAGGGGGAAAGAGAGGGGGGAAAGAGAGGGGGAAAGAGAGAGGGGGAAAGAGAGAGGGGGAAAGAGAGGGGGAAAGAGAGGGGGAAAGAGAGAGGGGGAAAGAGAGAGGGGGAAAGAGAGAGGGGGAAAGAGAGAGGGGGAAAGAGAGAGAGAGAGTAAGTGATAAATAGTCTGCGAAGTTGTTTGCCATTGTTAAGGACCTATTGACTGACTATTAATGTGTGTGTGTGTATATATGTATATGTATGGACAGTCGTATATTTAGCACCCGATATTGATTCCCTGTCATTCCAGAGAGAGAGTAACTAACCTCTCGAACAATGTCTGAACAAACCAATCGCTATCGACATGAGTGGCCACTTGTTGTATAAGAAATAGATCCGAATCGACCATCGAATTACAGAAATGGCACTGAATATATGTCATAGCCTGGCCCTTGATCTGTAGTCCATTGCGTACCCATAGGCCGCACAATATCTCATAAAACGATACAAACGTCTGTAACGGATGGGCCAGCAATTGTTTCAGCTGTTGTTCATCGGGTAGTATATCCACTAACGAACAATTCTGATAGGTAACAGCGTGTTGGGTGAATACCGAAAAATACCGGTGCAATGGCAAATGAAATGTCGATTGCATCGGATTGGGAATGTCGTCTTTGTCGAAGGCAATCAACTCGAACCACGTTTCCAACCAATGCAGGACATGTTTGATTATCTGTATGGACTGGTCGGCTGATTCCTAGAAAATTTATCGGTAAATAAAAAAGATTAGACCACAAATTAGTTTATACCGAAACAAAACTACCCGAAAAACAAACCGAATCTTTCAGATGACAAATCAATGTCCACATCGGTGTCGAACATATTTCAAGTTCGGCACTGAATGCCGAATAGTAGGCATTGTTTTCATACTCGACGTGTTCGTTGAGTTCACGCTGATTCAGATTCATACCCTGGAAGGCCATAATCAGTTCCAACCACAGATCAAACAGTGCACAGTCGTTCATAAACAACTGGGCAACTGGCCTATGGGTTAGCAGATTGTTCAGATCGCTAACTATTGGCCAATACCAGTGCTCTTTGAGTATCTGATGATCGCAGCGGACAACGTTGTGTGCATTGCGTTTCGGATCGTGCATCGGCGACGACATCAATATGCCGGCCATATCACTGGCGCCACTGCCATCATTGGCACTACCACTACCATCATCGCCACCACCACCACCACCACCGCTACCGCAGCCTTCGATGGGATATTTCAAACTAATAACAATTACGTACAATAGTTGAGACTTTTGGCACAATTTTGTAGCCAATTCTTCATTGCTGAACAACTGGACGCTGACGTGAACAACACAATTGGATAGTATGTCGTGAATGTTGTCTTTTGTTCGCTGATTTCCTGTCCGATCGTTGGCCAGACGCGACTGACACAGCATTAGACTTACGCGGCTATAGTGGCTGACAAATGTCTGGGCAAACGCTTCCTAATTGTTATTATTATCGGGTATTAAATAATTATTTAATAAATTTTATCTTTGTTTTATTTTTTATTTTATAGGTTAACAAACCTTATAAGTTTCATTTGGCAACATATTTAACAAAAAACAGACCAACTTTTGGGGAAATTCGTAGACAATCGTCCAGAATAGGAGTTCCTCTAAAAATGTTTTATGAACTAAATCGCAATCAAATGCCGCAATATCTATACAAATAATAATAATAATAATAATCAGATATTTATCATCAATCAGTTTGTATATATATAATACCGATAATAAAAATCAGTTATTTTTTTAAAAAAAATATCAATAAATAAAAAAATTATTGATATTTTTTTTTAATTATTATAAAATTATTACCGGACACAATTTTATATTCATCGGAGTCAATTGGTATACGAAAGTGTGGCATCGATCTCTTAGCTGAACGATAATTGTTCAACAATTGGGCCATTAGATCATCAGTTTCGGTATCCGTATTACATGATGATGACAACCGTAACAAACCTATCGGGGTAGAGTGTATAGATATTACGGGTGGGGGGGGGGAAATAAATGGGTATTTATTATAATTAATTAATTATTTTTTTGTTGAGAGACATACCGGTGCCAGTAGTGGTAGTATTGATGGTGGAGGAGGAGGAGGAGGCGGAAGAGGATAGACTAGAATAATAGTTGGCATCGGTTAGGGCATCGCTCAATACGTATCGCATGGCGGCTCCCATTTCGGTTAACTTTAACAATAGCTCTTTGATATAGACATCCGATTCTTCCATAGCTTTATTTTTTGCATACAATTAGTTAATTATTAATGGATTTAATAAATGTCGACAACAACCAGGAGTTTACCTTTGATATCGTTTCGTCTTAAATGTAAAATCAGTCGATAGATCACTTGCGGCATAACAGCTTTGGCCACACATAGCAGATCGCCGGGCGCTTCGGGTATCGTATAGTTATCTTTGGAGCCGTGACTCTGACAGAAACCTTGTTCTTTCATAACCGAGTCGTCACCGCAATCGCATGCGCCGCCCGCTTGCGACCGAAACATATTGAAATCGTGGCCGTCGTGATTGCCTTTTTTGAAACAATCGGCGCATAGGGACATACACGGCGATATACCGCACGTACGGCACCGGTAGGCGACAAAGTTGGCCGTCCAAACCAGTCCGCATTTGGTGGCGTTGTCGTACTTTTTCACTAAAATTTTTTAGCCGAAAAAAACAAACAAACAAACAAACAGTTAGTTTCAGTTAATCCAAAAAATCGGTAATCAAATCATACGATACCTTCTGCGGCAAACTCGTGAGGGGTTAGTCCGCCGGCCACTATCCACTGGATCCAGTCGATAGTGTCCCAATCGGCTACCGATTTACGTACGTCAAACACTACACGACACAATTGTGGCAATAGTTTTGCCGCCGCCGTAGCCGATGAATCCATCATCGATTGATGGCCACCACCGCCGCCACCGCTACCAGCATTGTTGTTGGCCATCATTATCTCCCGTTTGATGGCCTCGACAGTCGATCGTTTGCCTTTTCTAAGCATATACTCGATATCATTGCCGCTGCCGTCGCCGTCGGCATTAACATCGGTGGTCATCATCTTGTGATCGATGGTATCAGTATTACTACCGCCGCCGCTGCCGGCGGTAGTGCGGCCACTGTTGCTCATATCACCACCACTTGACGGTCAGGTCGTCGTCGACGTCCACCACTTGTTGTCCACCTTTTTCTTCTTCTTCGTCGTCAACGTTATCGTCGGTAATAAAAACTGGTCACTCATTAGAGGACAATAACAACGATAACAACAATAATAATAATAATGACGAGTCAATCATACTATGAGCACATGTGTCGTACAAATATGTTATTATAAAAAAAATTATAATTAAATAATAATTATTATTAAAAAATAAATAAATAAAACTAATTATTATTATTATTATTACTAATTAATTAATTAAATGATATACTAATTGTTTGGTTTTGTTTGTTTGATTATTAACTGAATGTATGATAAATAAAAACACTGTTGTGTTGTGTTGTTATATACACACAGTATATATATATATATGACTTTCACTCGCAATAGATATATATATGTATTAGAAATATATAGAGAGTATTACATAAATATAATGTATATGTACTAGAGACTGAAAACTGACCTGATTTTTCAGGTCAGGTCAGGTCAGGTAAAAGTTAGGGCTCAGGTCAGGTCAGGTACGGGTCCGAACACCAAAATTTTTTGGTCAGGTCAGGTCAGGTCCGAAAATTTTTTATTCATTATTTAAACGACAATTATTACAAAATATGACAATCAAACACAAAATTTATTAAATTATTATTTATAAAATATTTGTATAAATTAAACATAAAATATTACAAAAGATGATGGTTTTGATCTAATAAATAATAACATATTAACTTTATTAGAATCTAAGTTAGATCTACTATCAGTTATCGTTAATACCGAGTAATTAAAGTTAATTTAGACAAATTTGTTGCGGGTATAGAATAAATAAAATTGTTTTTTGATAAAATTATTTTCGGACAGACATAGTCAGGTCAGGTCAGGTCAGGTAAATTTGTACCCTATGTTATGTCAGGTCCGAGTCCGAGATTTTAGGTATCAGATCAGGTACGGGTCAGGTACGGGTCCGAAACTTTTCGCTCTCTAATATGTACTGTATGTGTACTGTATATACAGTATATAATCGTTCTATCAATTAGGGCTTTAATAATAGCTATTATATTATAGGTTAGGTTACTATTATTATTATTATAACTAGACATTTAAATTATAGATGAAATAACTAACTAAATAAATTTATAAAAATCACTCTAATATGTTCAATATTCAATTTGAAATAAAATTTTTATGATGTATTATTTATTTAAATATATGATAATTTAAAGTATAATTTATAACAATATATTTATTAAATTTATTATTAATTTTTTTTTATTAATTAATAATAAACATTATTATTTATATTTTTAAAGATTTAATTATTTATTTTTTTATACACACACAGTATTTAAATTTTAATTAATTGATTGCAAATTGATTAATTCATACTTATTTTTAAATTATTTTATTTAATCGATATTTTTTAAAATATAAAAAAATTACAATAATATTTATCATTGTTTTTTGTTACTGAAACTAAAATTTTTATCTTTAATAATATGACAAAACATAGAGTTGTCAATATTGTATATATATATATATATATATATATATATATATATATATAGTTTATATATCGTACATGTGCATTATTTTGGTTTTTTAAAATAAATAAAAAAAAATAAGATTGTATTTTTTAAACTATTATAAATAATATGTTTATGATTTTAACATTAATTTAAACATACTTAATTAATAATTAATTTAAATAAATTAAAACAGCCAAGGTTTTTTAAAAAAAAAAATTATATTTTGAATATTATTATATATAAGTAGTTTTTAATTTTACTATTGTAAAATATATTATATTATTATTTATACACATATTCAGATAATTTTAATAAAATTTTTAATAATATTATAACTTATTAGTAAATATTACTGTTTTTTAAAAAATAATAATACAAATTAATAAAAATATTTTATTGTGGAAAATATATTATAAAAACTATAATTATAATAATACATAGCATTAATGATGACAATAAAAAAAAAGTTTACAAAATTCTAATAATTTAATTTAATTATTAAAAATTAAATTTTTTAGCGCATTTTAATTAATGTATAGCAATTTATTTATTTATTTTTAAAAAAATTAAAATAATAAATATTAATAATATGTGCATATGTACGCTTAAAATTATTATACAATAAATTTTATACACTTGTACAAAAAATAATAATAACAAACATAAAGTACGTCCAATGTCTACAACACTAATAATCAATTTTTATTATCAAAAAAAAATTAAATTAAATAAATAAATATTTATACACTACTTATCAATCATAAAGTAAACACATAAAATAATTGATAATTTAAAAAATGTTAAAAAACAGAAAAAAAATCTTACAAGCTTATAATAAAAAATAATCTAGATGATTTTTTGTTTTTTAAAAATGTTAAAAATTTTAATGTAGTAAAAACACACACACACACACACACACACACACACATACACATACACACATACACATACACACATACACATACACATACACATACACATACACATACACATACACATACACATACACATACACATACACATACACATACACATACACATACACACACACACACACATATATATATATATATACACACACACACACACACACACACACACACACACATACACACACACACATACACACACATACACACACACACACATATATATACACACACACATACATTATGATTGGACACCGCCAAACATGTTTTTTATAAATTAAAAAACTAAAATATAAAAAAAACATATACACAGTGTATGACAACTAAACTATTTTATTATACACACACAATGTACACCTATACATGTATATAAAATTATTATACATAATGTATAGTTACGTAATGTTGTTATTGTGTTGTTTAGGATGCTTATACACATAATATAGTGTATATATACACAATAGCATACATTAAACAATTTATACACTGTATAGTTATTTATTTATTATTTGTTGTTGTTAATATATAGTATATATAATTGTAATAAACAAGGTAAAATTTACTAATAATTATTATAATGATGGTTGTGCTAATTTAAATAATTTATATATATATATATACATGTAAATATATATATATATAGTGTTAACAATATAATATCAGTATATAATTATTATGACAATTGTCAATTAATTATTATTAATAATAATTTTTTTTCAAAATTTTTTTTTTAATTATATATATGTGTGTATGTGTTGGCCATCAAATGCACACATTTTTAAACATATATATATATATATATATATATATAATATTAAACAATTATTAAATTATCATCATTAATTAATTAATTAATTAATTACATCTAGCAACAATTTACTAATAAAAAATAATAATTGTGATTTTTTGTTTGTTTGTTTGTTAAATTAATTATTATTATTATTATTATTATTATTTTTATTAAATTTATATACATGTATATACAGTATTTTATTTACTAATTATAATTTTTTTTGTGTATCAAATAATATATGATAATAAACTAATTATTATTAATAATAATAAAATTATAATTATCTAATATATATATATATATATGATATCTATTAGTGAGTTTAAATTTAAAACAAATAATAATAATAATAATTAATAATAATTAAATTCACATCAATTCACACCATAATTATATTAATATTTTTTGTAAATTTTTTAAAAAACAAATATGAATTGACAGAAAAAAAATAAAATAATAATTAATAAATTAATTTTACGTCAATTTTACGTCAAAATATAATTTTTATTGTCTGTGTGTGTGTTTGTGACCAAAAAAAATTATTTTAAAAAAAATATGATAAACTAAAATTTAAAAATACATTAATTATCATGGTAATTATTTTAAAAAAAAACAATTTTTTTTAAATTAACTAATTTTAGTTGTTACTAGTGTTGTTACCAATTTGCTTATTTAAATATATCATTGATATATCACAATATATATAATTTTTTTCTAATAAAAAATTATTTATTTAGCAAGATAAATTTTTGTTTATTATCGAAAAAAAAATTTCAAAAAATTAAATATCAATTTTTGTTTTTTGAAAAAAAACTATTGGTTTATATGTGTGTTCACATGTTATCAAAAATTAAAAAAAAAATAAAAATAAATTATTATAATGAAAATTAATACATTAATAATAATGATGACCACATCTACATCATCATCTATGGTAACAATATTGATGACAATATCAATGATAATGACTACTACTACTACTACTACCAGAGTCATAGCCACCACCACCACAACCACCAGTAGTGGTGGTGATATGTCATCAGGTATTTAAAAAAAAATAAATAAATAAAAATATTTTAGTTATAAATATAATAATAATACAGTAATATATATCCTCCAGTGATGACCACCGCAACCACCGCTGGAGCCGATGATCCTCGACAGTGGAACTGCGATGATCTGGACTATTGTGCCGATCGTCTAGGATTTGATGCCATCCAATGGCTTCATCATAAACTAGATGACGATCATAGCGGTTATGTAGATATTACCGAAAGCGATGATGTAGGTTATGATGATGGGGTTGACCTCCTGTTTATTACCGATTAAATTAATTGTGTCTTTTATATCATTTACCATCGATATGATCATATAGTTTCTGAGAGATGAGCTCAACTATCAGGATGTTAACGAACGGCAAAAAGCATTTCACGGCAACGATAAACATATTACCGTCGATGAACTGTGGAAAGCGTGGCGACTGTCGGATGTTAGGAACTGGACAGTGGATCAGACAGTCGACTGGTTGTGCGATGTGGTCGAACTGCCCCAGTATGCCACACAGTTTTATAGTAGCGCTGTCGATGGACTAGCACTTCCCAGGTTAGTAGTGGTAGTAGTGGTAGTGGTAGTAGTAGTAGTAGTGGTAGTAGTAGTAGTAGTGGTAGTAGTAGTGGTGGTGGTAGTAGTGGTAGTGGTAATAGTAGTGGTAGTGGTAATAGTAGTAGTGGTAGTAGTAGTAGTGGTAGTAGTAGTAGTGGTAGTAGTAGTAGTAGGGGATAGGGATCAATCAAATCAATCAAATTAACTGAATTTATTTAACCGATATCTACTAGACTAGCGGCCAACACACAGTACATAACCATATTGGGCATAACTAATCCCATACATAAGCAAAAGTTGGCCCTCAAGGCCATGGATGTCGTACTGTTTGGTTCACCCAGACATCATTCGCTAGTCAAAGACATACTGGTTGTACTGTCGTTGATGATAGCCGTCGGCGGTGTCTGGATGGCCTTAGCCCAGTATAAGTGGTCGCAGCAAAATCTGAAGAAAATGATGGCCGACATGGATTCCCTTCAGCGAGCCGAAGAACAGTTGTCGGGTATGCAAAAAGAGTTGGACCGGACCCGCCAGGAACAGCAGCTGGTATTCAATGAGAAGATTAGTCTGGAAAAGCGGCTCCGGGAGAATGAATCCCAAATGGAAAGGTCGGCATCGTATAACCAACTGTCCGACGTTTGTCGTATTGCCGAACTGGAGGACGAACTTAGCCGATGTCGCGAAGAACTTCGCCGTTTGCTTAGTATGTCGTCATCGTCGGCGGCCGGCAAGTGGACATCATCCTCATCATCGACGGGACCGCCGGCTGGCCTACAGCTATGGCTACAGTTGACACACGAACTAGAGATCCGATCGTTTAATAGCAAACGATTGTCCGCTGAATTGCAATTGTTTGCCGCCAAAGAAGGGGTAAGTCATCATACATACCGGTACCGGTATATACAGTACATACAGACAGGCTGTATAGTAGGCTAAAACGTTTAGTTACCGGTAGTTGTCATCCAAATATAGTTAGTTAGTTGATTACCGGTAATCCTATTATTATTATTATTATTCAATTGTGTGATAATATAACATATATATGACTTATTTGATTAGATTTTTTTTATTTATTATATTTATTTTTGAATAGATATAAAATATAATTTATATACCTATTTACCGGTATATATATTATATACAATTATTTTATTATTAATATATATTAATAATAACTTAATAATAAATTTTATATATTTATTTTTTTATTATTATTATTACCGGTATATTATATTTAGTCTCTCTCTCTCTCTCTCTCTCTCTCTCTCTCTCTCTCTCACTCTTTATTGATATCACTAATAAAAATCTTATTTTATTATCATATTATACTGTAGTCTCTCTCTTTCTCTCTCTCTCTCTCTCTCTCTCTCTCTCTCTCTCTCTCTCTCTCTCTCTCTCTCTCTCTCTCTCTCTCTAGAGATTAGCTCCAAATTAATATCATTTTTATTATAGATTTACCGGTATATTTAATTTTTTGATAATATATTGATATATTTGTTTATATTTCTAGTGCGAAAAATTGCGCAAAAAACGGTCAACCCTGTTGGGTGCGTTTCGTGTAGCCCATGGTAACTCTATCGATGAAATCGACAATCGGATACTGGAGGCCAAGACTGCGCTCAAGGAGGTAACCAAAGAGCTGAAGGAACGGCTGAAACGATGGCATCAGATTGAAAGGTTGTGCGGCTTTTCCATTGTCAACAACGCCGGCCAAGCATTTCTCGAGCATACACTGTACGGATCGCCGGTTAGCAGTCCGACCGGATCGGTGGCCACACTGTCGTCGTCGACAACAACAGCAACGACACCGTTGGGACGGACATCCAGTGAGACAACTATTGTCGATACCGATTCGTTGCTGTCTATTCCAGCGGCCACCGCCTCCGCAGCCGCCGCCGATACCAGTTATGCCATTTCCCGGTCGGTGTCGACATCGATGAGATCAAAGACGACGCCAACAACAGATGATATTAGCGGAAGAGGCGGAGATGATTCAGATGACGTGATCCAGTCATTAAAAATCAGTGATAATAAAAGGTTTGGACATCAATATTGTCTTAATTATCGGTTATTATTATATTTTATTTTTTTCGTTCAATAAGATCTATGAGACTAATGGTTAAGAGCTATAGTGAAGACGCGTCGTCGTTGTCGTCGACATTATATGAAAATAATACCAATTGTTTTCATAATAATAATAATACTAATAATAATGGGTTGTCAATGAAGACACCGACGACGAGTAATAGTAGCACTAGTAGTGGTAGTAGTAGTAGTAGTCGTCCGACAATCTGTCACTCAGAGTCTTGTAATCAATTGAAACAACTCGTCGATGAACAACAAGAAGATGACGACGACTTTGATATCAAAGAAGTGATAACTAGGAGAAGGACGATAACATCGTCGACAATAAATCCCGAGGAGGAGGAGGAAGAAGATGGAGAAGAAGTGGACAATAATCCGAATAATAGTTATATTAATAAAATTAATGGCAAAACAAAACATAATAATATCAGTTACGATGAAGAATTGGATACCATTTCTACAACTGATTCCAGTTCTGTAAGCGATTTGTTAGCTAAAGGTGTCGTCAATATGTCGTCGTCGTTGTCGTCGTCGACGATGACATCGTCTGATCATAAAAAGAGACACCACTTCTTTGGTCTTCGCAAACGAAAATCGACAAAACATTCATGAATTTCTATATATTTATATATAAATTCAAATAATTAATTGATTTAATTGATTGATTAATTAAAAAAATATAAATTTATTTTTTACAATAAATTTATATACAGTAGTAGACAGTAGTATATAATTAATGGTAATAAAAATTATTACATTATTTACCGGTAAATATATTCAAATATATACAGTATATACGGTATATATATATATATTAATATTTACCGTAATTATATAAATAAGTGCCTCTCTCTCTCTCTCTCTCTCTCATTATATATTGTAATAATCAAATTAAATAATAGATTTAATTTTATTTAATTTTGAAATTTTTTTCCATTGAAAATAATATTAATATATTAAATATTATGTATATTATAAACAAAAAAAAATGTTTTTTTCTATAGTTAGAAATACATTTATAATTATGGTTATAATTTATCCTGATTCTTATTATTATTATTATTATTATTTATTTTCAATAAAAATAAATAATTAAATAAATTTGTTTTAATTATTTTTTTTTCACATTAATACAGTACTAATAATATATTGTAATTTATTGTTAAAAATTTAATTAAACTTATATATTTAAATTATAATATAAATTTATTTGATAATGTGATTTTCAAATAGCAATAATTATTAGCAAACAAATAAAATATAATAACAAAATAAAATTATCAATTATTTTGTTTTATCTATATATATATTTTTTAATATTTAAATTTAAGTTATTTATCATTTATAAAAAAAATATATTATGAAACAAATTTGTTTTAAACCTATTTGATTAGCCAGGTAAGTGTTAGTTACTTTATAATTTAAAAAAAAATTAAATAACATTTTTAGGTCTATTTAAAATAATAATAATTATTATTATTATAATTAGTTTCAAACAATAATATTTTGCAATTAGTTAATCAAAAAAATATATTTAACCACATTTGCAATGTATAAGTATATATATACTGTATAATATACAGTGTTTATAATAATATATGTATCCATATTTTAACAGTAAATTATTAGTTTGAAAAAAAATTAAATTAAAATTATTATTTATTATTAATTATAAAAATTTTATAATTACAAAATTAGTTTACAGTATAATCAATATTACAGCTATTGAAACCTTTATACTTATAAATACAATATATATATATATATATATTTGACATATATTTGAATAAATTAAATAACAACATTGACTATAACATCTGTTAGAATTAATTAATAATTATATTTATAATATTCAATAATAATAATAATAAATTATTAATTTATAATATACTATAAATTATTATTATTATTATTAGTAAATATTTTATAATTTTCCATAAAGTATTTCAAAATTTATTACAACTAAAATTTGATAAATACATAAAATATTTGTTATATATATCATATTATTAATATAATTTTTTAATTGTGAAAATCAATTATACAAATAATAATAATAATAATAATAATAATTTCCTAATACAGTAATATTTAATAATATCATACAAAATGCTGATAATTTGTGATAAATTATTTTTTTTGACTATAATAAATAAAATGGTAATTATTAATTAACTATTAAAAAAATTTTATCTTAGCAACTAGGTAATAAATAGTTTGCCAACTATTTACCAATTTAAAAATAATATTTCAATATAATTTATATAGCTTACTTTTCAAAAACAAATAAAAACATCTACATAGTTAATATTAATTAATTAATTAACATACCAATAATTACTATTATTGAATATTTAATTTTTACAAGTTTTTCGGGCCATTGAACTAACTAATTGTTAATATATATATAAACTGTATATAAATTATTAGCAATTTTCAAATTAAATTTTATTGTATTTATTTAAAAATAATTTGCACCTGGATGCTAATTATTTATTATCATAGATTTACCAGAAAATAATTGATATCTATTTATTTATATATAGTTATAGACTATATATATATATATCAATATACAGATACTTTTAATATTATTGATATTATTGAAATTGTTGGGAATTGATGTGCAATAATATGATAGAAAAATTTGAAATTTTTTTGTATGTTTAGTTGAAAATTGTATTATTATTATTATTATTATTATTAGTGTATTTAACAGTCAATAGTTGTTTTTCAGAAAATTTTGATGATTTATATCATCAAAAACAATAACAACAAATTAATTAGGCGTAAGTGGTTGGGAGGGGGAGGGGTACACATAGTTTTAAAACGGAATGGTAGGAATTTTTTTTTTGTATTACTATTGGTATGTCTATCTATCTATCTTAATAATACAGAGCACCGGCATCTTCTGTATATAACCAAACCGGTCAACCCTTTTATTATTATTATTATTGTTGTTGAATGCCTTTTTGAAAAAATAATGCCCACCAAAGCTGGCGCCTACTTATCAAAAGCGGATCAATTAATATATAAGGAAACAGAGAGAGAGAGAGAGAGAGAGAGAGAGAGAGAGAGAGAGAGAGAGAGAGAGAGAGAGAGAGAGAGAGAGAGTTTTGACAATTAATTTTCAAAAAATGGGGGCAAATCAATGATGATAATAGGCATTTAACTATTGACTGGTATACAGGGGGGGGGGTTAAACTATAGTATATATATATATAAGCATATTTTTGATAGGATTTTCATCTATATATATATATATATATTAGGAGAAAATATTTTTGGTATGCATTGCTTACCAATATAGGCAATACTATTGTATGTCAATTAGCTATATAAACAATGTATGTATGTATGTATGTATGTATGTATGTATGTATGTATGTGTGTGTGTGTGTGTGTGTGTGTGTGTATGTGTGTGTGTGTGTTAAATGACTTTTTTTTAACAAAAAAAATATTTTATTTTAAAAACTATTATACCTTAAAATCATACTTTACTTACAATACCAGTCTAATGGGTATAGAAATCTTATAAATATATTAATCCCTATATTAATAGCCTTAAAAACCCCAATAGTAACACTTTATAGTACAGTGTGTACAATGTATGTCTACTACTACTACTACTACCTGTGTATGTCTACCTGTCCATGTCCGGACAGGTATATATGTAGTACCCGTACGTGTGTGTGTATGATATACTATTGGCGCACATATATCATACATAAGGTCAACAGGGATTTGTTGTCTATCCCATCCCATCCTAAATCCTTATTAGTCTCTCTCTCTCTCTCTCTCTCTCTCTCTCTCTCTCTCTATCACAAGTTTGGCACCACTTTTTCAAATATACATATATATAGATATATACAGTATTTTAATATTTGTATAAATATTTAAAAGTTATTATAAATTGCATGAATGGCTTAAATATATATCTATATATATTTATTATTATATTATATTTACCAAACAATTTATACATACCGTCTCTCTCTCTCTCTCTCATTCATACACATAGACAGACAGACAGTCATCAATGAATTATTATTATTATTATTATTATTATTGGTTTTACCTATCATTTGCTTTGACATACCTGATCATCAGTTCAGTACTGTATATCTATCCAGACCTAACCAATTGATTGATAACTTTATTGAAAAACTATATTGTTTTGTATTATTGGTGTTTACCCAACAAAAAAAATGTTTGGATATTAAATTAGTGACCACTACTACTACCACTACTACCACTACTACTACTGTTAATATAGGTTGACATACCAGTGCTTACCCGTTGATAACTTTTAAAGTTTTAACAAAACAAACAAACAGATAGATTAACAGAGAAATCATGTTATCAATGATAATGACGATGACGACAACTGTCCTCATATTGGCAGTGACGGCAATGTCGGTGTCCGGCAAACCAGTCATCCAATGGTCAAACAACAGTACGACATCATCATCATCATTGATGGCCAATAAGACAACTACAACAACACCGATGCCATTGTTGATCCATTGCCGATCGGGTCAGTACATCAAACGCGACTGCAAATTCTACATCGACTGCCATCGGGGGTTCTGGAGGCGAAACTTTTGTCCGGGACTGACCGTCTGGAATCACGATAGCAAACTGTGCGACGACATACACAACGTACCCGAATGTCTGGCCATGTACAAGGACAAGATTAACCCGATGTTGGTCAAGTCTACCACCACCGCTACAGCCACCATCACAACTACCGTTCCAACAATGACTACCCCCACTACTACAACTACTCCTACAGCAGCAACAACAACCATAGGACCTACCAATGAGTTGGCTGCCAATAACAATAATAATAATAACTATAGGCGCCGTCATAAGTATCGTCCATTGAAAAAAAGAAAGCCTACCATTATATCTGAAGAGGTGGTCGATGTGGATGACGACGACGACGATTATGTGGACAACAGGAAGGAGGACAACGATGATGAAGATGAAGGTATGGTTGTCGAACCGGTAGTCGACAATGAACTGCCGCCGGTTGTTGTTGTGGTGGACGACCATCAAACTAATAGGAGACTACATAAGACTAATAAGGAGGACGGCGGTTCGGATTTGGCTAAAAAGTGGCCACCAATTGATAGGGCACACCATAGCCGACGAGTTCCGGTCCCCACCACTACTACTACTACTGTCATCGATGTCGTCAACAGTGGTCATCGCTATAAGTCGACTATACATCCATCAGCAGCCAGTGATGATGTTGGTTGGATCAGTGGTGACGCCGATACCGATGCCAATGATGGCCTAACATTGTTTACACTTAGGATACCTGAGCTGGTCTATCGATGGCTGAAATTAGGCTTTTATTTCATTTATTTTTCATATTTATAGATATTTTTCATATTTAAAAAAAGATATGTTGTAAATATTTTTTTAAATTCATTTATTATTAATTAATTAATTAAATTATCATATATTTATATACTGTATATATATATTTATAAATTTAAATGCAATAATTAAAATATAATAACAAAAAAATTATTTAATTAGATTGAATAACATATATAATAAAATTAAAATTATTTACCTGTATATAAAAATATTGTATTTATAAAATAAAATAAACAATATATGATGTTTAATACAAGTTTTTTTTTTGTTTCTTATTAATTATTTTAAATTAATCAATTAAATACTAAAAAAAATTATTGATATAATAATACTAATGTGTTAATAATATGTTACATTAACTTAAATCATTATATTTATAAATATATTATAATAACTATAGGTATATTATTATACATTTTTAATGTTAGATATTTAACTACTATTTATTTGATAATTATTATTATCAATCTATGTGTTTGTTTGTTTGTAATGTATATTATTATTATTATTTAGTTTATATATATACACTATTTTTTATATTAATATAAATTACTATTTAAATAATTTTTTGATTGCTACTAATCTTAACAAAAAAAATAACAAATATATATAGATATATAAACTAATATGATTTTTATATAATAAAGTTGTATATTATGTAAATATATATATATATTAATTAAATACTACTTTTATTTTTTATTTATTTTCTAATGTGTCTAATTATATATATATATATATACTGTACATAATATGTATTATAATTTATTATTAATAATAATGTTTTATAATTTACATGTTTTTTTTAAATCAAATAAACTACAATTCAATTTGTTATTATATGTTATTAAATTATAATATATTGTATATACAGTATATATGCATAAAATTAATAATTTTAAAAATTATATTATTTACATTATAATTGCTTATAAATTGTAATATTAGATTTTTTGTAAAAATTATTTTAAAAATCTATTTTTTTTTTTGTTTATCTAATATTTAAAATAAATAAATAAATAAAAATATTAAGATAATATATATCTATAGACAATATACTCTATATATAAACAATAAATATTATTTAAAATTACATTAATTTATGTTTTATATAAAATTTATATATCTTTTAAATTAAAAAAATGTATTTATATTAAATAACTAGTAGTTTTTTAACAATTAGAAAAATGTTAAAATAATTTTTTTTTATATTATTAACAATTTTTTTATCAATTAATAATTTAAACATTATTACTATTATTTAAAAATATATATTAGTTTTAGTTTAGCATAAAATTTTTAGTTGTTTTAATTTTTGTTTAATTAATTGTTGTTGTTGTAAATTATATCTATTAAACAAAAAAAATGCTATTAATATAACCAACAAAAAAATATTAATAATATTGTAATACAATATTAACATATTTTTTTAGTATAATAAAAAAATTCAAAAATAATAATAATATTAATAAATTAAAAATTAATTTCTGATATAAAACTTCTAATATATTGTTAAACAAATAGAGAAATAAAAAAAATAAGACAACAATAGTTTAATTTTATTAAAAAATAATTAAATTATTATTTTAAACTAGCATATTTTGTTAGATATTTAAAATGTTTATATTTATTATATTAATTTGTTATATTATGTTAGCTTTATTATAAAAAATATTAATTATTTCTATCATTATAAATCAATAAAAAATAAATATTAATACAATAAAAAATATAGATAATTATTTTTTATAAATATAATATTATATAATTTTTTAAAAATTATTGTTGTATATTATTAATTAATATAATTGTATGAATAAAATATATACAATTATTATTATATATATATATATTTAAATTTTAAAAATATAATTTTAAATACAGTAAATATAATTATTATTATTAATAATTTTTTTGTTTTTAATAAAAATAAATAACTGGCTATTTAGGTACAGTATGTTTGTCACTGGTATGTGATTATTTGAAGGCCAGTTATTGAAAAGCTACCAGTGCTAACATTTTTTTGTTTAGTTTTATATTTGATGGATTAAAAACAGATTAAAAACAGTATATAATAATAATGAAAAACATTGAACTTTTATCTACAAAAATTATTTTTATAAATAAAATATTCACAAAAAAAAATTATTATTAAGAGATTAGATCAATAGGTTTATCAATATATATATATATATCTCATATCATATGATGATATCCATCCCCTACCCCTGCAAATAAAATTCAAATATTTTAATAATAATAATACCTTAAACCTCTAACCAGCACCTGATTGTTGTTATTATTATTACCTACCAGTGCTTATTAGTGCAATTAATAATAATAATAATAATATATAGATAGAGAAAGTTTAATGACTTGTTTTTATTATAATTAAATGATTAGTTTAATCTCTTTTTTTAAAATTTAATTTTGCTGTTAATCCCCTCCTCAAAAATTCCTATCAAAAAGCACTGGTAGTCTACTGGACATTGGACAGGTAGTTAATTATTATTATTATTTTTGATGGGTATATAAATGAAAACTTTTATATACAAGTTCTCAATCTATCTCTATATATATAAGTTTTTTTGTTGACCATTGATTTGATCCATATATATATATATATATATATACCACATATATATATACATACAATATATATATATATATAATTGATATTTAAAAATAGTTTTTTAATTATTATTTTGTATCGACAATGACATCGACAACAACAATATCATTGTCATCGATGGTAGTGGTGCTGATGGTAGTGTCGCTATGGCTAACAGTAGCACCGTTAGCTTCGGCTCATATAGCTTTTCGTACGAAAATTGTCCGATTTGTGCCCACACACCGTCATGTTTTAGTACATCGCATCCGTAAGCCGTTACCGTTACCGCACCCGCCAATACATCCGCCGCCGACCACAACAACAACATACGCGCCGCCGCCCGTGACCACCGATTATTACGCACCTCCGTCTACTAACACTTACAACGCACCCGTCGTCTCCAAATACGTACCACCGGTCAGCGATTACGCAACTCCCGGCACCAAATACGCACCCGTGGCCACCGATTACGCAGCTCCGGCCTCCAAATACGTACCTCCGGTCAGCGATTACGCAGCTACTGGCTCCAAATACGCACCCGTCTCCTCAAAATACACACCACCTGTCACCGATTATGCATCTCCGGTCTCTAAATACGTACCGCCGGTCAGCGATTATGCCGCTCCGGCCACCAAATATGCACCCGTGGCCTCAAAATACACACCTCCGGCTTCCAAATACGTAGCTCCGGTCACCGATTACGCAGCTCCTGCCACCAAATACGCACCCGTGGCCACTGATTACGCACTTCCGGCTTCCAAAATCGTAGCCCCGGTCACCGATTACGCCGCTCCTGCCACCAAATACGCACCCGTGGCCTCTAAATACGTACCTCCTGTCACCGATTACGCAACTCCCGTCTCTAAATACGCACCCGTGGCCACCAAATACACCGCTCCTACTGTCACATACTCACCTCCAGCCGTCACATACGCGCCGCCGACCACCAAATATACACCGCCAGTCGTGAAATATACGCCTCCGGTTACCACATATGCGCCTCCGACCACCAAATACACACCACCAGCCGTCACATACGCGGCTCCGACTACCAAATACACGCCTCCGACTGTAACCTATGCACCACCAGCTGTCACATACGCGGCTCCGACCACCAAATACACGCCTCCGACTGTAACCTATGCACCACCAGCTGTCACATACGCGGCTCCGACCACCAAATACACGCCTCCGGCCGTAACCTATGCACCTCCAGCTGTCACATACGCGGCTCCGACAACCAAATACACGCCTCCGACCGTAACCTATGCACCTCCAGCTGTCACATACGCGGCTCCGACAACCAAATACACGCCTCCGACCGTAACCTATGCACCTCCAGCTGTCACATACGCGGCTCCGACCACCAAATACACGCCTCCGACTGTCACATATGCACCTCCGACCACCAAATACACGCCTCCGACTGTCACATACGCACCTCCGACCACCAAATACACGCCTCCGACTGTCACATACGCACCTCCGACCACCAAATACATGCCTCCGACTGTCACATACGCACCTCCGACCACCCCCACCTATGCACCACCCAAGGTTGACTATACACCGTTGCCAGCATTGCCCACATATTACGAAGTCCCGTCGGGTCCGGTAGCCTACCCACCGGCGCGTCCACTATATACTCATGGCCTACATTCGCCGGCCGACTATCGGGTACCGTCAGAGTGTTCGGGCGACTATTCATCCCCCAGTTATGACCGAAAGTGTCCGACATATCATTATAAGTAAATAATAGTTTACTATTATATTGTATTTATTTTTTTTAATGAGAACTTAATTATTGAATTACTTTTTTTCTGCTATTTATAATATTTATTGTATTTTTTATATTTATTTTTTTTTTTATTTCATCAAATAAAAGATTTTTTTTTAAAAATAATAATAATATTTGCATTTCATTACTTTAATTAGTTTTAATAAATATAATAAATTTTTAATTATTTATTTTAAAAGATAAGATATTAAATTGTTTGTAAAAATATATTATATTGTAATTAATTTTTTAAAAACTAGCTATAATTATAATATAAATTAAGATATTTTATATTTTTGTAATTTTATGAATATATATATATATATATACGTATAGATGGCAAACATGTAGTTATTATTATTATTAGATTATAGCTAAAAATTTTTTTTAATATACTTTATTTTAATATATTGAAAATATATATATTTACAAATCTAATAGTTATAATGTAAATACTAGTATATAACTTATATATGATAAGTATATTAAATGTTATATTAAATATAGACTATATTAATTATATATATAAGGGGGAGTCCCTACATAGCTCCGGGACTAATTGATTGAATTCCATGCTATTTTATCCCATCAAATATATATATATTGAGCACATGGAGATTATCTATTAAAAAAAATTTATTTTTTTTGATGATGATTGCCATAAATGGTCTAAAAAAAATAAATATATTAGTAGACAAAAAAATTGTTTTTTCCCCAAAAAATATATATACTATATATATGTCTCTAATCGTTTCAATGAATCAATCTATATTAAACTAAAAACTAAAAATAAACTAAAAATTTTAATTGAACCCTGGTATTATTATTATTATTAAGTAATTTAACCAGTTTATCAACTATATATCAATATATATATATATATATATATATATATATATATATATATATATTAGATTTTATTTTTTTTACTATGCAATAATAGATTATTATTATTATTCCTATTAGGTGGACGGGTAGTTTTATTTTAGTTGTATGTAATACATGGGTGGTCATACGATTATAACATACTGTATATATATATATATATATATATATATATATATATATATATATATGTAATATATATTTTTTATATACCGGTACCGGTATATATATATTATATATACAGTACAGTAGTATATAAACATTTTTTTAATAGTGACTGATTATTATTATTATTATTTGTAGTAGTAGTAGTAGTAGTAGTAGTAGTAGTAGTAGTAGTAGTAGTAGTAGTAGTAGTAGTAGTAGTAGTAGTAGTAGTAGTAGTAGTAGTAGTAGTAGTAGTAGTAGTAGTAGTAGTAGTAGTAGTAGTAGTAGAAATAGTTTAAATAATTTAAATACCGATTAAAATTGATATTTATTTTTTTTATATATATTTTAATGGCTAACCCACACACACACACACACACACACTATATATATATATATTTAATATACCAGTTAATTGTCTAATTAAGTGATGATATTAAGTAATGATGATTATGTGTAGAAAATAGATTTAATTATTATTATTTAAAATAGTTATTAGATTAGTGAGAAAAAAAAAGTTAATTTAATAAAACATTAATTAGTCTAATGTTTTTAATTACTGTATATTTACTATTAAAAAAATGTGTTATATTTACTGTTTATAATTATGCTATTAAATCATGAATGCTATATTAAATTAACCAAAATTAAATAATATATTTTATAAGATAATTAAAAAAAATAATAATATTTAATACATGGATCTTTAAAACAAATTGATATATAAATATATATATATATATATATATATATATATATAACTACTGTTTGTGAGATAATTTCTATTAATATTTATTATTATTATTATTGCTATTAGTATTTTGTTTTAATTTAAAAAAAATATAATATTTAAAAATAAATATTTTTTAGATTTCATATTTGATAAAATTTGAAAATAAATTATTTCAATTATTAAATTATATATACTATTATAAAATAAAATTAAAATATATTAATAGTATTATATAACAAGAATATTATTGTTTCAAATAACAAAATAATATTTAATAAATTAAGTAAATATTAATAAAATATTATTTAAATTTTATATGATTTAATATGTATAAATGTTAAATATGTATTAGTATTTATTATTTTTAAAATAAAAAAAAATACAAAATTAATATTAAGATATATGTATTGATAAAATCAATTAATAGTTGTTTATATTTATAAAATAATTTTTTTAAAAAAAATATTAACCCGTTTTTATTAATATTTTTATATAGAAAAATATATATATATTTATAACTAAACAAAAACTTACAAAAAAAATTGAATTTGATTTTCAAACTCAATTGATATTATTTTTATTTTATTTTTTTATTATTATTAACTGTTTATATAAACTCAAAATCAATGAATTTTTATTTTATATTTTTTAGTTAATTAAAGGAAAATATTTTCAAATATATTAGTTTTATTTCATTTTATTTAATTGACTGTTACATTAGCTCCGGTCGATCATCGGCACCGGTAGCTAAACTGACGTTTATTTATTTTAAATATATATATTTTTTTGTTAATAAAATTGTTATTATTTTGTTTTATTTAATTGAAATATAAAATGATATCATTTTCAGTTAATTTAATGATTTTAAGGAAAAAGTCAATTATAAATATTTTTTTAAAAATTATTATTTTATTTAGAAATATTAATAATTATTCAATTAATTAATTAATTATTACAGAGTTTATTATCCAAAAATTTGTTTATCAGTTTATAATATTATTTTATAACTAAAAAAAACACACAAATTAAATACAATTAGTAATTTTGATGATAAACTAGAAAATTAATGTATTTTTATGTATTAAAAATTTTTTTATACTATGAATTTATTTAATTAAATTTTTTTCGTTTATTTAACTAATAAGGAGATTTTGTAATTATAATTATATATATACATAAAATTTATATTATTATTATTATTATTCAAAATTGAAATAATTTTTTTTAATTTACTATATTTTTAGTTAAATTATACAATATTTGTATACAAATGGATATATACAACACAACTACAGTAATATTAATAATAATTATATAATATTTTTTTCAATTATATATTTTGTTGTTGTTATTCAAACTGTAATTCAATAGTATTATATGTATTCAATATAATTATAAATATATATTACATAAATGGTATTTAAAAAAAAAAAACTATTATATGTAGTTTATTATTAAAATTTTATGTAAATTATTTTTGTATATATACTGTATATAGTGTCTATAATTTATGTCAAACATACAAATAAATAAATTAAATATATATAATATATTTTTGTTGTTATTGTTTAGTTAGTGTTGAAAATTATTATGAAATATTTTTATTTTATTTATTCAAAAAAAAAATAAATAAATAATTATTTGCCATAAATTTTTAACCTAATCAGCAACAATTTTATTTTTTTAAAATAATAATAAATAATTATTGTACTATATATTACAATATAGTTTTTAAAAAATAATAATTAAAAACTTTATTAGATTAGTACTGTATATACAGTATATATATTAAAATAATTATCAATATTTAAAAAAATTAATTTTAATAAATTTAAACAAATATATATATATATATATATTAATCAATTGATGCCTCTTTTCTATATATATATACTGTATAATAATTATAAATAATAATAATGAAAAACTTATTTATAACTAAAAATAAATTTATGTTTATTTGTATACAAAACTAATTTTTTTTAAAAAACTAATTTTTTTTGTGTTGAGTTCATGTATTTGGGAGTATTTGGATCAGTCATTCATCACAACTTTTATTATTATTATTATTAAAATTTTATTTTTTAGTTTAATTAATAAAATCAGTGTTTAAAAAAAATCCTTATATAGTATTTATAATTAATTATTTTGCATATATATATATATATATATATATATATATATATATATATATATATATATATATATATATATATAGTGTATTATATATACAGTATATATAAACAAAACAAAAATTATGTATTTATATAATATTTAGAAAAATAGTTTATTTTATATAATATTTAGAAAAATAGTTTATTTTATATATAAATATATATTAAAATTGAAATCACTCACTCACTCACTTACTCACTCACTCACTCACTCACTCACTCACTCACTCACTCACTCACTCACTCACTCACTTACTTACTAAAACAAATTATAATTTATATAAATATTTTTTTTTTGATATCTAAACTTATTTTTGTATATTACTGTACAAAATGCGATTCACTATCTGTTTAATGTATATATAAAACAAATTATATGACATTTTTTGTTTGTTTTTGATTTGTTTTTAAAAACATTTTTTTATTACACATTTTAACTTATACTGTAGTATAAAATAAATATATAATTCATAAGAAATAATTTTCATATTTTATTTTTATTAATTTATAATAAACTAAACTAGAAATTATTTTTTTTAAAAAATTCAATTACCCGATCCAATCCAAAAATTTTAAAAAAATAATTTTTTAATTAGTAATTAATACAAAATAATGATACTAGCACAATTATTATTATTATTATTATTATTAATTCTAGCAATTTATATAACTAAAAGATTTAATTATTAAATTTTTACGGATAATTTATACTAAAATAAAAAATTTGATTTAATGTTTAATTATATTATTATTATTATTATTATTATTATTATTATTATTATTATTATTATTATTATTATTATTATTATTATTATTATTATTATTATTATTATTATTATTATTATTATTATTATTATTATTATTATTATTATTATTATTATTATTATCCAAAACTAACCAATTATTCAGACCCTAGGTTTTCATCTCTAATACCATTATAATAATAATAATAAATAACATGTAATTTATATCATATAAATAAACAAATTATATTTTATACCTGTTTAATGTATATATAAATTATATATATATATAAAGTTATTAATATTTTTAGTTTAATTTATATTTAATAATTTAA